ATTTGTCCACCAGTATTTTCCTGAACTCACCTTCCTTATGCCTACGTAAGGCTTATACATAGCTCCTTCTCTGTTCCTCTCTCCCTCTCACACTCTCTCTCTCTCACACTCTTTCTCTCTCTCACACTCTCTCTCTCTCTCTCACACACTCTCTCTCTCTCCCTCTCACACCTCTCTCTCTCTCTCTCTCTCTCTCTCTCTCTCTCTCTCTCTCTAGCTCTGCCTGAAATGACTCGATCCCTGAATGCTTTTGTCCAGATCGTAGAACGCATTCCGGCAATTGTCCCAGACTGTTCGGAATGCGCTCAGTCGCTAGATGGCGCAAATACTTTGGTTTGGTATCGATGTGTGTGTGCATGCGTGTGTGTGCATGTGTGTGGGTATCTCTGACATCGCCGCAATTACTTTGATTGGTTATCAAGGCTGCACTGGGTCTCATTAATGCACAGAATTTCGCATGTAATTGAGACAATGTGGGCAACAAAAGAATTCCTCAGAGCGAGACAGAGATGGAGTGTGCATGTAAGAGAGAGAGAGAGAGAGAGAGGGAGAGTGAGGGGGAGACCTTGCCTGTTGCTTTCAATTGAGCAGTTGTCATTTCGGATGGCCGCAGCAATCTTTCATGCCACAAGCACAAACGATGCATCAATGCATGCGGCCAAGATATGCGAATGCAATATGTAAATGGCAGGAGCCGCGACCACGCCCACAGCGTGCCACAGCCAACGGCGGGCATGGAATGCAACATAATTGACAGTTAATATGTTGCAGCTGCCGCTGGAGAAATGCGAGATGCGAAATGTAAAGTGCAAAATGCGAATTGCGCCGAGGTCAGGTGGGAATTGCGAAACTCATCGTTCATATTGGCATGCACTTGACGGGGGGGTTGGCGGAGTGGCCGCACACAAAGGAAAGATATCGATAAACAAAGGCTCTTCCCCACGAAAGTTTAATTCAATTTAAAATTCGAGACGCCGACTTGGGCCCGAAGTTCGGCCACGTTTGCTGTTGTGCTACATAAAAAGTTGGGCATATTCATAAACCTGCATGCAACTTGGCATGCGGCATGCGGCATGCGGCATGTACGACCCGTGACACGAATAATAATTGTGCAACTGATTCCATTTGCTTTTCTTTTGTTTCCCTTCCTGCTGCTTCTCTCATCCCAAAAGGGGATGCACTCCCTACTATTTGCTTGAGAGGCTGAAGTCTAAACTAGTTGAGAATTATAAGATAAATGGAAGTTGATTAGCCCATGAAGTCAGTGGAAATTCGTGAAAAGTAAAATGGAAGTTGATTAGCCCATGAAGTCAGTGGAAATTCGTGAAAAGTAATATGTGAAATAATATGTGAAAGTAATAAGTTCACATGGTAAAAAAAAAAAAAAACAAGCTAATAAAAAATACTTTGGGTACTGTATGAAGTAGAATTTAAGAATTGAATTGTTTTTTTTTTTTTTTTTTTTTTTTTTTTTTTAACAAATTCCTAGTCTTATATATTATTCAACAACTGAATTTTTTTTTTTTTTTTTTTTTTTTTTTTTTTTAGCTAATTCCTAGTCATATAGTCACAGCACTTTATATGTACTTTTAGTAATGGGAAAAATCATCGATAAACATGTTCAGGCCCTGCTCTAGCCTTAAATACGAGCTTCGTTCTTTGCTTGTTTCAGAATTCTTGGGCAGATTATATATATTATATATAATGTATACTGTATATACAGTCGAGTCTCGATAATTTGAGCCCCGCTAAATCGAGAATCGAGATAAAACAAAAAAATTCTATACCCTTGAAAAAAATTCGTTCTCGATAATTCTCGATAGTTGGAATTTCTGTGTAAATCGATAAAAATCTGATCCGCTCGCCATTTCGAGTTATCGGAACTCGACTGTATATTTAAAGGATATACATACATATACATGCCATCAATTAGATATATAATATATTTATATGTTGAGTTAATTAAGCATTAAAAGCAGCTAGAAGCCGAGTCTCGGGAAAACAAATTTTACTTGACCAAATCTCTCTTGTTTTCCCAGCTTATATATATATTTCTATGTATAGATATATTCATATTCAAGGTGTTTGCGGCTTACTACTGCACTGCTCTCATCACATTAATTTAATTATTAATATTAGCATAGAGCATCAAATGAATTTTAACTATTTGCCATTAGCTTTGATGAAATTCTTAGAGCATTTTTATTTTGTTGTTGGAGCTATTTTTATTTTTGCGGAATTCGAACGCGCTGCCAGCTAGAGAAGTGCGCAGGGTTGCGGGCGGGGGTGGAGGGGCGCGTGGTGCTGCTGCGGTCCAAATAGAAATGCGCTGAGAACTGTGCTTAATTAAAAATTGTAAGTGGCAGTAAATTAATTATAAAACGCAGCCCGCAAAGTGTTTGGCTTGCAGCGGCAGCAGCGGCAGCTCCACATGTGGGCGTTGTCGACCACAAGGCATGGCCAAGCACAGGTGTGGAGCTTTGCAGTCCCTCTCTCCCTCTCACTCTCTCAGACGCACGCACTTAACTCCTTCTCCCTCTTTTGCGGTAGCTGTCAGCATTTTAAATTTCTTTGTGCATCAAAAGCAGCTATGTTAATCAAATTTAAATTCCTGATTATGTTTGCGCCCATTTAAGCAGGCCAGCTATGCTGAGCGATGGGCGGCGCATGGCTGGTAGGTGTGGCTGCTCTCAATATGACATCTCAGAGCTACTATGTTGATCCAGTTGCCAGAGGCCGAGCATTCCACATAATTTCAACTGGAACTTGTCAGTGGAATCTGAATGAATGCCAACACGCACACACACACATACATACATTCACCCATCCACACCCACACCCACACACGTATGTGAAATCCGAACTAATTGTCATTTGCAACTAACTGAAAACAACTATTTAAAAACAATTTCATTGCAAATAAAGTTAATATAGAGGATAAACTGCGCATGCAGCAAAGTCATTAGAGGAAACAGTGTTGGCAAATTTCAGTTAATGCAACTTTGAGTGGCTCCACCAGTTGGCAGTGTTTGACAATGGGATTACCCGGAACTCCAAGCAGAGCTGCCGCTTGAAACATTTAATTTGTGTGCTGTGTTGCAGACAAATTGTGATCACAGTTAGCTAAATGGTATATTTAGAATCCCTAGTTAAACGAGCAGATTCAAAAATATCGATTTTGATCGATTAAACTGCATATCGATTTTGAGATATAACAAGTAAATGGAATGAGTTATCGTCAGACTTTTATACATAAATAGGAATTTTAAAATTTTAATCTGTTGTGGATTCGTACGATTCTATGGAAGGACGGACGGTCGGACAGACGATTGGTTAATTCAGCTGATCAAGAATATATATATACTCTATAGACTATACTCATAGGCTCACATGTATCCTTCAGTCACGCCTCCTTCTACCAGGCCTCTTTCTTTCACCCCTCTTTCTCTCATGATTCCTCTCACTACTGCCTCCTGCTGCTATCCACGCCTACTTCTGACAGTCCACATTGTACCAAATTTACTCGAACCACGCCTCCTTCCTTCTCTCACACCTTCTTTTGCCTCCCCTCCTTCTCTCACCCCTCCTTCCCTCACACCTCCTTCTCTCACACCTCCTTTCGCCACCCCTCCTTCCGTCGCACCTCCTTCTCTCACACCTCCTTCCGCCACCCCTCCTTCATACGCACCTCCTTTTGCCACCCCTCCTTTTTTCACACCTCCTTCTCTCACACCTCCTTCTGTCACACCTCCTTTCGTCACCTCTCCTTCTACCAATCCTCAATCAACAATTATGCTAAAAGCTCTCTCCCAAACGTATTTCAATACCCTGTAAAAAAATCCTTATGGAAAACCAATTCATTTGACCCCCACTTAAATGAATTTTTCGTGCACAATTCCAGCAAAATTGAAGTAAAACGAAACGAAATGAAACGCAATGGAATTCCAGCTGCAAATAGTTTTGTGAACTGGCCAGTGTTGCATAGCGCAATTCGCTGACCGCAAGTGTTGCCAGATGGTTGCGAGTGTGCGGTGTGTGGTGTGTGGTGGCCGCTACTCGATTGTCGCGCTGCTGCATTTTGTGGCAATTGTCAGCGAATTTTGCAAGTCAGTCTAGGTTTTCCCTGCCCCTTTCTCTCTCTATCTTCGTCTCTCTCTCATTTTTTTTTTTTTTTTTTTTTGGTTGCTATTCATCAGCCACAGATCGACAGCTCAGCGAGTGCGGCGCACCTGTGTCACATGGACACACACCTGGCGTTGTTGTAGTTGTTGTTGTTGTTGCTTTTTAGCTGCTTCGTCAGGTCGGTGAAGCGTGCGGCCGATTGAAAATTTAATTTCCCGCCCATGGCAGAGGCGCATACAGCGACCTAAACTACAAGCTGTTAGCCTGGGTGCCACGCCCAGCCGCCCAGCTTCCCAGTTACCCAGTTGTTTTTTTTTTTGTTTATGGTACGGCCAATGTATTTCCGCCATTTCAGCGTTTGCTCTGTTCCGTTTTCACTTTTCACTGGAGTTCGATTTGGTTGCGCTCTCTCTGTCTCTGTTTATCTCCCCCTCTCCCTCTCGCCGTCTCTCTGTCGGGCTGTCTCTCTGTTAGCTGAGTTTGTCTGTCGTTTGGCCTTGTTTATGGCTCTTCATTTGCAATAATCCAAATTGCCATGGCTACCACCAGTCGGTCCAACTACCCCAACTGTATTTCCTGTTTCAATTTGCTGATTTATTTATTGCCTCAGCCGACAGCAGCAACAACAACAGCAACATGAACAGAAGCAGCCGGCGACAACAGCAACAGCCAGACCTACACAGCCGCCCACTTGACTGATTTCCGTATTCTTGAAATGAGAAGAAAAAAAAATCAAAATGATATATGTATATATATATGTATATATATTTGTGTCGATTTTATATCTATATTAGTATCTGTATCTGTATCTGTACTTGTACCTGTATCTGTGTCTATCTAATTTGAGCTCCATCCGCTTTTGAATTCACCCTCTTCAGGTCTCTCCAATCGGCCATTGGGCCCGCCACATCGCAAGAGCAGTCTACCAAAGCATCAGGAGGTGAAGCGTCGCTTCCTGCAAATTTGTGATACCAACTTTTCGGATGAGGTTAAGGCGGCATTACGTCTGCCGGCGTTCGATTCATACGAATGGGGCGATGCGGATGTCATACACCTAATGCAGACCATGTTCCTTGAGCTCGGCTTCGTTGAGAAGTTCAGCATACCCGTCGACACGCTGCGCGAGTGGCTCTACGAGGTCTACAAGCACTACAACGAGGTGCCATTTCACAATTTTCGACACTGCTTCTGTGTTGCCCAAATGGTAAGTGTATTAGATATCGGCTAAATGTAAGTTAATGTTTGTAATAGGTGCGAATAGAACGGGTAGCTTAAGTAAGAGGTATTTGCTTAATGAATAGCCTAACATCTCTGAGCAGCATCTATTTAAAGCGTAGCTCTTAACCCTTAAAGGTGTGCCTAGGAGGTAAGACTTGATATCGATTTTAATCGATTTGTAGGGAAATTTTAAAAAGTTATCGATGAGCTGCATGTGTTATACAAGAATTTGAGTACTATGTAGAGTCAATTATATCCTTCGCTCATCGTCTACCTCGCTGACAATGCCTTAAAGGTCTTAAGTGTTGCAGAAAGCAAAGAATCAAGTGTTGGATAATGCTTGTAAAAAGTCTATTTAAAGCGTAGCTCTTAACCCTTAAAGGTGTGCCTAGGAGGTAAGACTTGATATCGATTTTAATCGATTTGTAGGAAAATTTAAAAAGTTATACAAGAATTTGAGCACTATGTAGAGTCACTTATATATTTCCGTCTACCTCGCTGACAATGCCTTAAAGGTCTTAAGTGTTGCAGAAAGCAAAGAATCAAGTGTTGGATAATGCTTGTAAAAAGTCTATTTAAAGCGTAGCTCTTAACCCTTAAAGATGTGCCAAGGTGGTAGGACCTGATATCGATTTTAATCGATTTGTAGGAAAATTAAAAAAGTTATCGATGAGCTGCATGTGCTATACAAGAATTTGAGCACTATGTAGAGTCACTTATACATTTCCGTCTACCTCGCTGACAATGCCTTAAAGGTCTTAAGGGTTGCAGAAAGCAATGAATCAAGTGTTGGATAATGCTTGTAAAAAGTTTTCTATAATCTCATTCATTATGAACTTTAATCTAAATTCATGCCATGTAAAGTCCAAATCTATTTATTTTTCTCTCAGATAGTTCATATATAAATAAATAATAGCTCATCTCATATCTGCACAGTACTGCAAAGGAATTTGTATGCAAAATAAGAAATTTCCAAATGCAAACTTAATAGTTTCATTTAAGCATTTGCTCTTACTCTAAATACCTGGCGCTGCCTCTGCCTCTGCCTCTGCCTCTGCCTCTGCCTTTGCCTTGTTATCTGCCAGTTGATGTATTCAAGCCTTAAATGCAGCTTAACTATTTATAATAACAGAAATGCAAATGTCCTTTGGTTATCCCGGCACACATGGCCCGCACCGACTGCTCAGCGCCTCAAATTGAATTCAATTGTAAATTGTATTGAAGAGATGCTTGCTAAATACATTGAAATATGAATAGTTCTCCACAAGAGCTTGTAGATATATATATGTATGTATGTATGCATGTATGTATGTATGTGGGAAAAGAATGCCTCAGCTGCATGCAATCAATATTTGCTATCTCTCTCTATGCGTGTGCTTGTGTGTGTGTGTGTGTGTGTATGTCAGTTTGTATGCAGCTGAACAATGGACGCCGCTTTGTATGCAACAGAATACGCCAAAGGCCGACTGAGTGTGTCTGGCTGTATGTGTGTGTGTGTGTGTGTAAGAAAAGGCCTATTTATAGCTACCAGAACAAACACACGCACACACACAGAGACGTATTTATATTTATGTATATATACATACACTCACACACACACAGCACATAAAAATAGCAACAACTGAAGAGCCAAAGAAATGGACGCGCCAAATGTTGTTCACTCCTCGCTGCAACAACAAAAACAACAACAACAACAACGAGCAGCAGCAGAACAACAACAACTGGCAGACAGACAAACAAGCTGACTGGCCACTAACCGAAAAAAAGCACTCGTCAAGCACCAAGCGCAAGACAACAGCAAAGAAAAAAAACAAAAACAAAAACATGAAAATAAAAAATTAAAAAGCAGGAAACAAACATTCAATCAGGCATAGCCGACGCTCAGATGTCCTACATACATATATGTAGAAAGAAATTATATGATGCAAATTTGAAAAAACAAAAGAGAAATAAATTATACGATACAAATCTATATATGTCTTATAAGTTTTTGAAAACAGTGTTGATAAACGGCAGAAGACAAAGAAATTGTGTCATACAAATCTGTATATGTATGTCTTATAAGTTTTGGAAAACAGTGTTGGTAAACGACAGAAGACAAAGAAATTGTATGATACAAATTTATATATGTAAAAAGTTTTGAAAAATAAAACAGTGCTGGTAAACGACGGAAGACAAAGAAATTATATTATGTCTTAAAAGTTTTGAAAAACAGTGTTGGTAAACAACAACAATAACATTTACTGCACAGCAATGCCAAGGCCAACGTATTATAAATTTCTTTAGCTATATGTATATCCCTCTGTATATACATACTTTGCATACTTAATAGGCCAGCCGCAAGACCCCATCTTAGTGTATATTAACAGCGCTAACCAGAGGCTAGCGAATTGCAAATTCTGTTGGCCAAAATTCACAAAAAAACAAAAATGAATAAAAAAAAAGAGAAATAAAAACAAGAAAACGAAGGCGACCCACTTAGATGCTCAAGTGCCAACGAAGCATTTTGCGAGCCGAGTTTTTAACCTAAATTTTTACCAAATGAAACTTTCACTCTTTATGCATATACATGTAGTAGATATGTATGTATGGATATATATATAAATATATATGCATATAGTTTATTTTGCTGTTAGTTTGGGACAACGATGAATTATTAATTTGCAGTTGTTAGTTGGCATCTTGAAGCTGCTTGGCCTCCAGAACTGGACCTTAGGGCACCTTAAAGGGGCAAAAAACGCTAGCCGAATTTATCGATAAATATCATTAGACATACAATTACAGAGCATTTGATATTATACTCGAAATAGTTTACAGAGTAATCAAAGTGTAGTGATTGGCAAACTAAAAATTTTAAAATAGTGTTGGTAAGCGTCCATTGGAAAATAGTTTTAATAATAATGGCAAAAATTATATTATAATTTAATTATATATAGTGTTGTTAGTTGGATATGCTTTAGGCCAGTGCTGATCAACATTTCAACTTAATTGACTCTCTTATAGTTGCTAAAAATCTTATAGCTAAACGGTAACATATATAGTGTTGAAAGACGTTTTTATTAAAGTTTTATTCACAAATTAGAAATTGGTGCTGCTAAACATTTATGCAAAAATATAACATTTAGTGTTGGCAAACGGTTGAAGAATTTATCGATATTCAATAAAGCGGTAGTGTAGATAAACGATCAGCTTTGGCAAGGAATTCTACTGCTACTCAAGAAAGTGTAGTGTTGGTTAACGCATTGAAACTGTATAAGATAATGTTGGTAAACATCAAGACAATATACGTATACCAAAATGGCAATACGATTGTGTTCAGTGTTGGAAAACGTTGCAGTGTGAAGTGAAACTAAAGTTAAGAAAATAAAACTTGCAGCTTTAACCAGGCTTTACTGTACTGTATATACATGCGTGCCATGTGCCGTGTGGCCTTTGGCTTTATAACAAGCAAAAGGAAAACTTAAAAAAAAAAAACGAAAAGAAAACAACAACAAGAAAGAAAGAAAAAGAAGAAAAAAAAAACATTTCAACTTTTGACAACAAAAGCGCCCCGAAAAAATAAGGGAAAAGTGGAAAATTTATGGAATACGGAACGGAAAAGCGAAGAGCTGAAAGAGAATTGGAGATGAATATGGCCCCGGGGCAGCAAGGTTGCACGCAAGGCAAGCTGCAATTGTTTCACATGTGGCATGCCGCAAGCTTCTGCCACAAAATGCGCTCCCAGACGCAAGTTGAAAGCAGCTCACAGTTCACAGTTCACAATTTTTTCGCAACTTGCCGCCTGCATCTTGCATTTTCGCTCAGGTAAAAACATACGGCGAACGCATGAGTCGAGTCGAGTCGCGTCGCGTCTCTCTAGCTCTTTACAATTCAGGCGCTCGGCTTTTTAGGTGGCCACACAAAGGACAACAATTGTTATTATTATTTCCATTGTTATTGTAGCTGTTGCTGTTGTTGTTGCTGTCGGCACAACAATGGCTGCACGCATTGAGCATGCGATATCGATAGGCGATAACCAATCGATTATTTAAATAACATTTGTGCTGTAGGCTGGCGGGAGGCTTATGCTGTATGCTTGCGGCTCACACTGCTGCAAATGCGGCAATCATATGCACTGATGGACCACAAGACACCCTAGGCAAGTATTTACCATATAAAGATTTGTCTAACAGGGCTGTCAAAAATATATCAAAATATCAATATATCGATTTTTTGCATGAAAATATATTTATATCGGAATATATTTGTTGTCTAAATATCGAATCTTTTTTAAAGATATATTTTTTATGTATTTGAGTATTAAGAGAACCCAGCGAAAATTATAAAAATGGAATATGGTGAAAACAAATTATTCTGACTTAAAAATTGGAACATCCAAATGTAGTGTATGTCTTAATGTAATAAAAACAAGAGCCTAACACATCAGATATGGCGTCGCATATGAAAAAACAAAGACTATGATTGTTTTGAGTACCGAATACTGGAGTTAAGCGGTCTTTGTCATATAAACAAAATATACTTATTTTTATTATTCTTGTTTTTTTTTTGGCACGGATGATAAATTTATTGTGGGAAAACAGTTATTAAAAATCTAAACATTTTGATATATCGGTATTTTTAAAGTTGCATATCAAATATCATATTGATATGTTTCAAAACATAAAATATCATCGGTACGATATTTTTAAAATATTCGACAACCCAATAATCTAGGCACTCAGCAACTGCTGCAAGTCATCGGCACTTATAAACCACAAGTTACTCTCTAAGCTAGGCTCTCTAATTGAACATTTCAATATACCAGCCATTGCCTAGCCAATATACCCAATGTAGTGCAATACCCTAGCTTTTATTGAACTACAATCTGCTCATGATGCATACAAATACATTGCATAGGCGGTTTTTGTGAGTCCTCTCGGCATATGGCACTTAATCGAAAACTCCTTGATCTACGCTGTGCGGCCTCAATGGCTTAACTTGTGGGGCAGCCCTCGCTGGCTAAACTACAAAATGGCCGCTAGACGCGTCTGCATATGCGTTCGTCTGTATTTTACAATTCAATGGGCGTCCATTTGCATAGGCACTCATGTATGTATGGTCCATGTAATTTCCTCGCCTCCAACGACTTCTCCTTCTCTCTCGCTCTCTGACTCACTATATACATTTATCTCTCTCTCTGCCGCTCCGTCTCTACGGACAGGACACAAACAGCCGTTAAGCGGCTTTCGCTTTTGCCTTCCTGTCATAGACAACAACAATGCACGAATACAGAAAAAAAAATCGTATGCAAAACAAAATAATAAATTCAAGTACATATGCTTGACTCACATGATACCCTGTAGGGGCTCATTTAGCAAATGAATTTTGAATGGAATGATTCGATTACTTGTTACATATGTTATATTGTTATGCTTGTAGAAATCTATCTCCCTTTCTTTCTCTCTCTCCCTCTCCCTCTCTCTATCTCTCTATCTCTCTATCTCTCTCTCTCTCTCAGTATAATCTGACAACTATAGAGCTAAATATCTTTCGATATCCAGGTCCGATATATAAGTAGTCCATACCTACCACAAGTGTAGGGCCGTAAGGATTAATCAAGCTCTCGAAGGCGGTGCTCATAGGCGGAAACATTGTACATTCGGCTGTTTCGACCCTCGCGACTATTCCCAATGTGAATAGCACGTGAATCTTATATGTATTTGTTAGCAATGAGTTTGTTTTGACTTTTGCGTTTCAAATGGAAAATGCGAAGCTCGGAAAATTATGATGAAAAACAAGTTTGAGGCAGGAGTCTGGCGCATTCTTGAGCTATTGTCGAATGAGCTGAGCCACTATGGAGATGTCCTTTTGCTATTTGACAGGTTACAGTCACGGGTCGCAGATACCCTACTAATTTAGGGCACAATGCAGATCTCGCCCTCCTCTCCATTGCCTGACATTGCTGTTCGATAGAAACTACCCTTCCATACTCGACAGGGTATTGCCTTCTAAGCAGTGCTGCTACTGGATATACCCTTCTGGTGCTAACCTAGGCATGAATTACAGGGTAAAACCAATAAATGTCTGACTGAGCTATTGAGCTGACAATGGGCCCAGTTGGCGTTTGGAGAGCAGCACACACACACACAAACGCACACCCATTATTACAAAGTGTTTTTCTTTTTCACGTTTTTCGTTGTTTTTTTATTTTTTTTTTTATGCCCGTTACCAAATGAGCGACGCATCAGCTCAGCTTTTCATTAACAAAGTGCAGTTTGCCAGTTGCCAGTTGCCAGTTGGCAGTTGCAAGTTGTAGTTGATTTCCTCGGGGTGTTGACGCTGCAAAACTTTTGCGAGTGTTGTGAATGCCTGTCGAGCATTGTGGCGGTCTGGGCTTGGGGCTGGTGCTGGGGCTGAGCTTATGGCGGCGGGTGATGGGTGATGGGCTTTTGTGGGTTGAGCTGACACTTTCCACATGGTCGTTGCGTCTGTTTGCTGACAATGAATTTAGATAAACTTGCGAAATTCGAAATGCAAACAGCATTTGCATTTGCATAAATTTATAGCAGCAATAGGAGACGCCTGCCTCCCTCCATCCAACCACCAAACACTCCCAGCTGCGCTTTGTCACGCCCCGACAAAGATTTTGCATTCACACAGCGCTGCTTAATGCCAAAGTAAACGCAGCGACGACGACGACCGAAAACTTGTGCAACAGCAAAACTTAAGCGAGCCCTCAAGCACCAGATCTAAATGTATATATATATATATATATATATATATATATATATATATATGTATCTATCCAATACTAGTTTCCGCGACCCCTCAATTGCCAAGTCCAACTTTGTTGAGCAAAGCAAACTTTACGCTGCTTTTGTATTTCAAAAAGCTTAAATTGAACGCTGTTGAAATTCCTTAAGGGTCTCTTAACCAACCATCTAACCAGCTCTCCACCACAACCTCTACTCACCTACCGCCCGCCCACACGCCCAGACGCCCACTGCCCCTGGCCCTATCACCCTGTCGCCCAGCAGGAGGCGAGGCGTCTGCTCCTGAGTGCTGCTCTAGTAGCTGCTAGTAATTGCAAAGGTTTCGCAGCCGTTTGCAGCGGACAAATTAAGTTGGCTTTCAGCTCTACCTTTACCAATACCACCAATACCTATACCGTTAGCACTGCCAACGGCTGCCGCTAAGGCTGCTGGCCAAGTTTAAGCATCAAATGCGATTTGGCTTAATAGTTTGCAACATTAAAAGTGCGCGCGCTGCCAGCCAACCAGTTGCACTCGCCGACCCACAAGCGAGGCCGGGCCAGCAGCGCCGCTTTCTTTAATTAGCCAAATTGAGAGACAATCCAAGATGGAGAATGGGTGTTAAAGACCAACACAGAGCGAGGGAGAGGGTGAGTGATGGACAGAGACTGGGAGCAAGTGAGAAATAGTTAGAAAAATGAAAAGCGTGCCCAACTGCAGTTGACAGGGTGACACAAAAGATACCCTTTGAAAGTAAGCAAAGGGGTAGCTGAACTGCAAATGTACTATATACAAATATATGATTGATTGATGGTCTCACTAATGTCAGTTGACAGCAGCATTCAGTGCTCAGCCTGATTAATGAGATACCCCTTAAATGCTCTCCTTAAAACATATTTAGGTTGATCAACAAATATATCAAATGAAATGTGATTGAAGAAATGCGTTTAGCATGTGATTGATTGAGTGACTGATTGATTGATTAGGGTCTGAGGAGTTTAATGGTACAAGTTGTAACAGTTTGAGTTGATATTAAGATCAAGTACTCCAGCAGCCTGAGGCGGATCCAATACTGATGAGATAACATTGATAGACTATTGTGATTGATTGATTATGATTGATTGAACGCACTCTATTCCTGGCTTAAGCTTAAGAAACTAGACTAAAACATTATACCCTGATTTCCCATTGAAACTGGGTTCAGGGTATAATTAAACAGATAAGTGCTCGCTAAAGGGTAATCTAAACGAAAGCATACCCTAAGCTTCAAAGTTTTCAACAGAGATACAGTACTTAATCTATGCACTTACAGGGTATTTACAATTGAGTAATGAATTCAAATTTCTTGCATATCCTTGCAGATGTATGCGATTACACGCCAAGCGAATTTACTGACTCGTCTGGGCGATCTGGAATGCCTCATATTGCTCGTATCCTGCATTTGCCACGATCTCGATCATCCTGGCTACAACAACATCTATCAGATCAATGCACGCACCGAACTGGCACTCAGGTAAGGCACTACCTATATGGATATAGATATAGTTATAGTTATATATACCATTTTTTTCCTACTTGCTTATAGATACAACGATATCTCGCCGCTGGAGAATCATCATTGTTCGATTGCATTCCGTTTGCTGGAGCATCCCGAGTGCAATATATTCAAGAACTTTAGCCGTGACACATTCAAGTGAGTATTACAGCCAGGGCAGTTGGCGTAGGGCTGAGGGCTGAGGGCTGAGGGCATTGGGCAATGGGGATTGGATCAAATGCGAGCTGGCAGCCAGCAATTTAATTGCCAACTTTGCTTGAGTCCATTTTATGCGCGGCACGTACAAAATGATGTTGCATTAAACGTCGGCACCGTTTGCCGTTGCCCTAATTAACACCCAACACGGACGGAGTGGTCGGTGCGGACGGTGCGGACGGCGCGGACAACATGGCCAACATGGACAACATGGCCAACAGCTGCAACAGCTGCCACCTGGCAGGCTTATCGATTTGCTGCTCAGCTCAGCTGAAGCAGTTAACTCCATGGCTCTCTTTCTCACTCCCTCTCTCTATATATATATATATATCTCTCTCTCTCTCTCTCTCTCTCTCTCTCTCTCTCTCTGTCTCTCTCGCTGACAGTCCCTGTCGTCTTTGTCGTTGTCGCTGCTTCAGCTTATTGCATTCTATGCAATTGTATGCGACACCCTTTTGGCACACGACGACACAGCGAACGGGCACGCAGCCGACAAAGGCGGAGCAGGTGGAGCCCGTTGGGCCCGTTGGGGCGCTTGGGACAGGCTGGGCAGGTGCTCTGCTAGGGGCAATGGCAAACCGATTTAATGCTCACAAATTGCAGTTAAGCTGCTTTTTGAAAATACTTATAAAAGAAATACGCGCATTATGATTGAAGCATTTTTGCGTAAACTCAATTTAATTCGGATTCGGACACTGAATCTGATTCGGTTTCTGATTCTGATTCTGTGGCCTTTCAATGCGAATATCGTGCCACAAAGAAGATATGAAATAAATAAAATACGACTGCAGCAGGAAAATAATTTTTATCCTGTTGCTTCTCATCTTTTGCCGGACAATTTTAAGCTGTAATAAAATATGCTTTCGGAATTTATTCAGCTATAGATCTTGTGTATTTAACGTTAGGGTAAGCTCTACATATTCCTTTGTTTACAACGCCTTCTCTCTATGTCTCTCTATTTGCTATCTCTTTATATTCGCTCGATTGCTCTCTCTTATTGTATATCTCCCCTTTTCTCTCCTCCTTTTTATTAAACACTCCCTTGCTCTCTATCTCTCCCCCCCCTTCGTTCTCTCTTTCCCCCTTCTCACTCTTTCTCTCACTCTCACTCTCACTCTCACTCTCACTCTCACTCTCACTGTCTCTTTCTCTTTATCTCTTTCCCTCTCTATGCCTCTCTCTCTCTCTCTCTCTCTCTCAGACATTCACTCGCCCTGAGTCACTTTCCTTATCTCAATCTTATTCTCTCCCTTTCTCTCTCTCTCCTTCTCTCTGTCTTATTTCCCATTGCAATATTTTCTACAGTATTTTCTTTGACACCTCTCTATCTTAATTTGCCATCCCCTGACAAAGCTTCTCTTCTTTCCTGCATCTCTCATTCCTTCCCCCTCTTCCTCTCTCTCTCTCTCTAACTCTTCGGCCTTCTGTTTCGTCCTTCCCTTTCTCAATTTTCTTTTTACTCGATTATGGCAATCAATCAGTCAGCTGCCTTTAGACTCAATGCAATTAGGAATTTAACTCCAGTTTCCCTTTTACATGACTCCCTATAACAATTACGAACAATGCATGATTCCAGGCTTGATGCTAGCTGCAATCCTCAAATTCCAAATTTCAAATTCCCAATTCCGAATTCCAAATTCCAAATTGCATTCAATCTATCAGCGATGATGGCTGCCAATGGAAGTGCGTAAAAATATCGCATTTCTCGCTTTCAATTCAATCCAAATGCGCGCACAACACACAAATCATATCACACACACACTCACATAGGTAGAGTCGTCGTTCCCGCCCCCCGTGTGGACTGTCGATAATTCTTGATTGGACAATAGCTGAATTCTAGGTCTGCAGCCTAATGCCAGCATGAATTCTAATTAGATACTCCATGGCGTGCCATTGTGATGCAAATTGATGCATTCATGGGATGACAACAAATTCCGTGAATTACACAATAACGGGAAATATTATGTGGAAGCTCTGCTTTAGCTGCATTCCAAGCAACAGCTCATGCTTCAGAGCATACAAATTTTAATGCAAATGCCAGACATTATGATGTTTTCTTCTCCTGCTGCTGCTGCCTCTGCTGCATTTAATGGTACTATAAACTATTGCTCATACCAATTAGCTGGCTGACCCTCGGCTCTGGCTACTTTAAGCTTATTATACCCTCGAAGGAGCGCACTGGACCATCCAGCGGGTCCATCGCCGCCTCCACAGGCTCCGCGGCCCTGCCGCGTGGCTTTTGGCTTCTGATTAATTGGCTTAATTCTTGTGTTGTGTGCACTTTCTGCACTCATTGCAGCGCATATATATTACAAAATGCTGCAAACATTAATTAGCCGGATTAGTTGGCTGCAAGCGGAAATGTTTTTTATGCTGAATTGCGAACGGGTGTTGGCTGCTGCGAGGGTGGCATCCAAAGTAGCTAAAATGGCAGTGGAATGGCAACTGAAGCCATCGATAAAGTCGAATCTCTTGTCTTACCCTTGGCATATGGCATATTGCATCAGATATGCTGAAAGGATTATGTACGCACTATTCCGGCTAAAGCACCTCAGAGAGGCTTCAATGCTGCTTGCTACAGTCATAGATGGATCACCTAGCAACTGGCCTAAGATCCTAAAGAGCTTGCTCCTGCTGAAGGAGCCTTAAGGGCTCACGGAACTGTTTGGAGACCGACCTCACTCGAATTTACCTAGTCCAAATTTCAGACAACTCTTTCGAATTATTTTCATGCATTCGATCATCTAGAAACCTAGCGACGTCATGTTATCGATAACTTAAGCAGCTGCTGAAGTATAGTTATCGAAAAGAAATCCCTACCAGTCCTTTCATCCTTTCAGTCCTATCCTTCATCCTACTTACACTTTCATTGCTTGTATACTGAAAACAGTTGAGCTAGCCTTAGCAGCACTTCTGCATCTTTCTTATTGAAAATATATAATCTATAGAATAGTACAAATATATTCTTGCCTATCAATAAGGGATCGTCGCTTCCTCTTTATATACAAATTTTCAACTCAATTGAACGTTTTCGGTAGATTCAATCAATAGTAATTGTTGTCCCTTCAGACGCAACCTAACCACAGGTCCCAGCCTTGATATTCCAAGAGTTTTCAAGAAAAACCCATATCAAACACATGGAAATGTTGCACAAATTCATTGCTAACATTCACGTCTCAACAAATACTAATTAACAAATTGGAATTTCAAACTTGTGGCACGACCCTCGAGGAGTGGCATGGGCCTGGGCATGCCCACCATCATCATTAGCAGCCGAATTATCATTAAGATTGGCATTAGCATTACCATAAGCATTATCGTCATCAGAAACTGCGAAGGATGAAAGCTGCTCTGCCTGCTACTCTTGCTCCTCCTGCTCCTGCTGCTCCTCCTGCTACTGCTGCTGCTTCTCCTGCTGCTCCTGCTGCTGCAGCTCCAACGCCTTTTGCTTCACTGGCGAACCGCACTCAGAGTTTGGCACGTTCGAAAGTCCCGGCGTTGGGCGCCTTCACGATGTTTTGCTGCCAAGTTTGCGTGCATAAACTGATGCATACATTTGGGAGTTTCTAATGGCAAAACTTGCACACACACACACAAACAAAAAGTGGCCTTGGAAATTCTATGCACCAGCTGCAGCAGTCGGAGCAGCAGCAGCAGCAGGAGCAGCAGGAGCCGGGAGTGCCAAGAAGTTGCCGAGCGATGCCACATGATACTCTTTGCCTATTTGTACGCTGTCTAACCGTGCATAAACATGCCTGCAGTCAACATCATATATTGTTTATGCACTCTCCCCTCTCCCTCGCACTCTATGGTCCATCCTCTCTCTCGCTCCATCTCTATCTATCTCACTCTGTCTGCGTCGTGGGTGTGTATTACCATGTTGCCACAAGTAATAATCAACTGGGAATCATCTCACATTCCTCTTCGTTGGAAATACTTTTGAGGGCATCCGGAACGACTGATGATTATCTACTATCATAACATCTTCCACTTACTATCTACTATCTACTATATTCTGCTTACTATCTACTATCTACTATCTACTACCTGCTATCTACTATCTACTATCTACTATCTACTATCTACTATCTACTATCTACTATCTACTACCTGGTATCTACTATCTACTATCTACTATCTACTATCTACTACCTGGTATCTACTATCTACTATCTACTATCTACTATCTACTATCTACTATCTGTTATCCACTATCTACTATCTGTTATCCACTATATACTATCTACTATCTACGATCTACTATCTACTACCTGCTATCTACTATCTACTATCTACTATCTACTATCTACTATCTACTATCTGTTATCCACTATCTACTATCTACTATCTACTATCTACTATCTGTTATCCACTATCTACTATCTGTTATCCACTATTTACTATCTACTATCTACTATCTACTATCTACTATCTACTATCTACTATCTACTATCTACTATCTACTATCTACTATTTACTATCTACTATCTACTATCTGTTATCCACTATCTACTATCTATTATCCACTATCTACTATCTACTATCTACTATCTATCTACTATTTACTATCTACTATCTACTATCTACTATCTGTTATCCACTATCTACTATCTACTATCTACTATCTATCTACTATTTACTATCTACTATCTACTATCTACTATCTACTATCTACTATTCACTATCCACCTAACATTTCCACACTTTAAAAAATTCCACATCAGTCGAATGAGATAGTCGAGGGTATTCATATTGGAAAGCTTTACTCTCGGATATACCCTGAAAAACAGACGTAAAGCAATGATTTATCCGGCTACCAGATGCGGCACTTCTCCGGCGGATGCATCGGGCTGCCTGCCTTGCAGTCGAAGGCCTCAGCGAACTCTGGGAAGTTGCCCAGCACATTGTTGACACGTTCCCGGTGCGATGCATGCTGAAGGGCGCCGCTAGATGGCGCCACCGCCTGTCCGCACCAATTCTGGGCAAAAGCGACGAAAAACGGTCGCATCGTCGCATTGGCCGGCTGCTGCATGCGATACGCCTCGTAGGCCAATCGCAGTCCCTCGCTGTCCGCAATATTCTCGTTGATGGTCAGCGTGGCATTGCTGTAGCGTGCCCCCAAATAGCAGCCCGCGCGCAGACCGAATCTGATGATGGCCCGGGCCGGCCACTGGCCGCCAGCCACACGTCCGGCTGCATCGTAGTTGATGCCGTCGTAGTCGAAGCCGTGGATGAGCTCGTGTCCGATCATGTAGCCCAGGCCGCCCATCAGCTGAGCAGCCGCCTCCGCCCGCCCGGCCGCCGCACAGTGGGGCAACAATGGGGGCCGCAACAGGCCCAGCGGCAGCTCGATGGCATTCAACTTCAGCCTGTAGTAGACATTGACGTCCAGGGGTCCGACCGAGTGGCCCGTCCAGCTGATGGCCGACTCGCAGGGCAGCTGCAGGCACTGCAGGCCCAGCTGGAACTCGGCCTCCGACTGGGCGCGCGACAAGTGCAACAGATTCGAGTCGTAGCTGCGCGACTGCAGCACACGCTGTGGCGCCTCGCCCAACTGCTGCGGCAGCGACAGCGGCGGCGACAGCAGGAGCCGCATCGCGCGCAGCTTCTGCAGCGCCAATGTCTGCGTCGCGGCGTCCTGCTCGAAGATGGGCGTGGCATTCAGCAGGCGCTCAAACTGTGCCTTGATCGTGTCGAACAGCTGCTGCAGCTGCAGCTGCGTGCGATTGAGGAACGCTGCGGCTGCCGCATCGCTGCCGTGCAGAAGGCGCAGCTGCAGCTGCGAGAGCTGCTGCGGCATCAGCTGATTCAGCTGCTGCAGGCAATGGTCACGCTGGGAGGCCAGCGATGCGTCCTCGTGCAGATGCAGCTCGAAGTGCGCCGGCAGCTGCAACAGCAGCCAACTGGACAGGATCCAGGGATCGGCGCGCTGCAGCAGCTCCTGCAGGCGCTGCAAGTAGTTGGAGTCGGCGACCAGCAGCAGCTGAGTCGTATAATGCTCGCCCAGCAGCATTTGGAAGTAGTCCAGCAGCTGGAGCTGCGGCAGCTGTGCGGCCAGCTCCTGCAGCGTTTGCGGCGCGTGCAGCACGAGCGTCTGAGTCGATGGCGGCAGCAGCGCGCGCAGCTGCCGCTCGAAGCCGACCAGCTGCTCGGCCAGGCTGGCAGCACGCCGCACTCGCAGCCCCAGCTCCAGCAGCAAGTACTTGAGATAGCGCTGGTAGAGAAACTCGCTCTGCTCGCTCGTGCCCAGCAGCTCGAAGCTGGGCGGCAGCAGGTAGAAGACGCGCTGCTCGGCCGCCTGCCAGTTGGGCTGCACCGAGAGACGCCACAGGCCCTGGGCGCCGAAGCGTCGCACCGCCGCATTGCCGCGCGGCCAATCGAAGCTGCTCGCATTGTTGAGCAGCGGCCAATCCGGCAGCAGCTGCTGCACTGCATCCATATAGACGTGCACCGACTGCCGGCCGTTCATGCAGCTGCCGTAGAACGAGGCCAGTTGATCCGTAGACGTGTCCTGCTCACCATTCAGCTCGAAGTGCCGCACCAGCAGCTGCTTGTTCATGGCCCGCAGCTTCGAGCGCATATCGTGAGCGCCCAGCGATCGCTGCCCGTACGGCGCATGCCAATTGCCGCAGGCGTGCTCGTGGAAATTCTCGCACGGCGGCTTGCTGACATCCATGGCATCCACTGCCTCCGACAGGTCACAGTGGACAGTGGCGCGGCCCCAGCTCTGGCCAACGAGGAGGAGGAGGAGGAGCAGCAGCAGCGACAGCAGCCACGCCAATTGACAATTGTTGAGCGTTGCCATTCCGACTTTCTCTTAGAACCGGACTGATCGGCATTTCAGCTCAGCTCGGCATCGAAGCTGCTTGGCTGCCAGCTAAGCAGCCAAATAGCTAAACAGCTGATAAGCCGTCGCTGATAAGCTCTGACATTGAGAGCGCTTTGCGCAATGCCAAATCATTGGCGATTGGGTTAGCGAGTGCTGATGCGCCGACAGACAACAGGCGAGGGCGGGCACCAAAGTTACCCACTGAGAAGATGGCGAGGAAATCCTAGTCTTATTCAGTTCATTTCAGTTAGCTAAATACTTGAATAATTTGGGTTAGCTAATGATTGATTAACCAATCAACATGGCATAATGCTAGTGATTGATCGACCTGCAGCAAGATTGATGCACTTATACAATAATGTGCTGATACTCTAATTGACACACTAATTTAGGGAGTAATGTAGTGATTGATTGCAACTGACTGACTGTACTATAGTCAAAGAGCAAACAAGTCATCAATCAATGACTTGCCTCAATAATTGACAGTGATTGACTGAGTAACTAAGTTATGTTATGAATGATTCACTGATTGTGCTGAAGCCGAATGATGGATGGTTTGATTGATGGTCTTACTCATATATTGTCTGATTCGTTCTGGAATAGACGAGCTGACTTATTCCGTAATGTAATAATTCATGCACTGAGAAAATCAAACGATTGGCATGGCTAAATGGCTAAATGATTGACGCGCTAACTTTATATACAATATTTAAATTGATTGACTAGTTGACTTAATCATTGATATTCGATTTTTGATTATCAGACTATTTGACTGCTGTTACTGATTGATTGAGTGATTGAATAAGGCGATTGACAGACTTGCTTAGTGACTGACGGCGTCACTTACTGAAGAATAAGATGATTGGCTCGTTTGCTAGCTTTCTGATTGATGCTAAGATTTATTAGTTGACTGACGGATGAAATGATTGATAGATTAGTTGAATGATACACTTAATTAATTGTTAATTCTCCAATTTACTGGATAAGTATTCAGGGCGAAATTTATACTAGACTGACTCTTAATTTACTCAGTATTTTACTTATATCGATTGACTGATTGACATATTTGCTTAATGATTGAGAAGCCAACTGAAAATATGTGCCATAATAATCTATTGATTTATAATAAATACTAAATCTAAAGATTGATTGACGGCTTTACTGCTCGACTCACTCGCTGTCAGACTAACTAATAATAATAAGCTGATATAATAAACGCTTGAATGATTCAGTGAGTCGCTGATTGACAAGATAAGTAATGCTTATTACGAGTAAGATAAATTCATATTAAACTCACCTTGGATTTATCTACTCAAGCTGCTTAAATTGGCAGCTCAAGCTCGATTTCTTTTCCATTCTCGAAACGCCAACAATAATTATTCGGGGAATTTCGCAAAAGAAATCTCGACTAAATGACAAGACACGATGAGCAGCAGGCGAAGCAAAGGAAGAAAAGAAGAAGGTAAAACCGTTGCTTGTCTCTGGCTCTGGCTCTGGCTCTGGCATTAAGTCAAGTGCATAAAACTCGCTTCGCTCTATTTGCCGTTGAGACGTGGCAGGTGTTGAAGTTTCGAATGCAGTAAACTCAAGTGCCACACACACAAACACACACACACACACATATACACACACGCTGCAGCTGGTGACTGACTAGCTGTTTGTCTGTGCACAACGTCAATGCCACTTGACACGACAAAATTCAATTTTCCGCTCGTATATGACGCGACTTTTGCACATTTTTCATTTTCTTTGAAATAAAAATAAACGAAATGCAATTTAATATTTACGCGCCGCATGCTGCTTAGCCTGCAACTATTCTCTCTGCCCCTCTCACACTTTCGCTCGCCCTCTCTTGCCCACTTGCGTCGCGTTTGGTTGCCTTCCCCTCGCTGTTTGCTCTGAATGTCAAAATATATATTTTTCGCTTTTTTCCGGTTAGCAGCGCTCAGCTCAAGTCTCAAGTCGCACGTGAGCCAAAAAAGAAAAAGCAGAAAAATAGTGAAATAGTGAAATAGAATGGGGCAAATCGGTTGGAGGGGAGGGGGCTGGGGTAGATAAGCAGCGGGTAAACAACACACCGAACATGGCGTATACGCAATGTGCACCCAACAAATATTACGTATACGCCCCGCATCTCGTACAATTGGTTGGAGCGCAGACTTAAAGCGCTTTTGTTCGCATTTTACTCTAGTTTCGAACCTTATCGAAGTCGTTTCTCTATATTTTCTCTCTACTTCTCTTGCAGTACCATACGCGAGGGCATCATTCGCTGCATTCTGGCCACCGACATGGCGCGTCACAATGAGATACTAACGCAGTTCATTGAGATTACGCCCGTCTTCGACTACAACAATCGTGCACACATCAATCTGGTAAGTGAAGGAGCTCACTGGACAGATATGCAGAGACAGTAGAGTATATTAATTTACGATCTCTGTTGCCAGCTGTGCATGATACTCATCAAGGTGGCCGACATCTCGAATGAGGCACGGCCCATGGATGTGGCTGAGCCGTGGCTGGATCGTCTGCTGCAGGAGTTTTTCGCCCAGAGCGCCGCCGAGAAGTCGGAGGGGCTGCCGGTGACACCGTTCATGGATCCCGACAAGGTCAGCAAGCCCGGCTCACAGGTGCGCTTCATTGGACTTGTGCTATTGCCGCTCTTCGAGGCGCTCGGCGAACTGGTGCCCGAGCTCACAGAGCTCATCATTATACCCGTGCGCATAGCCCTCGAGTACTACAGGTGAGTTGTCGAGCCATGCTGAAAGGATACGCATTTCAAGCTCGACAATTTTCACAGGCGCCTGAACGATGCACAGACCAAGACCCGCAAATCGGTGGCCGACAGCAATGCCTCGGCCACATCGGACAGCAACAGCGGCAACATGGACTCGAACGCAGCCATGGCCAGCACGCCCGGGCACAATGCGGCCGACAAGCAATTGTTGGACAATAATAAGGGCTCAAATGCTGGATCTGGAGCCGGAGGTGGGGGATCTGGAGCTGCTGGAACTGGAGCTGGCACTGGCGGCGGCGGTGGCGGTGGCGGTGGCAGCGGCTCACCTCAAATGCCGCGCTCTGGCTCCGCCATAAGTGTCAAATCACGTCGCAGCATACCCTCACAGAAGTCGGCGTCGCGCACCTCCGTGGATGAGCCAGGCGGCATGGCCGCTGAGCTCCACGATCTGCCCGAGGGCAGCGAAAGCGGCGATTCGGAGACAGCCACCGAGGTGGATGTAAGTTCAATGACAAGTAAAAGATTTAAAATTGGGTGCAATCAATGGACAGACGGACGGACGAACAGACAAACGGACTGACAGACTGAGGGGCATACTGGGAGATGGGCAGACGAATTGACTACTGAAGAAATGGAGAGATGGGCGGACAAATGAACAGACGGACAATGGACAGAGAGATTGGACGGTCAGCTGAATATACGGACGGACAGATGAACAAACCGACAGACGGACAGACAGACGGGCAATGAACGGACGGACATATAGAGAGATTGGACGGTTAGTTGAATTTACGGACGGACAGTTGAACGGACGGACGACAGACGGACCGACAGACGGACGGACAGACGAACATATAGAGAGACAGATGACAGACGAACGGACGGACAGACGGGCAACGGACGGATGGACATATAGAGGGATGAATTTACGGACGTACAGATGGACGGATGAAAGGACGAACAGATGGACCGAGAGATGGGCATACGGACATACAGACAGACATACGAACGGACATACAGAACAGAAGGACAGAGTGACGGACAAATAATCATAAGGCCAGACAGAGGAGCGAAGGGAAAGGCGGATAGGGGGCCGGCTAGATAGTCGGACAGAAGGACAGCACAGATACGTGCGGAAAAAATGGACAGGTAGACAAATGTTCGACAACCCTAATGTGAACTAGTATTAGAACCGCCATGACAGAAATTATCGAAACCTAATTAACAAATGCAATGCCCATCTTTTCAATGCTCCTCCAATGCAAGGTGGCTGAGAAGACATCCAAGTTCAAGGTGGACACGGAGGGCTGCAGCAATCGCAGCAAATCGTCGCACTCCACCTCACGGAAATCGTCGCGCGAGAAGCGGCCCTCGATGATTGGCGAGCTGTGCAGCAGCGGCGGAGGCCAGCGCATACGCAACTCGTACGGCAACATTCACGGCTATCACAGCAATCGGTGTCACTTTGGCAGCAATCGTGCGGTCAGCCTCGATCAGTACAGCACGAACAATCGCCGGTTGTCCGATGGCCTGCCCCAGGTCATCTCGGACAGCAATGTCTTCTACGGACGACCCAATCGTGGCAGTCTCGAGGCAACGGCAGCGGCGGCCGCGGCTCAGGGGGGCGACCTCAATATGAACACCAGCAGCAGCAGCAGCGGTCAAGCGGGAGCAGGAGCAGCAGCAGGAGCTGGAGGAGCTTCGCAAACTGTGCACAGTCAAATGTTGTCGTCGCTGCGCGAGTCAGACAAATTGCCAGCAACAGATGTAGCAGCGGCAGCAACTGTTGCTGCCAGCACCACCAATGGCAACATATCGCCAACGCTGACCCAAACCTTGGCCAGCAATGGCAGTGCGCGCAGCAGCAGTGCTGCGACAGCAACTGTTGTTACCGTGCAGCAGCAGCACCATCATCACCACCAGCACCACCACCACCACCAGCACCAGCAGCAGCAGCAACTACACCAGCAACAGCAGCAGCAGCCCAGCAGCAGCAGCAGCTCCTCTTGGAAGTCGCGTTTGCGTCAGTTCTCCGACTACTTCAGCTTCAGCTTTGACAAGGGCAACAAACGCTTTGGCAGCACACGCAGCAGTCCTTGCCCCGTGCGTGGCAGCAACAGCGGCGGCGGCGGCGGTGGCGGTAACAACAATGCAACAGGCAGCAGCAGCAACAACGCCGGCGAGCCGAACGCCGAGTCGAAAGCAACGCAGTCGACCGGCACCTATTGCAACATTTCGAATAGCCCCACGCCGGGCGGCCCATTGGCTGCTGTTGGCCAGGCTGCGGGTGGCATGGGCCGGCATCGCGCCTACAGCTTGGATGTGCCCTGCAGCCGGCATGCGGCGACACGCTACAGCTCCGGGGACAGCAGCAGTCGCAAGTCGTCGTCGCGGCACGACGAGCACAACAACAGCAACAACACGCTGCACAGCAGCAGCGGCGGCATGGGCACGGGCATGGGCATTGGCGAGCTGTCGGGCATACGTATTCGGATCGGCAGCGCTGAGGAGGGCGGCGGCAGTGGTGCCAGTGGTGGCAGTGGCACAACTGCTGCTGGCGGTGCAATCAAATTGCCGCCGAGCATCAGCTGTGAGATGGGCTTGGCCAGCGGCTCCTCATCGGAGCCGGTGCCAAAGATTTGACAACAGGGGAGCTCCGATACGACTAACACAAATACAAACAATTCGCTCTGCAATCAGGCGGCATTTCACACGGTCAGCACGGAGGAGGAGCCACAGCCGGAGGAGCGCCGCCAACGGCTGCTGCACCAGCAGCAACTGGAGCATGACGAAGAGGAGGAGGCCATCATCAACGACAGCGACGACGTGGATGGCAGCAGTGAGTCCGATGCTCTCCATCAGGACACCTCCAGCTGTGAGGTCTCATCGATGACTATGACCGTTTGGTCAGCCATTGGCCAGCGGCTCAATGCGCTCGTCTGCCATTGCTGTGAGCGCAAGCTGCCCGAGCCGGAGAATGTGTAAGGAGTCGATGCCAAATATAGCAACAATTGTGTCACGGACATGTACACACGCATCCATAAATACACACACACACACACACACACACACACATGCATTGACATTGCCATTGATATCGTTCATCGATAGTCGATAGTTGTCTATCGAAACCGTACAACAACAGTAACAACACGCACATATAAATTTTAATTTATTGTTTTAAGTTGAGCGATAAACGTTTGTCAATCGCTGATTGTTTATCCAAAAACCACATTTAGACTCAATAACAATACCAATAAGCATTTATCGATCATTCATTGATAGCACAAACGAAGTGTTAAGTGATTTATCAATAAGCATTTCTCAGTAGCACACTTTCGATAACAAGACAGCAGTCGTTTATCGCTTAGGCATAGCCATAATTAATATCGATAGTCACACATCCATAATTACCATTCATTGCAATTAATCGATAAACAACACATGTTTGTCGATAACATAGTCCAATTGCATTTATTGTCGATAGTATCGATTAAAAATTATTGCGTTCACATACTTACGCTTTCGATAATATATCGATGATGATTTAAAAATTACAGACATGCGCTAACATATCGATCAAACTCATATGCAGTCGACTATCATGCATTTACAACACACTCACATACTGACAGTCTTGATAACATATCGATGTTCATTTGTCAGTCACATGCAATAGCTTATCGATAATACATATCGATGCCAAACAGAAATAGTTGATAATTGTGCATTAATAGCATACTCACAATCTGCAAATATCGAAAAATATATCGATATTCATTTATTATTAGCGGGCAAACGTTTATCGATAACACATTTTTTTTAAGTCTTTTTTTTTTTAATTTTAATACTTTGTATGCAAATCTGTTCGTCTTTTATTTTGTCTATTAATTATTTACTTGACAATATATTAAATACAATTAATTAATTGATTGTAATAATATTATTATATTATATATTATTATTATTATTATTATTATTATTATTATTATTATTATTATATATTATTTTAATTGAAACGCTTTGAGTATTTTATTTATTTCATTTCGCGCCTGAATTCTTATCTTGGCCTCGATGTGTCAATGCCAATTGCACTGCGATTGGACATTGTGAAAAAGTGATTAGGAAAACGAATTGATGCAGCGAGACTTGTGTAGGGGGTGTGTGTGTGTGTTGGCCATGTTGCTATAGCCGGCGGCTGGGCACAGGCTGTTGCATATCATGGCCCGATTGGCTGCATGCGAAATGTGTTCCCGTTTAATTACACAAAACAAAAATTTTGCATTTCGCATACGCGATGCGAATGCCAATGCGAATGCGGTTGCATCCGATGCAATCAGAGTGCCACAAGTTGCATGCCACGCACACACATTCGCACATTCGTACACCGAGATTTAGCAGCCTCCTCGTTGCAGCTGCAGTTGCATCTCATTTCGAAATGCTTGAATTGAGTGCTGAGTGGGCAGCTGCCACGGCTGCTTGTGGCATGCAACGGCAAACTGAGCTGCAACCAGTGCAGTGGCATGCCCCAAGCATGCGTACACTTATGTGCCACAATCTCTGCGGATCACAGCTGCTTTTTATCCGTATGCATTTTAAGCACAGGCTAGCCAATGCGAGCAGTTTCAATTAGGCGCACCTCCAGTTGATATCTGAAAAGTTGAAGAGGTGAAAAACCATTGCGTTGTCGATAGTTTCTCGATATTTGTGTAATATAGCTTAATTTAGAGCCATATTTTATGAATCTACTCGTATATTGACACTGGATTGGGCACCATATAAATTTGGTTACATTTGATGAGAAATGTGCATATCGATATATATCGGATTTATTCCGGGAATATTCCATCAATTACGATAAGCCAGATTTTTTTTAAATATTCCACATATTTCATACAAATCGATATTGCTTTAGGAAATAATTGGTGAGCTTAAGCTGCTTAAATTTTAATATATTTTACATAGTTTGAGGTCTTCTTTAAGCTGAATATCGATAAAAATCGAATCTCTATTTCAATATATTTTATGCGTTTTAACTTATTTATTTATTTAACTATTTATGGGAAGCTAAAATGAATTTCAGCATATTGAATATATTTACTACAACTTCTTCATATACATAAATCGAAAACATCGCAAGAAATCGATTAGGAATAAAATATTCCATTTTATGCCAGATAGATATAAATAAATTCTTTTCGTTTATATATCATATATTTAATTTTTTTTTTTTTTTACTATTCATTTTCTCTTGCTTTTATTTATTTATTTTTTTTTTTTTTATCATCCCAGTCAAGACTTTAAAATTTCAATGGCAATGACGCTCGATAACAAAAGCTACACAACAGAATATTTTAAATTAATGGAGAAGAATAAAAGAAGTTAAATATAATTGAGAACTTAAAAACAACTATTGATAAATACCTATATGACAACATATCCTAAGCAGGATGTTAAAGTATTTGAGAGAAAAGATAAAAAAAACCTCGAAACTGCAACTGAAGAGAAACGTAAAGAATTCCGATCTTTACTCACTTAACAATTGTTAAAAAAAAATTCAAGTCCAATGAAAATATGTTATATATAAATGAAGCAAACTATGTGTATCAATGTAAATCTCTGTATGTAATGTATGCTAAGTCTAACAAACACACACACACACACGCGCACACTTACACATAAGGAACAAGTGAATGCAGCAAATGGAAAACGTTGCCTACTTTTAAGCGCTGCCTGAGCAAAGCCCCTGCAAAGCTTACTATAAGCAGAGCGTCAATGAAGCCGAGCTGGTACTTGGCAAACAATAACATACACACACACACATACGCACATATATATATATACAATAAGTGTAAATGTCAACTGCTAAACTATAAATTTTCCGAATCTTTTTTTTTTCTTTTTCAAACTATTTTTTCAGGCCAAATGGCATAGATTTAAGAGTTTACAAAGATTTTTAAGTGTCTAGCAAATAATGCAAAATAATCAGAAAACTTAAAATATATATAAATGTATTTATATCGATATATATACATACATATTTGTATATATTATGTGTGTGTGTTGTATTTGTTTTAAACTAATTGTAATAGAAAATTAGTTATTGTTTGTTTTAAATGTTGTTTTTTTTTTTTTTTCTTGTAGCTAAGTATCGTCCGTGTTGTTCTTGTTGTTGTAATTGTTGTCAGTTAAAAACTAAAATAAATGTTTGTTAAATCGAATGACAACAACATCAAAAATAATGAAAACAAGTTTGCTCGATGTCGATGTCTATAGATTTATATACACATATATATATACATACCTTTTTTTTGGTAGTTAGACTAGAATTCTAACTAAACTAACACACATACAAATATACATACATATATATGTATATGTATACTAGATGGAATCTTGAGTAACTTTATAGAGTTGAGTTAGTGTTAGACGATATTAAGCAGTATCTGATGTCGCTTACATACTCAAACAAGCAAACACACACACATATATATATATATATAGCTGTATGTATTGGTGACAATGTTATGTGTATTTGTGTTGTATTTAAAATAAAACCCAAAAACAAAACGAAAACGTCACACAACTTCCCTTGTTTAATGATGAAAAACATAAAGACTAAATACTTGAATTTACAAAATCCTTTCCAACAAAAAAAAAAAAAAAAAAAAAAAAAAAAAAAAAAACTTAAAGCTAATGCTAAAACTAAAAACTAAAGAATTAAAAAATAAAACTATAAATATATATATATATATATATATATATAACAAAAAAAAAAGAAAACAAAAAATTCTAGGTGTTTTACAAAATGTATAAAAAATTAGAAAAGAAACAAAAAAAAAAATTGAGATAAAAGAAATTTTAAGCATAATTTAATTAGCCTAGACTCTGAGAAATATGCTTATCGATGTAAATTTTAGTCAACTATTTTGGCAGTCAATTAATGAAAAACCCACACGCCACAGTCACGCCCCAACGCCCCCACGCACCCCCAAACCACTGACTCAAGTTACAAACTATAAAAGTTCAAGCCCAACAAAGTTCAAAAACTAAAGCGACTCAAAGTAAAGTTAGAGAAATGAAATTTCAATTCATGTTGCTGGATCGTACATAGTTAAGATCTGAAAAGGCTTAGCAATTTGGACCAAACAACAACAGCAACAACAAATATAACTACAACTAGAACACACTCTCTGAATGAAGAAACACTTTGAACAAAATATTTACTGAATATACTAGCAGCATGCCTCACACATATACACACATAACTGCATACTAGATAATACGTATTACTCGTTTCCCAATAATTGTACGGTTAAAACGAAAGCAAATGAATATTTAAAATATATCAACAAAATAGTTAAATGTTACCTACGAAACGAAGGACGGCAATGAAATCGAACACTATGAACCACAACTACCTGTCCACTATTTACAGCACAGCTAGCTCAAGCCCGAGACACTGGCGGACGTATATCGTATATTTTATATCGTATATGGTGTATCAGGTATCGTAAGGCCTATAACGTTAGCGTATATGATATAATGTATATCATTATGCCGTATATCGTATATCTTATGGTTCATAGTACATGATATATTGTATGGTGTACACCGTATATGATATATTGTTTATCATATATCATGTATCGTATACTGTATATGTTATATTATATATCGTATACCGTATATTGTGCGGTTTATGTATATGATATATTGTATATCGTATATCATATATCGTATACTGTATATCTTACATATTTTATATCGTATATCGTATGGCTATTGCCTATATGATGTACTGTGCATTGCATATTTTATATCACATGCAGTGTATCGTATATCGAATATCGTATGATCAATATACCGGGTGTTGAATATCGTAAATTGTATATGATGTGTCAAGTATCTTATATCGTATGTCGTTCAGCGAATATGGTATATAGAAAATTGTGTATCGTATAACGCATATGATATATGGAGTATGACATACGGTATATCGTATAACGTATATAATGTAGCTAGTTCATGACATATACACAGTCTACGGTACATACATATATAAACAACATATGATAGATGATATGTTGGGACTATATCCTACTGTATGACCATATTTCGAATATCGTATATGGCATATATTGAATATCGTATAGGATATATCGCATTTACAGTTTACTAGTGTTGACGGCCGAGGCAACTACTTTATACTTTTTTACGTATCTTACAATTGAAAGCGAGAGCGTTACTAACTTCCAAAACGGTTTCCATGCCACTCAACACACACTAACGCACACACACACACACACACACATCTGCAGAGAAAGCCCCTTTTAAAGAGAGTATATACTAGATATACACATATATCTGACAGTGTAGAATTCAAGTTGATATTAATCCCAAGATAACGACAACAACCACCGATAACGGACCACAGTAGTGCATCAGAGCGCTTTAACCATGATTCATTCATTGTTATCGAGATATCGAGAGACATCAACTGTTGCCAGTGACACAAACGGATACGGCATTTTCGATGGGGCGCCACAATGCCCGATACTTTATAATTTCACTTCTGGCTTCCTCTCCCTCTCTCTCACACACACACACAGATACAAAATAGTGCACTCTTAGAGAAGTATATTTAAGTGCATAGAGACTATATACTAAGTACTATATACATACATACATACTATACTATATAAATATATATATATATGGTATATGTATATACTAAATACTAGCGACCCTCCTGAACTTTCAAACCAAAAGCCTTTAATTAAAACAAAACAAAAACAAAAACAAAGACTACATTTTATTATACAAGAATAAAAAATCGGGGATAACGATGAACCAAAACTTTAATGCAATTTTAAATAGAGTACGAGTATTACGAATACTATTAGTATAGCATACTTCGGCAGGCCGAAGCCTAGATGCTCCCTCTCACTCTCTCTATCTATTATTCAGTCCATCTCACTCACTCTCCTTCAAGGCCCACACACAGACACAAACAGGTAAGAAGTTTTAACCAAAAACAAAAAGAAAAGAGTCCTAGAAAACCTATTCAAAAAAAAAAAAAAAAAAAAAAACATATATATACATAGATATATATGTTCTTTTCGATATATATTTATATATAAATGTATGTCAATGAAAGAAGTCTATATACAGTTATATGTTATATATATGTATACTAAAAGAGATCAGATCATAGTTATTATTTATAAGCAGAAGCCGAAGTTACGTGGAGAGCCCTAAAGAAAACTTAAGAAGTTGTTGAGCAAAATAAATGAATATATATATACATAAATAAATACTAAATGAAAAAAGAAGAAAATTATGAAAATGATATGGAATCAATTATATGGTATACCTATACAAAAGCAAAAGCAGAAGACAAAAGAAAGCAGCAGTAACTGGCGCGAGAAACTAACTGAAACACATTCAAAAACTATTCACGAAACAGAAAAACACACACATACATACATATAGACATATATGAAATAAAAAAGAAAATACTATATTATATAAATAAAAAACAAATACTGCAAATTTCTATGCACAACGTGTTATATAAGTGGCAAATACATACATATATACATACATACATATATTAGCAGGAGCAGCAAAACTTAAGTGTAAAATACTAAAGCAAAAACAAAAAAATACCATACAAATACCAAATATCTATATATATACATATGCATGCATACATACATACAAGTGTGTATGCCAAGTTTTTTTGTCCCCCATTTAAAAAGCAGTGAAAATTGAAATACTGATGACAAAATACTAAAGCAGTTGGAAACTATTTACAAGCGGTATGAGTACAGCACCCACAAAACATTCAAAGAAAAATACCAACAAGAAGAAAAAATACACACACAAAGAAATACAAGTACAACTTGTTAACGAACCCAAAGAATCATTCAAAATGAATCCATAAATTACAATATTTAACATATATATATGTATGTACTATATACATATATTTATGTGTATCTGAGAAATATGAGAAATCTATGTGTACAATGAAATATTTAACTCAAATGCATTAACGACAAAGCAGCAACAATAAACATTTAAGTACTATCATAATATCATATAAATGATATATCTGTATATGAACACTATCAACACAACTGGTATATACCAAACAAATAAATATATATATATTTATTCAAAGAAAAACCCACACAGAATATAATAATACTACTAAAGAAGAAAACTCAAACAAAATACCGAAATTCCAAAACCCAAACAACAAGCATACTAAAAAATAATACAAAATACAAAAAAAAAATAAAAATGAAAAACTTTTTCTGAACTGCATTTAAATGGAAAATCTTGAAATTGAAAATAAAAATAAATAAATAAATAAAAACAAAAAAGAATATCGTATTTAACATTTAAGTTAAGTCCAATATTGAAAATGTTTTGGACAACAGCGAGCACGAGTAAACGAGTACGAATACGAATCCGAACACGAATACGAATATGAATATGAATACGACTATGAGTACCTACCTATGGGTATTGCTCACATAGCAAACGAGTACTCATGCCACTCGCTCACATACACTGACAACACATACAAACACACACTCATACACACACACTCACACATGTATTTTTGTGTAAAAGTTTAAAACATGAAGAGCAGAAAAATATGAACTACTGATTAATATGAAATATATTGAAATAAAATAATTTCCAAACTAATTACAAAGAAAAAGCTTTTGCTCGTTTCATTTGCCTCTTGCTTAAGCTAAAAGCCGTTTTAAAGCTCTCTGCATGTGCTGGATGTCGCGAAATATGCTAAAAGCTCGCTCGAAGAGCTTTGTATGCGTGAGCTTTTAGCCATTTTTCTTCAGTTGCATTGCTGCTGCAACACTTTCGCAGCTTTCTCCCGCGCGCAACATGTTGCGTGTGGCAGCTGTGTTGTATGCTAGAGTTAAGAAGAAGTTGTGAGCGTAAAAAAAATACTAGAATATTTAAAAAAATTTAAAATATGTGTCTAGATGATTATTAATTTAATATGTTTTATTATCATTAAACTTAGTCTATTTAATATTTTTGTATATATTTTTTAAACAATCGATTGCATGCAATTGAAGCACGCGCCATTGCAGCATGTTGCAGCACATGCCGCTGTTGCGTTCGACTGAGCGCCTTCATACAGGCTCGCACATGCTCGCACACGTTCGCAGCGCAGCCGCCTCGAACATCCGCAACTCAGTTGACATTTGCAAGCGCGGCGCAGCAGTCGCTGGCGACGCTCGATTCGGCATTCAGCTCGGACACACCAGCTCTCGGTTCGTTGTGGACGCTAAGTTAATATATCGCAGTTAATAGCAGAGGCAGCGACAGCGGCAGCGGCTGCGGCAGTGACGCAGGCAGCGACAGCGCTAGCCAACAATAAAAGCGAAAGGAAGAGCAACAACAAATGGTCGCTGCTCCTGTGTGTGAGAGGGCACTTTATTTGTTGTTGCATTTGCCATTTACCATTGTTGTTGTTGTTGTTGTTGTTGCCATTTTACGCTAGTTACTGCTGCTGCTGTTGGTGCTGCTGCTGCTGCTGCTGCTGCGTTCGCCGCGCTTTACATTCTCGCTCCATTCGCTTCATTCCGTTCCACTCGCCATTTTGTCGGCAACGTGCCCTGTGGAAGGTGGACGCGAATTTTTTGTGTGTGTGTGTTTTGTGCTTTTTGTTTTGGTTTCATGTGTGTGCGTGTGCCTGTGTGTGTGTGATTTTTTTCTACTGTTTTTGTTGTTGCCATCATTGCTTTAAGTATTTTTAGTGTTCGCGTGCGAAATTCGGTGTCAAAGTGAAACATTCTACGTGAGATGTAAGTTGGAAGAGGCCTTGAAATGTCCTGAAACAGGCCAAACGAGAAACGACAACAAACAAACATAAAAAAGGCAAATAAGAGAAAATCAATGCGCGTGCCGAATGTGTGTGTGTGTGTGTGTGTGTGTGTGTGTGTGTGTGTCAAAGAAAATCCATAAAGCGCGCTGTGAAACTCGTCGCAGTCGAGCTATGCGAATAATTTATAAGATTGAAATTAAAGACACCGAACAGCGCTCTCTCTCACTCTCGCTCACTCACTTTCTCTCACTCTCTCTCTCTCTCTCTCTATGTGTGTGTGTGTGTGAAAGTAACCACAAGAGGCCAAAAGGAAGATAGCGCAAACAATTTCTTGGCAGCTGCCTCAACTGCAAACGAAATGCCGAAATGCTTGGCCTGGCCCCAAAGCCGCCTCGCCCGCATCCGCATTTCGTTCCACTTCTGTTCTGCGCCTCCCTCTATCTCTCTCTCTCTCTCTCTCTCACTCTCTCTTGCTGCAAAAATGTTGTAAACATGCGAGGCCGCTGCCAGAGGCGCTGGCAGCATCATACGGAACAGCTGATTCGCCTTTGGGCCGCATTGCCAAGCGCTATAATATGCACACACACATTCTAACACACACACGTGCATCTAGGCGAAAGCAAAAGCATCAGAGCACTAGCAATAACTTTTCTTAAGTGCCAAACAAACAGCAAGTGAAAAATATTATTAAAAAAAATAAAATTAAAAAAATCACAAAATACGGCAAAAGCAATTACAAATCTCAAACCAAAAATTACAACAATTAAAAATCAATATAAATAACTTACAAAATATATGAGAAGCTACATAAAGCTGGCCCAAATATTGAGTTGAGTAAGTAAGTAGCGAGTCCTGCTGCAGCGAGTGATAGGATAATATCAATATAATCGATCCACAGATTTTGCATAAATTATTATTTCGGTAGGCAAAAAGCTATAAAGATATTGAGAGAGTTTATAGAGAAAACATCCGTTCCTTTCTACATATAACAAGAGAGTTTATAGAACCAACTTACTCGAGATTGTAATTCCAAGATGTAAAGAAACACTTAAAACCCTTATGAAAATCTCTACGAATTGTAGACCAAATTATAGTCTATTTGTTACATATACTTTACTATATAATGTAAATAAGAAATAATAAATAGATAGAAGGTAGAAGAAGTAATTAGTTGGCGAATATTACCCATAACGGTGAGGCTATAGAAATTCTTTCAGAATAGTAGACCCAGTAAGTAAGGGAGCAATATATAGCGAATCAAGTTAGAGAGAGTGAATGCTCTTGAACCCACTTGAGAATCTTTAACAATTTTGGATCTAGTAATGATATTTAATGAAGAAAAAATCACTCGGTACATGTTTAGGTAGCATCCATATAGGTAGAGCTCTCCATATAATGTATTCCAACCGTGGCTTATGTAGTAGGAGGCGTGGCAGACCCCATAAAGTGGAGACAAACTTAATAAGCATGATGAGCTAAGTTAATCTAACCCCGGCTGTACAAAAACAAGGGAATTGAAATGTCTCTAGTATACCATAAGCAGTAGGAGTATGTCGTTTCGTACTTTATGCATAAGAGAGAAGCATAGCATGAATGATATAGCAGCTCCGGCCAAGCTTCAGGGTATGTACGATTCAGGCACTCCCTACTTGAGCAGTCTTACATGTGCTGTAATCAAATATGCATTCATTATTATTTATTCTACTCACATAATCATGGCCTCATGAGGACTTTAGTTTAGCTGAAGCAAAAGAAGATCTAAGAGTAGAGTTTATATACTTACTTTATAGATGACTGTCTATATAGATACATTTACACTTTGGCAATATATTTTTATGCCCATCCAACAGTATTTCTGTCGTATTTTTACTGCACTCAATTTGTATCTAGAATCAAAAGAGAAAAACTCGTAAAGCCTTTAAGGCTTGAAATATAGCTGACATATTACGTATACGCAATGCTGGCAGTCAAGCGAAGCGAACATATTTCATTGGCGTGCACTCCATTTAAGCATCTTTGAGATACTTAGTGCAGTCACTGTGAGCCGCTTAATACACGCAGCGAAAAGCTGTAGCAAGTTCCGAGAGCAAAAAAAAAAAAAAAAAAAGAGAACGAAGAAATTAGACAAAAGTTGAGCTGTATTTGGAATGGATTTTCGTAATTTATTTTTTTTTGTATGTTTTTATGTTTGTGCTCAGGCCTGTCCTGATTTCGTGCAGTGTAAACAGCATGAAGGCCAAACGACAGCTGAGCACAGCCTGTCTCTATGCCAATCAACTTAACTATGTTTAACTTTCTACAGCTCTACTCGCAAAGCAGCAACAGCAACAACAACAACAACCACAACAGCTGAAGGGCCAGCCCACGTAGGAGCTGTGCAGCGCCAGTGAAAGTGGAAGAGGAAGAGGAAGTGGAAGTGGAAGCGACAGTAGCAGTGGCAGTGGCAGTGGCTGAGCCAAGTTCAAAATCAACGCCTGACAATGACAAAGCGCTCCACTGGGCGGCCAGCAGCAGCAGCAGCTGCAGCAGCAGAAGCAGCGGCAGCGACGTGGCGCACGCCAACAGCAGCAGCAGCAGCAGGAGCAACAACTACAATCAATGAGAGCAGCACGAGCTGGCGACGACGCTGCACAACAGCAACAACAACAGGAGCAACAGCAACAGAAATGCGCATTAGGCACTCGACTGCGCTGCCGGCAAGCGGCATATCCTGGCTGCTGTTCGTAATCTGTATGCTGAGCTGCTTGTGCTGCTACACAGGTAATTACCAGCACGCCAAAATGCTTGACACTTGATTAGCATGACATTGCAACTGCAGCTGACACGCCTTACCCCGTTACCCCGTTATCCCGGCAACACTCCAGCCCATCGCCCGCCCCGCCCTCATCCCTCATCTCCCATGCCCTACCTCAGCCAAGTTGCCCAAAGTAGCAAATCAGCAGTTGACAGATCCGCTTCGATTACGTGTTTAAGGGCTTATGTGCTTACGTACTTACGTGCTTACGTTATATTATGCTTGCCGTTGCAATTGGCTCGAGTTGTGCATCGACTGTTATCTTGTTTATCGTTCTGATTTGGTCACACTGGAGTGATTGAATTGAAGTGCTACATCTTGAAATCCTTATGCATACATATCGTTATCGTTGAGTTAAGATGAAGACTTATCGAAGCAGGTTTACTATTTCTATAGTTGATATAGTCATATCTATACGCCTGCTTACTCGCCTTTCAGTCTAGCTTTAGCATAACGAAGCGAGCTCAATAAAAGTGATCGATTTATCGATATTTTTGCATTCGTGTGACATCTTATATGTCTAATCAAGCTACCTATGAATTCCAGCGAATTTTCTATAAGATTATTATTTTCAATTTATCCACAACTATATAAAATACTTAAGTACAGTAGAGTCTCGATAATTCGTACCCCGCAAAATCGAAAATCGCGATAAATCGAAAAAAAATCGATCCGCTTGAAATCATTTCGTTCTCAATAATATGAATTTCTACGTAAATAAAATCCCTTGACCTTTCGAATTATCGGGACTTTACTGTATTTTCATTTCTCTCAAGTATCCATATCGACTTATTGAAATCGATTAAATTGTAGCTAACTTTACTCTACTCTAATAGATAGAGTATCATGGCATATAATAATCAGTCAATAATGCCAGGAATTTGTGTATATGCCTATATCTATAGCTATCAATATAACGATATCAGTTGAATATTATCATCTTATCTTATTAATAAAACGTACCAACGTTAAGGTAATACAAGTTGTCTTATATTCTGCCTCTACTTCTACATATCTATTACACTGCTGTCGATTAGCAAACCGGACGCTGAACTAGCACAGTTATCGACTTATCGAAATCTATACCATCATTGCCAATTGCCAGGGGCAACAACAGTGCGGCTTTCGAGTAGAAACAATTGCTACTTAGCAAAGCCGATAAATACAATAGAGCCAAGTATTTTCGGATGGCCAAGGGTCTTGGCATCGCCGTTATCGCCTCGATTGTGAGGACACGACCTTGATACGCCCATGCCAAGACGAAGAAATAATAATCATAAATAATGACGAAAACAATTGGGCGAGAAATATGAGAGAGGCATGCGAATGGCAAGCGGAAAGTGGATACGGAAAATGTATTTGGGGCACGAGCAGCGGCGCTGGCCGTAGAAGGGGCAGGTGCCCAGTGCCAGTGCCAGTGCCAGGGGCGGGTGCTGTCAGCGAGGGGGGTCGCCGATGGCAGGAAAAACAATTGCGGATAGCCTTGACATTGCACATGCAAAGTCGACTTTGGCTTTCGTTGGCTTTTTCGTGGCCATTCGGTTGCCAAGCACCTGACGCCACCAGCTGGCGATAAGTTGGGCGGTGGGCGTGCCGCACTTCAATTTTGAACACTTGCCCAACAGCGACAATTCAACATTGTATTGCACCACACATCCAAATAAACAATACAAAAATGCACTTCACAATTGAGCTCACACAGAATTATACACTTTTGCCTTTCAGTTAGTTAGTTTGACAACTTTTGTATAAAAGAAAGCGAAAAACTAAAGTATATTTCAGTGAGAGCCAACAATTTGATGGGTATATTGGCGATGATTACAAATTTGGTTTTACTTCAGAGTGAAACAAAACCTAAATTTATATTCAACATTAAAGCTTTTGAAAGTTCATCAAGCAAGAAACTTATTGTATAATTTGCATCAGAATAGAAACTTGTAAACTTTTAGCTATAACTGCAAATGTCTACTACGTAAAAGCTTAAATGCGCTTTTTTGAAGAGCTATGAGTAAAGCAAATATTGCAACTTATTTAATTAATGTATAAAAGTACATATAGAATTTTAAGTTGACTTGATTTAAGCATTGTCTATTAGGGACTTCGACTAGAAAATTTGAAATTATATAGAATGTAAGGTCTATTAAGTAAAGGCCATGACAGTATTAGTGCAAGCTCCTTTACAGCAGAAGCTTTAATACTCTAAAGCAGGATTCAATATACAAGTATCTCGAGCAAAAGCTTTAAGCAACTTTCTTATTGAAAATATATAAAACCTAATCGAGGTCAAAGTTTCATCAGCTGGCTTATTGGCTGACACTGAAATCTTCTCGCTTTTTATGCTTCTTGATAACTTTGAAAAAGCGCATGCTGGCACTTAAGCGGGTATGACATTAAAATATCTTGAATATGAAAGTTTGTTAAGTCTAAAATCGAAACGAAGATCTTAATATTTAGAGTTACACATGCTGTTAAGCTTTAACTTGTTCATTTTATTTAAGCTTAAAGCAGCTTAAAAATCTCCCTTTAACTTCCACTATAAATAAGCCATAATTCACCACCAAGTCATATATTCATAAAAATCTGACAGCTTCTGATGTATGTAGTCTGTGTAGGGTATGCGCAGACCAAAGCGTGCCAAAAAGGGGAAAAGCACGAGCGAACTTTTGCCTCGCTCTTGTTGTTGCTGTGGACGCACATGGCCAAAGTTAGTGGCCAAACTATTTTGGCTGGTGTGGTGTGTGGCATAACGAGTTGTCGTCGCTCCCACGAGGCAGCTCAAGTTCGGTTTTAGTGCTTCCGGCTTTGGCAATTGGCGGAGCTCCTCTCGGATCTCTCACCACGCTTAGCCCGTCAGTCAGTCAGCCGAGCACAATGGCAAGTTTTATTGCTCGGCTCTGCGCAATTGAGTTATGGGACGGGCAGCATTATGGGGCTGTGGATGTCAAGGCAGTGCGATTGATAAGCTCCCTAGCCCCTAGATGGCCAGCTAATTAGTTGGACTTTAGCCAATGTTCAATTACATATTAAAAGCGACGCTCAAGCTATGCTTCAACTGTACACTTAGCAATTCAATTGCCAGACATGTCGGACAGGCCAGGACGGACGACGATAATGCGACGAGCGGAGGCTCAACAATCGGATCGATAGCTCCGACCGGCATCAAATACTAATTACATAGTCAAGCAGTCAAAGGGCCAACACACACACACACACTCTCTCTGTCTCTCTCTCTCTCTCTCTCTCTCACTGTCTCTGTCTTTTGCATTTTTAATGGCACTTGACAACTGAGAAGTGCGTTGATAGACGGACAATCGAAACCCTTAAACGCACGTGCATAAACGCATGCATAATTGAAGCGCTTTGTGTTAGCGAGTGCATTGTTTGCCATTCGACTAATAAATAGGCAATCATCGGACATGCTGACGTCAGGCTAGGAAGGCAATGGAAACCCATGAACTAGTTTTGCTAAAAATAACTAGGTTAGAGCTAAAATGCGAGTGAATATGGAATGAAAGCATTTAGGTATAAGTAGCTATAGCGAGTAGCTGTAGCGAGTGGCTACAGCGAGTAGCTGTATCGAGTAGCTGTAGCTAGTGGCTACAGCGAGTAGCTGTAGCGAGTAGCTGTAGCGAGTAGCTATGGCGAGTAGCTATGGCGAGTAGCTGTAGCGAGTAGCTGTTGCGAGTAACTATAGCGAGACGGTGTAGCGACTATCTATAGCGAGTAACTATAGCTCTACTCGCTATAGCTAGCTTCTTCAGTTAATAAATATAACCTATAGCTCTATAAATATAAGTAGCAAGAGACTTCCAGCCAATAGTCGAATGCAAACAGTAAACAGCTCAGCAAATTGCTCTCGCCAAAGTGAAGCATAACGAGACGCATCCATTTTTCACAAATGTTGAGCTACCCGCTTTGCATCCCGCTTGCATTTCCGCTTTGGCATATTTAGGGTTTTTTGTTTTTGCTTGTGAGTTGGGTTTCTTTTGTATGTGTGTGTGTGTGAGTGTGTAGTTTTTTCCATTTACCTGACGACAGCTCGGCGGGTCGCATGCATCAACGCTCGCCAGCGACACGTTGACAGCGAGGAAGACGTAAGGGCAAAGGTAAAGAGTGGAAAATTTGCATTGCATGCGGCGACAGGCGACAAGCGAAAGGCGACAGGTTGGGCGCACGTTGAGCGTTTCACTAATTGCATTGCACATAACATTCCAAATGGTTTTATAATCTTTGCTTCCGTTAACAATTCATATGCCAGCAACAGCAACAACAATAACAACAACCAGAAGGTTTCCTTACGTGCTCTGGCCAACAGCTATTTTCTCACACACACACACAAAATCTCATTAGAGACGGCCGATGATTACCAGCACACACACACACACACAGCCATACCCACATTCACTCACACACACACACATACACACGCACACTTTGCGGCACTCGGTGTAAGGCACAAGTTGCAAAGTTGATGGCTGCACTCACTCAACGTCGTCGCCCTGACACTGGCTGACACGCCCCCGCCACCCATACAGATTTGCCCAACATTTTGCACTTGCCACTGCCATTGCGTGTGCGTGTGTTGGTGTGTGTATGTGTGTGTGAGCTTACCAGAATTCTAAACATTTATGAACTGTTGCGAAATATAAAAGTTTGCTGGCAACTATTTTGATGGGCCATTGCTTAAATGAGAGTTCGAAAATTGCAGTGGAAATTGAAATTGAAAGCGACATATTTTAGATTGAAACAAAAAGCGTAAAATAATTTAAATTACCTATTGAAAAGCAAACAAATTGAGCTTAAAGTTTAAGCATGAAAAGATTTAATTGAAATTGAAATTGAAATTGAAGTTGAAAGAGATTTTCAAGGGTATATAATAGTTAGGGTAGATATAAACAAAAAGCGTAAAATAATTTAAATTACCTATTGAAAAAGCAAACAAATTGAGCTTAAAGTTTAAGCATGAAAAGATTTAATTGAAATTGAAATTGAAGTTGAAAGAGATTTACAAGGGTATATAATAGTTAGGGTAGATATAAACAAAAAGCGTAAAATAATTTAAATTACCTATTGAAAAAGCAAACAAGTTGAGCTTAAAGTTTAAGCATGAAAAGATTTAATTGAAATTGAAATTGAAGTTGAAAAAGATTTTCAAGGGTATATAATAGTTAGGGTAGATATTGAAATAAGCTTGGGCAAGAAATATGTATGTACAAATCTATGAAAATTGAAGGGCAAGGCAAAAGAGAAGCAAAGAAAAGCAAAAGAAAATGCATATTGCAATTGAAATTGGATTGATATTGAAAGTGTTTGCGGTAGAAAAGAAAAACAGCGACAAATGGAAGCAAAACTAAATTTAGAAACTGAAATTGAACTGGAAATGCAGGCTCAGAGAGTGTGAAAATGTAATTTAATTATATATAATTATAATATACTATATGTATATAGAAATTACAAATGGAATTAATATCCAAGAATTTTAATTGAATGACAGCAAATGCAAAGTAAAGCAATTATTTAATTGCAGCAATTAACCCTAACAAATTGAATTGTTCCATACAAAGCAATGCAAGCAGAAGCAATTTTCAATATCAATTTGATTTGCATTCAATAATCATGCAGAATGCAATCAAATCGATTATTTTGTTGCCTTCATCGATGCCTGCGAGTGGAGCGACATTCCTCTATAGTATATATACATACATATACATGCACATATAAATATATATATATATGTATATCAAATTCTATTTGAAAACTCTTGTAAAAATTGAAAAAGGGAACTCCATATTGTTTATCCATAACAAATTCGATGAACAGCTAAAATTGATTTTCTATGAAAATAGAACAAGGGACTGCGGCTGCAGGCGGTGTTTCAGCTTCGAGGAGGTCACCAGCTAAATGTCATAACAAAAGCTATTTATAAGTGAGCCGCATGGTTGCACATAAACGGCCAACCGTCACCTGCCCAAATGCTACATCGCACCCCTCCCCCCTCTCATCGCCCATTCCATTAGCCACCTCAGCTCGCACCCTCGGCTAATGCCCAGCGCGCTGAGATTGCAAGTCCGAGTACTGTGAAAGGCACGCAAGTCAACGGACATTAAAAAGTAATAAGCATAATTGTGAAATGTCACCATGATGGTGAGGGAGGGGGAGGGGGAGTGGCAGTGGGCGAGGAAGAGAAAACGAACAAAACAGCCATGAGCAAACTGAACAGACAGTGTAAGCACGAGCGAAAGAGACAGAGCGAGAGACAGAGAGACAGAGAGAGAGAGAAGGCGAATTGAATGTAAAGGCGCGTGACGTATACGGCACGTTGGCCCAACTTTGACCCAGAGCAGCTAAATTGTTTGGTCGACAGCTGGCGCAAAAGTCGGGCGCTTGCTTTTAATTATTCAACGATCTCGTAAGGGGTTTAGAGCAGAAGACGCCAACAGCGCGCAGCATAGAAAACATCGAGCAAACAACAACAAAATGCAAAGAAACATGTAAGAAGCAAACGCACAAACAACTGCAGCAAATTGCAGCAGCAGCAGCAGCAGCAGCCGACCAGATGTCGCCTGAATCGGGCCGCTCACGCCGCGCTGCGTTTGCCCTGTGCCAATTGTTCGCCCAGCAGAAGGAGAAGCAAAAGCGCATAAAACAGAAAGAAAAAAGAAGGAATTGAAAGAAAAAGTAACAAAAACAACCATGCATAAGGCTTGAATGGCAAAGCGAAAAATAAAATAAAAAAAGTTTGCGGTGCTTTTGCCGCCGCCGGCGTCGGCACCGACATCGACATCGGCAACGGCAACGGCATCGACATCAGCATCGGCGTCAGCATCGACGTCGGGGTCCGGCGTCCGTTCAGTCGTCCGGAAGTTGCTTACAACTTCGAACCAGGCTTCAAGTGGGCAGCCGCAGCCGAAGCCGCAGTCACTGCAACTGTAACTGTAACTGTAACTAAAACTGCACTCAGCTATGCAACTAACGGTGAAAGTGGCAAGACTGGCGACGCATGGACTATTCAGCTGGGCTCGACCATTGTGAGGGGTGCAAGTGGCGAAGGGAAAAGTGTGTAAGGTCGAGGCCCATACACTGCGCCTACGTCATGAGGCCCAGGCAACACGAACGAACACAAGCTCAACTCAAACATGCGCAAGTTCTATGCTAAAAGCCTTCAGAGTCCGCACAAAAAGCTCATTGCAACGAACCTGCGACAGGCTTGCAACATGTTTGCTGCCGCTCTGCAACTCGAACCAAACTTGATCCCAAACGCACCTGAACGAAGTCCATTCGAACCAATCCAAAACATGAATTCAGAGTCAAAATCTAAGCTGTAGCTTCGAGGGAAAGTCTGGAGTCTAGAGGCGGTGGAGTACAGCAAGTAGAGAGTGAAGAACCAAAGCGAGCTAAGCCTAGAAATGGTAAAGTCTGGAACGGGTAGAGACACTAGAGCGAATGAATCTATAAAGAGATTGCTCAAAGAGTCTAGACCGAGAAGAGTCTAGACCGAGTAGAGTCTATACTGAGTAGAGTCTAGACCGAGTAGAGTCTAGACCGAGTAGAGTCTATACTGAGTAGAGTCTATACTGAGTAGAGTCTAGACCGAGTAGTCTAGACCGAGTAGAGTCTAGACCGAGTAGTCTAGACCAAGTAGAGGCTAGACCAAGTAGAGGCTAGACCGAGTAGGCCGAGTAGAGTCTAGACCGAGTAGAGTCTAGACCGAGTAGAGTCTAGACCGAGTAGAGTCTAGGCTGAGTAGAGTCTAGACTGAGTAGAGTCTAGACCGAGTAGTCTAGACCAAGTAGAGGCTAGACCAAGTAGAGGATAGACCGAGTAGAGAGTCCAAGCCGAGTAGAGTCTAGACCGAGTAGAGTCTAGGCTGAGTAGAGTCTAGACCGAGTAGAGTCTAGAACAAGTAGAGTCTATACCGAGTAGAGTCTAGACTGAGTAGAGTCTAGACCGAGTAGTCTAGACCAGGTAGAGGCTAGACCGAGAGGCTAAGCCGAGTAGGGCCTAGACCGAGTAGAGTCTAGACCGAGTAGAGGCTAGACCTAGTAGAGGCTAGACCTAGTAGAGGCTAGGCTGAGTAGAGTCTAGACCGAGTAGAGGCTAGACCTAGTAGAGGCTAGACCTAGTAGAGGCTAGGCTGAGTAGAGGCTAGACTGAGTAGAGTCTACACCGTGTAGAATCTACACCGAGAAGAGTCTAGACCGCAGAGAGTCTACACGGAGTAGATGCCGAATAGTATAAGTGAGTCTAGAGCAAGTCGAATAAACTGGAGTAGAAACTGATATTAGTTCCTCTGTGTTTTAATAACCAGACTAGTGCATAAATTCATGTATCTAGTATTGACTATGTACGCCTTGATTATTTTTTAGGAGGCTTTATTTAGTCTTCTTCGCTTTCTACTTAAGTACGCTCGTTTTCTGCTTCTTCTGCGTTAGCTATTGACGATTCTCGCACTGCCAACTATCGACAGCCTCGTAGCCATCGATAAGGCTAGGCATCGACAACTGTCAACAGATATAAATCTATCGAATAGTATTGATTCCTTTAAACTCTTATTGACCTACCTCAATTCTTATCCCATCGATGGGCTCGTAAGGCACAGCGCTCAGCTCTTACATACACTTATTACGAGATTCAATTTGTATGGCATTCACATGGAATCAAAGAATGGCAAAAGCCATCGTATTCTGAATTGCTGACTATAAATTATAAATTCCAATTGCTTCAGTCTTACAATAAAGTTTATTAGAAGTACTATTGCATTTACAAATTAATCGCTACCGGAATTCAGATGCCCAAGCCACTGAGCAGTAAAGATCCAAATTGTAGGCATACATTAAAATTTCGAGTATTATATAGTAGGCACAACCTCAAGGAGAATCCAGTGTCAATAAGTGTTCTGCTGCGTTGTTTTGTTCCAATGAATAACATTAGAGACAATCGTTTAGTGTTTAAGCCACAAAAGTTCTACATTATCCACATATTTGAACGCTGAGTGTTCTACTCCAGCCCGGCATACAAAATGGAATTCGGGTTCGCTATATAATGCTTCCAAATTTCAGACTCATCAGCGCTTGTAACTCCGGTCAGCGAGTGGCTATAGCAGCAGCATGTCCTAAAAGAAATAGTGAGATTGGATAAATGAGATAAATGAGTTTAAATAATTATAATCTAAAACCTAGTCAGGAAAAATTGATGTGACCTGACTATTCAAATCAAAAAAAAATTACTATCTAATCAAACTCAATTCGATTCCATTTCCATTCTCTGCGTTGTATAAGTCTTAACAGCTATTTCTCACTACTTAGATACACACTCTGCCCTTCACAGCTTCTTTCTTAACAGCATCCTTGGCTTAGAGCCTTTCCCAAACTACTCCCCAATCAAGAATCATAAAACTTACCTCAAGTTCTCCATTGATGAGGTTGACAAGCCGTAGCTTCCGAGGCTCTTGCACACCGTGCAAGATACTGGACTACAGCATCGTCCGAAATGCTGAAGGCGAGCAAATCCAAATATATATGTATACATATATATCTTCTATAGCCACTCGCTAACAAAATGAAATAATGCTGTTGAGCCATCAAATTAAAGCTAAATCTAGCGATCAGTATGCCCAACAGGCTGCAGCAGGATGTCTCAGAATATATTCCACAGAACCATCTCTACATTGAGAGAATGGGATGGTTAACTCTCAAAACGCTACATCTGCCGCACATGCATATGACAAGGATATAAATGTAACGACTGGCCATGCGCTTCGCCAAGGTGTGCAGCACAGTGTTGGAGATCGTAACCAGATATGTATATAAGGCTTAGATAGTCTGAGTTATCCGCAACTTCGGTCAGCGGAAGATAACAATTGAGCAATGAGATTGACAAGCCGTAACTTCCGAGGCTCTTGCACACCGTGCAAGATACTGGGCTACAGCAATACCCGAGATGCTGAAAGAGAGCAATTTCAAATTAATATATAATCATACGAATCATAGAAATCAAGGTACATACCTGGTATAGCTAATCGCTGATAAAGTAAGTTGAGGGACCCTCAAATTGAAGCCAAATCTCTCCGATTGGATGCACGACAGGCTGCAGCACATCACAGCTCCAGCTTAGCATATCGTAACTGTAGAAGATATCATTGTTATATAGTATATATGCATGTTATATCTGTATATAGACGACGTCGCTTACCAGGTCGGTCGAGCTCAGATTGCAACAACTGCAGCATTTTGAGAGTCAAGCACACTACTCTCTCAATGTAGAGATAGATCTGTGGTTTTTATTCAATCACAGAAAATTTTGACTTCTGATTCGAAAAATTATTGATTGTAGACGATTTTCAATTACAACATTAAATTTGACAACTGCTTCTTTCTAAACGTTTAGTAAATCCGTGATAATATTCTAGAATAGTTGAGCATGGAGTTGACTCAGGCGTAGAGCTATTTTTATTTCGCTTAGTATTTTTCCATTTTTTATATTGATTTCTTTTATCTTTACTAATTTACCGACAAATTCGCAAAATCCAAAGATCTGATGTTATAAATTCACTACTTTCATTACGTTTTTTTTTTTTTTTTTTTTTTTTTTTGATAATTAAATTATTAAATCTTTAACTTGAAATTTTGCATTCATGTCCAAATAATTCCACTTCGAATTTGCACTTATTTGTATTTAGTCACTTAAATTTTTCTTTGACTTTCAATTGATATATATATCATTCATTTCTTAATTTTTTTTCTTTTTATTTATATTTGATTTTAGATTTTTGTATAGTCCAGGCTTTTTACCCAAATTCCGGTTCACTTTTTTGCACTTTTCAATCGTTTTTATTTTTACTTTTTTTTCATCCTTCACATTGATTGACATTCACCTTTTTTTTTTGTATTTTCGATTCCACGTTCTTTTTACTTTTAGTTCTGTTTTCTGGTGTTTTAATTTTCAAATACGCGACCAATAATATTCCGAAGCAATCTGAACGACTTTACTTTACTTTACTTTATACAACTTTCACTTTCTGGGAAGAAAATTAAAAAAAAAATTTAAAAAAAAATTTAAAAAAAAAATTAAATCAAATTTTGTTCCAGCATTTGGTCGAGACCCGCTCACTTACCTGATTTACTTTGATACTTTTACTTAACAACTAATTTCACTTTAAATTTTGCACAACTATAGCCGAAAATTATATACAGTAAAGCTCTACGCTATTCTTTCTGTTTTTACATTTTTTTTTTCCTTTTTAACTTTTTCTTTGTAATTCAACATCAAGAAACAAAAACACAAAAAAAATAAACTTTTAAACACGGTAAAATTTTCAAAAAAAAAAAAAAATTGTCGATGCCTTTTAAATTTTGAAAAACTTATTTTATAATTTTTTCCCGATTATTATTATTTTTTTTTTTTTTTTATGTGCTCTATTTGGAGAGCAGGCACAAACTGAATGCTTTTGAAGCTGACTGGGGGTGCCTTAACTTTTTGACCGAATTTTGCGCCGAAACCTACTTTGATCTGAAAAAAAAAATGTCGATGCCTTTAAAATTCGAAAAAAAATTTAATAAAATTTTTTTTATGTGCTCTACTCGGAGGGCAGGCACAAACTGAATGCTTTTGAAGCCGGCTGGGGTGCCTTAACTTTTTACCGAATTTTGCGCCGAAACCTACTTTGATCAGAAAAAAAAATTGCCGATGCCTTTCAAATTTTGAAAATTTTATTTTATATTTTTTTTCCGAATTTTTTTTTTGATGTGCTCTACTCGGAGAGCAGGGACAAACTGAATGCTTCAAAGGCTGACTGGCGTACCTCAACTTTTTGACCGAATTTTGCGCCGAAACCTACTTTGATCAGAAAAAAAATTGCCGATGCCTTTAAAATTTGGAAAAATTTATTTTATAATTTTTTCCCGATTATTTTTTTGATGTGCTCTACCCGGAGAGCAGGCACAAACTGAATGCTTCTGAGGCTGGCTGGGGGTGCCTTAACATTTTACCGAATTTTGCGCCAAAGGCTACTTTGATCAGAAAAAAAATTTGCAGATGCCTTTAAAATTTGGAAAAATTTATTTTATAATTTTTCCCGATTATTTTTTTGATGTGCTCTACCCGGAGAGCAGGCACAAACTGAATGCTTCTGAGGCTGGCTGGGGGTGCCTTAACATTTTACCGAATTTTGCGCCAAAGGCTACTTTGATCAGAAAAAAAAATTGCCGATGCCTTTAAAATTTGGAAAAATTTATTTTATAATTTTTTCCCGAATTTTGCGCCAAACGCTACTTTGATCAGAAAAAAAAATGGCCGATGCCTTTAAAATTTTGAAAATTTTATTTTATAATTTTTTTTCCGAATTTTTTTTTTGATGTGCTCTACTCGGAGAGCAGGGACAAACTGAATGCTTCAAATGCTGACTGGCGTACCTAAACTTTTTGACCGAATTTTGCGCCGAAACCTACTTTGATCAGAAAAAAAATTGCCGATGCCTTTAAAATTTGGAAAAATTTATTTTATAATTTTTTCCCGATTATATTTTTGATGTGCTCTACCCGGAGAGCAGGCACAAACTGAATGCTTCTGAGGCTGGCTGGGGGTGCCTTAACATTTTACCGAATTTTGCGCCAAAGGCTACTTTGATCAGAAAAAAAAATTTGCCGATGCCTTTAAAATTTGGAAAAATTTATTTTATAATTTTTTCCCGATTATTTTTTTGATGTGCTCTACCCGGAGAGCAGGCACAAACTGAATGCTTCTGAGGCTGGCTGTGGGTGCCTTAACATTTTACCGAATTTTGCGCCAAAGGCTACTTTGATCAGAAAAAAAAATTTGCCGATGCCTTTAAAATTTGGAAAAATTTATTTTACAATTTTTTCCCGATTATTTTTTTGATGTGCTCTACCCGGAGAGCAGGCACAAACTGAATGCTTCTGAGGCTGGCTGTGGGTGCCTTAACTTTTCGGCCGAATTTTGCGTCGAGGCCAACTTGGAGCAATGAAATTGTTGATGCCTGTGAAATAGAGTTGCCAGACTTTCTATCTTAAGTGAAAGCCTGCTTTGACACGTAATAGGTGCTGCCAGACTTCCATTTTGCCAGACTTCAAATATACCACTTTGACCGACAGCGAATATTTTGCAAATAATAATATAGAGGTTTATAAGCAAATCTCTTGTGCTCTTTAGTAAAATTAAACGTTGTGGACAACAGATGTAAGTTACATCTATAAAGGGGATATCTATTAATAGAAATGTTTGATAACACAATATATTGTAGTTCACACAGTAAGCTTGTGATTTCGCTTTCTTCGATCTCTCTCTCTCTCTCTCTCTCTCTCATTCTGTCTGCCTCTTTCTCTCTCTCACACTCTCTCCCTCTTTTCCCAACCCAGACATCCACCTAGAAGTTAATTTTCCACTTCCCCCACTGCCATCCATCAAGAGTCTGCATCAATCAATTCTCATGTTCAATTCTCTAATTGAATACATCTATAATTTATTGAGCTCTTCTTTATTCTTATTTATTTTTCCTTGTTCTCTACTCTGCAGTTGCGCTGGAGGAGGACTGCGTGGACTTTCAGGGCAACAAGGTGAACCACGGCATGCTGTACGTGCCCGGGCCAGGCGTTTGCAGCCTATGCGTTTGCTATCATTCCGAGCCGCTGTGGTGCAAGGCCATCTACTGTGATCCGCCCTACGTAAGCGTTCGATCATCAATTCCATAATATCCAGCTCTAACACTATTTCCATTCACTTTTCCCTGCGACAGTTCTGTAAAAACTTCAGAGTGGGCGAACGCTGTTGCGAATTCGAATGTCTGGATCCGCCGGGCGAGGACAAGCTTTATCAGGTAAGTCAGGCAGACGGCAAGACATTCTTTGAATTATGAAGAAAAAAAGCAAAGCTCTATTAGAGATGTATAGATATATCGTCCTAAGATATATGATATATTGTATGATCTAAGAAATATACCCGAAGATACGAAAGATACTAATATCTTCAGTCTCACTATGAATATAATGGATCAACTATCTAGATATACTATAGATATCCATGCTATGGAACGGAAGATGCTCCTATTATTGAATATTTGATCTTCAGATCTTATATATAGATACACATGACACTTTAGATAGGCCTATACCACAGATATTATATACTTATTGATTCTTATTTTTTTCCGATTGCAGGAACGTATGCGTAAGCGTGCCGAAATTCTGGCCGGTAATAGTACCGCATGTCAGCTACAGGTCGCCCCGTTGGCCGTGTCGACCATAATGCTCGGCTATCTGGGCAACAGCTTTCTCAGCTTATAACTTGAGCAGAAATCGTCTGAGTATATAGCTATAAGTCAGCCAGTCGAAAAGATCTTAAGATATATAGCCGGCAGGTACAATTTTGTTAACTATAAAACGATCCTAACCAAATCCTAAAAGCTAAATAAACAAGAAACCCAAAAATCAATTAATTATTACAATGTAATAAATGAAGATATATGTATATATATATATATATATATATCGAGATATATAGATATATATATATATATATATGAAGAATATAATCTGGAGTAATACAGAACAAACCCGTAGGTTCTCAACTTATATGTATGCCCCTAGTCTTATGTAGGTACAATAATACAAATAATAACAGCATATAACACAGATATATATATATATATATAGGATATATATAGTATATACACAGTATATGACTTGTAAATACGCTGCCTGGCGCTCTATACACCAGAAATCGGATCAAAAACTTGTTGATTAGTGTTTAACTAAATGAATCAAAGATGATATTTAGATCTTAAATGAAGATATATATATACATAAATATATATATAAATGTGCCCCTTTTTAATATTAAATGATAAAAAAAAACACTAAATAAATAAATGATCGCAATGACTCCTCGTAATACTCATTATAAAACGCGCCCCAGTTCAAACACCTAGTGAAACTTTCAACACTATCTAGTCATTTTTTTTCAAGCATAGACTTTAAGATACTTTCAAATGCAATTTAAGAACGTTAGTAATTTACACATATCATGAGATACGCATACACACTCACACCCACACACGTCTAGTATATATATATAGTATATATATATACCTAAAATTCTTAAATATTTTGCATTGGTGCTAATTTTATTGTAGGCTAAACATGATCCACACCAGCACACCTACATGAACATACACGCACACTCATTCAACATACATGCCCAAGCAATACAATATCCACAAATAACCTAGTCATGATCCATACCCAATTCACATACGATCCGTTGACATTACATATACAATACATAAATATATGATCCACGAATAGTTTCCATATGAACCACTCACAACGTACATTCGACTCGAATGTGATCCACATTTTATTCATAAAGGCATATATGCGATCTACATACTCAAAATCCACAAACTCAAGATCCACAAACTCAAAATCCACAAAATCAAGATCCACAAACTCAAGATCCGCAAACTCAAAATCCATTTGATTAAGATTCACAAATATAATGTCCTCAACTTGAAGATCCACAAGCTCAAGATCCACAAACTCAAAATACACACTCCTAGCCCACACACTCAAGATCCAAACACGTAAATTCTTCTCCCATGCACACTCGCTAAATTTTTTTGATTCTAAATCAACAGCCATATCACTGGCCTAACAAGCATCCAAAAGAAAACTCTTATGTAGTACACATAGAAGTATATATATAAACTACAATAAAAACCCAAAGTTAACCCAAAACTGTACTTTCATTTACAGTAATAAACCATAAAAATTAATCAAAAGTATTTGAGAGATAAAAAGCAAAAAAAAAAAAACCTAAAAACCACTTGAATTTCCGTTTCATTTTTGTATAGATTTTAAGTACTTTTAAAACGCTCTGTAAAAAAAAAATCCCTTTTGAAATAATAGAAGTTCAATTAATTTCTAGACCAGGACCAGAGACAGTCTTATAAAACACTTAACAGAAATCAATAAAAAATAGAAGATATATTTATCATATATATATATATATATATGTATATATATATATAGATGATATACTAAGCAGTACGGCTGTGACATTTTGATTTTGGTTCTGCTTCACACAACTGTAAATAATAAACAATTATATATGTATATCGCGGATATATATATATGGTATATAAATCAAACAAATCAAAGCAAATCTATAGAAATTTCAATATTTACTAGCTAGAGTTATATGTGGAAGGTTCAGCTGTAAGGGAAAGCCTTCTATATGAATAGGAAACCTAAAATAAAATGCATTTACGGACATTTCGTATATCAAAGTAAGCCAGCAACAGAAGTCTATAAGCTCCGATTCGATTATAATATAAAACTCAGTAAGGGGTTTTTCAATCTAAAGAAAATTATTGTAATTCTATTCTACAAAATTTTTAATTCAAGTGATCTTCTAGCATCTGGTCTGGACATATGCATTAAAATATTAGATTCTAATCTCTAGTCTATTGGGTAGGCAAGGAGAGAAAAGTAGGGAAGAGTGGAGAATAGAGTAGAGAAGAGGAAAGTTAGAAGAAAAGAAGAGAAGGGATAAAGAAAAAATTAAAGTAAAAGGACGGCAGAAGAGAGAAATGAGAAGAATAAACTGAAGAAATGAAGATCAGAAAAGGAGAAGAGAAGACGAGAAGAGAGAAAAGAGACAACAAGTGAAGAAGGATCAGGGAGATAAAGAGAATGAGAGAGAGACGAGCATTTAAAATAAGCGAAAATAGATGAAGAAAGAAGGGAGAATAGAAAACAAAAAACTGACCAGACGAGAGGAGAACGAAGACAAGAAAAGAAGATAAGAGAGGAATGACAGAAGAGATGAAGAGAAGAGAAAACTCAGAAGGAAAATTAAAAAGTGAGATCAAATTTCACAATCCCAATTCCCGCATTGCTAAAATATGGATAAATGGACAGACCGACAGCCAGATGGATATAGCATAAAACCAATATACTCTCATTTCACACTGCGTGAAGGAGTATTACAAAAACATGCTAAAGTATTCCGAGTGAATGATAATTAAAGTCTACTTAAGACCCACAGATGTATATCGAAAATATCTCTACTGCAGGCTTACGAGAAAGAAATCAACAAAAAAACAAAATCGAAAGCAGAAACAATAAACAATGATCTAAACTGAATGTACAATTCGAATGCCACAATATCTGACCAATATGCGAACGTATATATGTAGTATATAGTATATACGTATAGATATATATGCATATATATTATGTATCTATATATATATACATGCATAAGTACACATATATGTATATATAGTATATATATATATGTATAATACATTTATGCATAAATTATATAAAATCGAAAATCGAAAAAAAATTATGCCTAAACTTAAGCTAAAAAAATCTGACAAATTTTAAGAGAAATCATTCATAACTTAATAACAACTTTGCAACAGCAATAATGCAATAATGCGCTTAAGAAAAATACCAACAAAAAATGCATAAAATACCGAAAATACTGACAACTTGCATAACTAATAACAATTTATACATATAAGAAATAACAAACAAAAATGCAAAATTTGGGCTTTAAAAAATTTAACAGAAATTTATAAAAAAAAAATAAATATATATAAAAAAAAATATATATATATATAAAAATTTATATAGTAAGAAAGAAAACAAATTATATATATATTCTATATATATATGAAATCTTTACCCTAGTGAAACTCAAGCTCATTTTTAAAATGAAACGAGTATTTTTTTAATTTTTCATTTCCTAGATAGATTTCCTAAAACTAAATTTAAAAAAAAAAATGAAAAAAAACTAATTCAGAAACCCGTCTAAAAAAAAGCTTTGCCACTAGAAACCTCGAAAAAAAAGAGTTTTTTTTTTATAAATATAAATAATAATAATAACAATAATACTTAAGCAGTGGATACAGAGTTAACTGTAACGCTATAGCTCCATTAGCTCCCCACTTAAGGTATTAACTACTCTAACATATATATAAATATATTCGAATTTTCGTTTCAAACAGCCGCACTTGATAAACTCTTTAAAGTTCTTGAACTAAGTTAATTAAGAAGAAGAAACCCTATATACATACATATATAATAATCGATTCTAAAGCAAGTAAATTCAATTGAGTTCAAAATAAATCTCAGCTCATTGAATTTCATAGAACTCTAAAACTCATTTATCCAGGGGATGCATAATTCTATAAATTCTAAAAAAAATTAAAATAATATATAAAAAAAATACTTCTAAAAATATTTAAAAAATATTTCAAGTACCAGAGAATTTTAACAAAAATAAAAATTAAAAAAACAAAAACAATATTTTCACAATAGCTTAAATAAAAAAAGAAAAAAAAAACATGAAAATTGTCTTTTATTTAGCTTTTTTAGCACTTTCAGATCAATTTACTGGAGATGAACTTCAATGAGAAGTTTCTCTAGCGATTAGAATGGCATGTAGACAGAGAGAGAGAGAGAGTAGGAGCGAGAAAGTAAGATATAGATAAGGAGAGGAAGAGAGATAATGCAGTGATACTTCCCGCTTTTCTTCAGCTTTGACAACATCATTCTCTCTATATCCATCTCTCTCTATGTATTTTTCTTTGTTCTCTCGCTCTTTCTCTTTCTTTTTCCTCTTTCCTCATAGCACAGCTCTAAATATTCCAGAAGCCATACAGTAATCTCGCTCCTTCTGCCTATTTTTCTCTCTTTCTACATCAGATATCTGCCATGTCCCGCCCATGAAATAAATGAAAACCAAATGCCATAAATAATTTCCATATTCACATTTATTAAACACTATACAGTGAAGAGTTTTTGTTTTTTGTTTTTGTTTTTTTTTTTCATTTTTCTTTTTTTTTGTAATTTGTTCAGCCATAGCGATAAAAAAAAATCAATTTCGAAAAAAAAAAAGTATATCTAGTATATATACATATACATATGTCATATATATATATATATATAAGAGATTTGACACTTAAAACTAGGCGTTATAAAAAAAATATTTACCAGATATACTAAACATATATATATATATATTATGATTAAATGTTTAGCAAAAAGATTGTGTGTTATGTGTGTGTGTGTGTGTAGTTGGTAGTATAGGCTATATATTGGCTATATATAGACTCAGTTCCACAGATATCAACTGGTTTAACTCTAGCTAGCATTTTGCCAAGTTGCTTTCAAGATAAATACACACATATATATACCGATAAATATATATGTGTATGTATTTGAATAAAAAAAAAATGGTGTAATTTAAAGTACAATTAATGTAAGTATATATATATATAGTATATAGTAACTATAACTATCATATATTAACTAGTTTTTCTTTTCATTTTTTCTCAAAATTTTCGTACAATTTCTGGTTTGTTTTTTTTTTCTCATTTTTTTAAATATTTTTAATGCATAATAAAAAAAAAAAAAGTTTATTTTCAATTCAGAAACTTACATAACTGCAATTAGCCTTAGTAAATTAATAGTATTTTGTTTAGTATATTTAATGGTATTTCTCTTTTTTTTTTTTTTTTTAATAAAAACGTTGAAGAAAATTTTTGTTTTCCTTTTTGAATGCTCTCGATTGTACAATTGATGGGTATGTGTGTGTGAGGTGAGGGGTGAGGGGATGGCTTCATATATCTATCTATAAGCTATATAGACTAAAGCTAGATGAGGGTGTTAAGTGGATTTAACTTAGCCTAGTTGTAGTACTCGAATCATGTTTATCATACCATTGGCCTTACAAATTTGAAGCTACATTAAAGTTAAGTTTAGAGACTATGAGACAGCAGCGAGGGAGGGGGCGTGGGTGGTGGGGGCGGGGTTGGGAATGCCTAAGATGTTGAGCTGGGAGTGCGTGGATGGTGGTTGGGGGGTGAGGGGGGTAGGGGGCTGGTTGAAGTCTTAGCTAGTTTAGCTAATGTGAATCACATTCACGATAAACTCCGACTACAACTCCAACACCAACAACAACTGGTTAGACCAGCGCCAATTTAGACGGGCGAATACGGCGGCGGTGTTATGGAGTAGGTGGGCGATAGCAACGATAGAGATGTGGCAGAGCTATCGCTGCCGCTGCTGCTGCTGCTGCTGCTGTTGCTCCTTCTACTTCTTCTGCTGCTGCTGCTGCTGCTGCCAGCGACAGGAGCAACATCAGCCCTTGCTCGCACTGTGCACTATTGCTGGGCATCCTTGGCCACATCGTTGACAGCGGGCAGATTCACCTCCTTCATGGACTCCACTTTGGCGACGATTTTGAGCGCCGGCCCCAGCTTCATGCCCATCGCACTCACCAAGTGGCTCTCCTTGAGCAGCAGCAGCGCCTGCCCATCGATTTCCTGCTGCACAAAGTCATCCACGTAGTCCTGGCAGCCGGGCAGCTTGCGTATAAATTCGCTAACCTCATCCACGCTCCAGCTCGAGATCGGCGCAATGGCAATGGCAATGTTGTTGTTGCTGCTGCTGCAGCTGCTGGTGGGCGTGGCAGCCGCTGTTGCTGGCAGCGCTGTGACAGCGGCTGCGGCAATTGCCACCGTTGCCGTCGCCGGCAGCTCGGCTATGATCATGCCCGGGTCCGGGCTCAGCGCATCCGTTTGCATCTTCTCCTCGGCCAGCGATTCGTCCAGCTTGTCGGCCAGCGCCATTGCGTCGGCGCCAACCATGCCGATGCCGCTGCCATTGCTGTTGTTGTTGTTGCTGTTGCTGTTCGAGTTGCTGTTGCTGCTCGCGTTGTTGTTGCTCGTTTTGGCCAGGCGCGCACAGCCCGGCGAGCAATAGCGCTTGCGTTTCAGCTTGCTGCGATGCTCCGGCTTGCCGCACTGCTCACACGCCACCATGTCGGCGGGCAGGCCAGCCAGTGGGCCGCCCACAGCAACGGCGCCACCGCCACCGCCACCGCCACCAGCAGCAACTGTTGCCTGTCCAGTGGCGGTGGTGGTTGTCGTTGTTGCAGCCGCTGTCGCTGTCGCCGCTGCTGCTGCACTCGACTTGAGATCCGTTTCCTGCAGCGCTGCTTTTTTCTCTACAAAAGAAAAGCAAAGATTTTCAAATTACAATTTGTTGACTTTGGAATTTCCTTCATCTTCTTTTTTTCCTTTTCTTTTTTTTTTCTTTGTACTTACTGGGCGGCTCGTCCTTGTCATCCTTGTCCGCATAGCGCTGCCGGGTGACCGGAAAGGGCTCGTTCGCCTCCTGTATAATGAAGCCATCGATGACATGCGTCAAGACATTCGGCTTGATCATTGCCTTGGGCAGGTCTTTGCCATTGCTGTTGCTGCTGCTGTTGTTGCTGCTGCTGTTGCTCGTCGTTGTTGTTGTCGATGTGGTTGTTGTGCTGCTGTTGCTGCTGCTGCCGCTGCTCGCACGCAATCCGCTGCTGGCAATGCCATTGGTAGACGCTGTGCTGCTCACATTATTGCTGCTGTTGCTGCTCTTGTCCTCTTTGCTGTTGCTGCTGCTGTTGCTGTTGCCGCTGCTGCTGCTGGGCAACACTGCATTGCTTTGCTTGACAACAGCAGCTGTTGCTGTTAGCTTGGTGGACTCGCTGGCATCGCCGTTGTGCAGCGCCTCAGCTGCTGCTGTTGTTGTTGTCGTTGTTGCCGTGGAGCTGCTCGAGTCGACGCTGGCTGCTGTCAGCGACGATTCGATGGGCACCAATGTTGCCGTTGGCTGCTGCTGCTGCTGCTGCTGCTTGGGCGTCGTCTCCTGGCTGCTGTTCATGCTTACGCTCTTGGTGGGCGTGGCTGGCAGTGATGTTATGCTGTTGCTATTGCTGAGCGTCACCAGCGCCGTGCTGACCGTCGGCGTTGCTGTTGTCGCTGGCAGACCAACTGTTGCATTCATCATGGATGTCATGGCCAGTATGGGATTCTGTGTGGGTGAGCTGGCGGTCAATGTGGTGCTAGTTAACTGCTGTTGCTGCTGCTGTTGCTGCTGCTGCTGCTGCTGTGCCTGCTGTTGCGCCTGTTGCTGCTGCTGTGCCTGTTGCTGTGCCTGTTGCTGTGCCTGTTGCTGCGCCTGCTGCTGCGCTTGCTGCTGCGCCTGCTGCTGTGCCTGTTGCTGTGCCTGTTGCTGTGCCTGCTGCTGCTGCTGCTGGTGCTGAGTAGCCGCCGCTAGGCTAGCCGTAATGAGTTGCTGCTGCTGCTGCTGTTGGTGCTGTTGCTGCAATTGCTGCGCCTGCTGCTGCAGGCTGGCTACCGTGCTGCTGGTGACCAGCGGCCCAGTGCCCTGGTTGCTGATGGTGACGACGCTGCTGCTCGGCATTGAGTTGCTCGTCTTGGCAGTGGTTTGAAAGACGGTGCCCGCCGAGGCGGACAAAGCCGCCTGCAAGGCGCTCGAGGTGGCAATGCCCGCGGGTGTTGTCGTTGAGCTGACAGAGAACGGCACGCTGGTTAGCTGCAACTGTTGTTGCTGTGCTTGCTGCTGCTGCTGCTGCTGCTGCTGCTGTTGTTGCTGCTGCTGCTGCTGTTGGTGTTGCTGCTGCTGCTGCTGCGTCGGCTGCGACTGTTGCACCACAATTTGCTGTATGATATTTTGTTGATGCTCGCGCTGCTGCTGCTGTTGCGCCTGTTGCTGCTGCTGCACCTGCTGCAATTGATGCTGCAGCAGTTGATTTTGCAACTGTTGCTGCTGTTGCTGCTGTGCCTGCTGCTGCTGCGAGGCAATAAACGTATTTGGTGCCACCTGCAATATTTGCTGCGCTGTGGCATTTGTCAACGTCTGTTGCTGCTGCGTTTGCTGCGTCTGCTGCTGTTGCTGCTGCTGCTGTTGCTGCTGTTGCTGTTGCTGTGCCTGCTGCTGGTGTTGGGCGTGCTGCTGCTGTTGCTGTTGCAACTGCAGCAGTTGGTGCTGCAACATCTGCTGCTGCAACAACTGCTGATTCTTCATGATCTGCAACTGTTGCTGCTGGTGTTGCTGCTGCTGTTGCTTATCGACGCTGCCCGTCTGCAACGTCTGCCCATTCTGCAGTGTTATGGGCGTGCCCGTGCTCATGACCACCATCCTAAGGAGAGACAAAGATACAGATTAGCAATAGCTACACAAGCTGCACCACCTGTGCACCACTCACTTGTTGCCCGCCGTCGTCACCACCTGATGCAGATTGGCAGCGGCCGCTGCTGCTGCTGCTGCCGCCGCCTGCTGTTGCTGTTGCTGTTGTACGGCCAAGTGCTGGGTGAGCGCATTGCTGTTCACCTGTCCGGCCTGCGCCTTGTTGCCGCCAGCGCCCACCTGGCCGTTCTCCGTCTTCAGGGTGGGCAGAGCGGGTCGCACCGGCTGCTGCTTGTTGCGCATCTTCGCCTTGAGCAAGCTCTGGTTCTGCGCCGTCTGCGTGGACACCGAGCTGGCTGGCCGCACCTGTGCCCCATTGTGTGGCAAGATGGGCGCACCTGTCCGCTGCAGCTGCGCCGTCAACTGTTGCTGCTGCTGCAACACCGCCTGCTGCTGTGTGGCCAGTTGCTGTTGCGCCGCCTGCTGCTGCTGCTGTTGCTGCTGTTGCTGCTGCTGCTGCTGCTGTTGTTGCTGGGCGTTTGCCTGTTGCTGCTGCTGCGTCTGTTGCTTGGGCGCCAGCGCGTCTAGCTGAGCGCGCGCCTTTGTCGGCGTCTGCGTCACATTGCACTGAATTATCTCTGCGAGAGCAGGACGGAGCGAGAGAGACAGAGAGAGAGAGAGAGAGAGAGAGAGAGAGAGAGAGATAACATTAAATTTCTAGTTTCTAGTTTCTAGTCAGCTAAAGAAGAGGGCATTCCTTCCTCTAGCTTGACACTCGCTCTCAACTAGTTCAACAGCTTATATACACTCAATAGAACTAGTTCCAAATTCCAGCTCAATAAGTTCATCCGTTCACATACGCTATCTATGCATCTTCCGTGCCTACAGCTCACTTGTGCTGCTCAATGGAGTATGATAGATCAACCACAGATTGGAACTAGTTCCGACAACTAGTTCATATGCTAACGTATTTTCTATATATCTCACGTCTATGGCTCATTTCTACTAATCAATGGAGTACGATTGATAAAGCCACAATTTGGAACTAGTTCCAGATTCGCACTGAACTAGCTCATTTGTATGCATAGTCTCTATTTACACAGATGCCATGCCTACAGCTGACTTCTGCTGCTTAAAGGAGCACATCTAGTCAATTTTGTTTTGGAACTAGTTCCAGCTCGCAACTAGTTCGTAAGCTAACGTATTTTCTATATATCTCACGTCTATGGCTCACTTCTACTAATCAATGGAGTACGATACATATATAAAGCCACAATTTGGAACTAGTTCCAGTTTCGCACGAAACTAGTTCATTTGTATGCATAGTCCCTATTTACACATATTCCCTGCATAACTCCTACGTCTGCTATTTAAGAGAGTACAGAGCAATCAATTATAGAGTGGAACTAGTTCCAGCTCGCTACTAGTTCATTAGCTGAAATATGTTCTATACTTTTTTCCATGTCTATGGCTCACTTCTGCTACTCAATGGAGTACGATCAATCAACTTCAGATTGGAACTAGTTCCAAATGCTCATTTGTGGTACTTACGATTCTGTTGGGTCTGGAGCGCCTGATGCGTCGCCGGCTGCTGTATGAACATGCCCGACGTATGATCCGGCTGGCCGCGCAATATAATCGGATTCGCACCGAAATTGGGCCAGAACCACGGGCCGAGCTGCATCTGCTGCCCGGTGGCCGCGTTCTGCAGCGGACTGATGAGCTGCGCCGCCTGGGCGGCCGTCACGCCCGGCAGGGTCGACTGCGACACCTGGACACATTGCTGTGTGGTGGTCTGCTGCTGCTGTTGCTGCTGCGTCTGGGCATTGCCAGCGGCACCGCTGGCCGCCTGCACCGTGTTCGTTGTGGTGGTCACCTTCTGCACCACCTTCTGCTGCAGCTTGGCCTGGCCATCGGTGGTGACGCCGACCTTCGAGGCGGTGACGGCGAGAGCGGCCTGCTGGGCGGCAGCAGCCGCAGTCAGCTGTTGCTGTTGCGTCAATTGCTGCTGCTGCTGTTGCTGTTGCTGCTGCTGCTGTTGCTGCTGCTGTTGTTGCTGCTGTTGCTGTTGCTGCTGCTGCTGCTGTTGCTGCTGTGCCGCCGCCGCCTGCATCGAGTGCAGCAGACTCTGCTGCTGCGGCGAAATCACATTCACCGGCGATATCAGCAGCGTCTGCGGCGACTGGCTCGAGGGTATCGCATAGGTGCCGCCGGCGAAGCTCGCCTGCCCGCCGATCATCTGCTTGGCGTTCTGCGTGGTCGTCGTTATCATCTGCGGCCCGCTGCCCTGGAAGTGCTTGCTGGCGATCACCTGGATCGGCTGCTGGCCGAGCGTTGCCGGCAATAGGTTGCCGGAGACGATCATCTGCGGGTAGATGAAGCCCGTCGAGGGCTGCATCAGCTGCACTGTCCGGCCGTTGGCCCAATCGCCGGGCACTCCGCCGGTGGCAGCGGCCAGCTGCATTGGCGACATTGTGCTGATTGCTGCCGAGTGTTGTTGCTGCTGTTGTTGTTGCTGTTGCTGCTGTTGCTGTTGCTGCTGCTGTTGCTGCTGTACAACTTGTTGTTGTTGTGCTGCCGCTGCTGCTGCTGCTGCCGCTGCCTGGAGCGCATTCTGTTGCGCCGGACTGCCGGCAGCAGCAGCAGCAGCAGCGGCCGCCGCAGCAATCGCTGCACTGCCATCGCCGGCCGCCGTCAACTGTTGCAGCTGCAACTGTTGCAGCTGTGTCGTCTGACTGGCGTCCAATAGGCTTGTTGCATGCTTCAGATCGTTGCTATTGCCACTATTGTTGCCGCTGTTGCCGCTATTGTTGTTGTTGCCGCCGCCGCCGTTGTTGCTGTTGCCGCCACCAACAACATTGTTGCTATTGCCGCTAGCATTGTGTGTGGGAAACTCCTGCTTAACCTGTATGGCCGTATACGGATAGAATTGCTGAAATTGCTCTGGTGAAATTTGCAGTGGCACCGCCGCAGCGGATGCCACCTGTTGGGCGGGGCTCTGTGATTTCTCCAGCGTGCCGCCAACAACTGCTGTTGCTGCTGCTGCTGCTGCTGTCGCTGCTGATGTTGCTGCTGCTGCTGCTGCCGCTGCCGCTGCTGCTACACGCGATGTGGGCGTGCTGGAACGTGAACGCGAACGCGAAACGCTGCGTGAGCGCGCGTTGTTGTTGCTGTTGCTGTTGGGTGTTGTTGCCGCTGTGGGTGTTGTTGCTGCTGTCGGTGTTGTTGCTGTGCGACGCGGTGTTTGCGCTGTATTTGAGGCAATTGATGTGGGCGTGCCGCTTTTGATGTGATTATTGTTGTTCAATTGTGTATTGTTGTTGTTGTTGTTGTTGTTATTGTTGTTGTTGTTATTATTATTGTTGTTATTAGTGTTGTTATTGTTGGTGCTGCTGTTGTTGTTATTGTTGTTGTTGTTGCCAATGCCTGGATGCGGCGGACTAGCAAAATCGTATTTCTCGTCAAATGTTATTCCAGCCTTTTGAGCCAAAGTCTCCAAACACTTTAACGGTCGTTCAATATGTTGCTGTTGCTGCTGTTGCTGTTGCTGCTGCTGCTGCTGCTGTTGCTTATGTTGCTGCTGTAACTGTTGTAGCTGTTGCGTTGCTGTTTGCAACTTGTCGCTGTTGCCGTTGTTGCTGCTGCTGCTTCTTATATTCGAATTGTCCTTTAGGGGTAGCGCAGTTGTTGTTGTTGTTGATGTTGTGGTCGTTGTTGTTGCTGTTGCTGTTGAGGCTGCGGCCGTTGTTAGAATTGTTGCTGCTGCCGATGTATTTGTTGTTGTTGCTGTTGTTTCGCTTTCAGTGTCCGCTCTGCATTAACCAGAATGAGAAAGAGGGAGAGATGGCATAAAAATTAGTTCAAACAAATTTGTATAAAATAAAATAAGCACAATGCACACACACACACACTTGCAACGTTTGCGGCGACCGCGCTTGGCATGCAACATTTTCGCACAACAATATCAAACAAATAATAAATATGAGAAACAGCGCGGCTAAAGAGACGAGCGTAAAAGCAACACAAATTGCACTCAAACTGCAAACAGGTTGGCAGCACCCGCCATTTGCATGCAGGCAGCAAACAAAAATAAATCAAATAAAATCAAATAACAAAAAGCAATACGAAAACAACAGCAAAAGCCAAAACCAAAGAGTGGGTGATAGATGCTCGCTTACGCGCGTCCTCTCCCACTCTCTCGCTCTGTCTCAATCACACACAAAAAGCTCGGCGTAGACTGAGCGAGCGTTAAAGACAGAGATCATTCATATAAATAAACTAATTAATATGAAAGATATTACTTGGCTCATGAATAACAAAAGATTAAATTTATTATTGAATAATTGTCACTAACAATTAGAACTATGTACATCTAAAAAATATTTAGGTTATTAAATATTATATTTATTTTAATTATGAATTTATAAATGGTTTTAATAATTAATTATATATTATTTTTGTACTATATAACATTTTATACTAGTTTCCATTAAACTTCAGCATTGATCTGCTCTGCCCAACTCCTTATTCACGTGTAGCTATCTGCAATTATTGACCCATATTACGGTAAATGTAGCTCACATAATGTCAGCGTACACATATAACTCTCTCTCACACACACCTACAAACGCGCGTTAGTTACTCAAAAGAGGTCATTTGTGATGCGAAATTCTGCATATGCAAATACACAAACACACACATACACATAAGCCCCGGACAACATTTATATATAGATTATTATGATTTTATTTTGTTGCGCTCTTCCTCTATGGCCATCACTTGGTAACTGTAAACAAGGAGAGAATGCAAGAGTTGCCAGTGAATGAGCGATGCAGTTGGACTGGATGCGTGGGAGAGACAAACAGGAGAGCAGGAGAATAGTAGTGAAACAAAAACATCGAGAGAGACGGAGAGAGTGAGTTGCACATGCAGTTACCGTTATGTGTGACTCTTGCAGCCCAATACTATTTTAATGTTTTATGCATAGAATGCCGAATATTCAAAGTTCAAAAGTGCAAAAAGAATAAGTTTTGCATTTGGTTGTTACTATGACTATGAAATACATACATACATACATATGTATGTTAGCGTCGCAATCAGATAACATTAAGCTGCATCCCTGGAATTGACAATTGTGTATCATTTTTGTCAGTGCGAATGTGGTTAGGAAAATTTAGTACGCTTAGTGTCGAGTTTCAAATTTAACGTCGCCGCAGCTTAGAGCCAAATATTTTTTGAGGCGTTGCCAAACTTCAAAGTTCAAAGACCTACATACAGTAAAATCCTCACAATGTTTTAGTTTAAATAAGACAAGGTAGCCACACCAAGATCCATTTCAGGCCAAGCCACCTCTAGTCTCCCAATCTAAGCTCCTCACAATGCCCGTGAGGCATATAAAAAATATATGTAAAAGGAAAAAAAAAATACAACAGCAGAGGCCAAAGGAGCCAGCACAGCATTAGTTAGGGTTACCCCCGGCAACAATACAACGACAGCAACAGCAGAAACGGGGGTGGAGCAGCAGTGGGCGGTTTTGGCAAACCATGAAATCGGCCAAGGGTGTTTGCAATGCAACGCATGTGGGAGGGTTGCTGTTGGTTTCCTTCTCGGGTATGCTAAGGTTGCACGCCCCCACAAGAAGCACCGCAAACAGCAAAGAGCAAGCGAAAGCTGGAGAACGAAACAAATAAAAAGGAACGAAAAAAAAAGGCCGACTAGACGCTGTGCCAGACACGACAGCATCCTTTTCAACGTCGCAAAAAAAAAAACAAAACAAGTAAGAAGGCTCTAGTCGAGACTGCTCGACTAGGAGATACCCTGAACCCTCTAAGCTGATATTCTAATCATTCTGTATTTTTATGCACACATACATACACATGCTTCCACACGCACGCATAAGCCTGCGCTCTGCTAACTGCGCAGTAAGCAACGACTGCGCTTGGGCTGCGCTGCAGTGTGGGCAATATTATGAGAATTTATTTGTTGAATAATTTCTTTTGTAGACATAAGATCTTAATGAAACTTTCAAAATGTAATCATATGTTGAATATGTGTGTACATTCCAAAGCACAAGTCTCTAGTACTTTAAATGCGTTTTTTACAAATTGGGGGGAAAGGGGGCGTGGTATCCAAAATCTGAAAATTACAAAATTTTTGTATCGACTAACTTTATATACAACGCAAATTTGAAGACTCCAGGTCTAAAAATGTTCAAATTAGGCTGAAAAAACAATGCCGATTTTTCGATTATTCTCGATAAAAAAATTATCGGATGAATTATCGAAAAAATAAAGCAAACTCGTACTGCGTATGGTATACACGAGTATGCATGCCAAATTTCAGCTCTCTAGCTCTTATAACTTCTGAGATCGACGCACTCATACGGACGGACGGACGGACGGACGGACGGACGGACGGACGGACGGACGGACAGACGGACAGGGCTATATCAACTCAGCTCGTCGCGCTGATCAAGAATATATATACTTTATGGGGTCTGCCACGCCTCCTTCTGCCCGTTACATACTTTTTCACAAAACCATTATACCCTGATTTCCCATTTTCAATGGGTTCAGGGTATAAAAATCAAATAAACACACACACACACACACACAAACTTGCAGCTTAAGACTGGTTTGATGCTTGCTTGCATATGTTTGTGCGTGTGAGTGAGTAATTTCTATGAGAGTGTAAGAAACAGTGAGAGCCTCTGAGTGTATGTGTCAGCTCAATGTGAGTGGAACGGAGAAGCGTCGTTGCGATTGACAATCTAAGAACAATAATAATATTAATGCTGCACAGCCATCATCAATTTGATGTTCGTTTCGAACCAAATCAAGTTTCAGGAAGATTGATAACAAGCCGACAACGCCAACAAAACGAGCATGCGCTCAAGAGCAAAATATGAGAAAATAATATTTAAAAAAATTGTAGAGAAGTGTGAGTGAGAAGGTTAGAGCGAGATAGAAGAGGGAGAGCGCGCGCAGCTTGCATGTAGGCGAGAGAAGCAGAATTCAAATTGTTGCGAGAAACATGCGTGCAAAATTACGTTTGGTGGTTGTTGGGGCATTAAACCTGTACACGATGTAGGTGGTGACGGGGATGCGACGAAAATAGTTGACTACATATTGATTATACGAACCGGTTTCATTTCTACATGCCAGACCACAGCCACCAACAACTTACTCACTCACACTTATACGATTGCGAATACAGATACAATAGAGCGCTAAGCATTGATGTCGCCCTTGTCGGAGTCGTTTACCAATGCTCGAAAGTGTGAGCGGGATGACAATACTTTCCTGCTCAAACTCAACACACACAAGCATACACACATTCACACTTCTGTGCCAAATGGATGAGAGCGCAAGCATGAGTCGGTGTGAGAGTAGAGTTGCCAGCAAGCACAACAAAAAGTTGCATACATTTTCATATATTTCAACGTATATTAAAACAAAAGTGAAAAGGCATGACATGCACATATTTATTTATAATTAATTAAATGTTACAAGGAAACAATACAAAATTGAAACTACTGGTGGTACACGGAAAAATCATATAAAATGGATCCTATATTTATATGTATTAAGTCAGTAATTAAATTTTTTTAAACAGATGGCAACACTAACCACGCGTCTCAAATTTTGTTTACTTCCAACTATGGGCGCCCACGCGCACGCAAGCGAGAGAGCGAATGCACTCCACTAACTGTTGTTGCTGCTGCGGTTTTATTTTAGTTTCTTCTTCTTGTTCTTTGGCGCGGTGCTCCCGCTGCTTATAATGCCGCCTGCAGTTTTAATTTCGGTCAACAAATGTGTTGTTTGGCTTAGAACTTTTGCTTTTCAAACTGCGAAAAGTAAAAGAAAAATCAACCACCAACAAATTTACAAGCACACACACTGACGCATCGAAGCATTGCGAAATTCGCTGAATGTATGTGTGCGCGAATGCATGAGTTTGACTGCAGCGTTTTATAAACACGGCATGAGCTGAGCAGATGGAGCAACAAAAAAAAAAAACTCGTTTGGGACTTGTGATTTTGCTTGCTTTAGTTGAAGCAGAAGAGAGTTTCAAGTACAACTTCGATTATGATGGGACGTCAAACAGAAACTGCACACAGATACACACACACACACACGGCAGGCATACACTAGCAGTCGCATATGCATGTAATAGGTCTTGTACACATTTGTTGTTATTAGTAACAGTGTTGAAAAACGCCGCGCTGTTAAACAGCGCGCCAAACACGGTACACTGCAATTCACATTTTAAGAAAAAAAAAAAAAAAAATTGTATGTAAATATTTATATAGATAAATACACGTATAAAGCACTATATAAAATAAAATAGACATAAAAGCAAGTGTGTACACACAGCATAGAATATTCATTTATTTTGCGCTGTGAGGGTCACACTCAAAGCTAACCTGAGACGCGGCGCGATGTAATAATAACAAATACAAGTAAAAGAAACGCAAGAGCAAAAGAGAGAGGGCAAAGGCAAGAAATTCGTGTATGTAAGTGCGTGTGCAGAAAAAAACGAAATAACATTAGTAATAAGCAATAATAACACGAGTGCATTGACACACATATACATATATGTATGGCCATGTGCATGTGTGAGTGAGTGTGTGTGTGTTGTGTAGTGTTTGCTAGCAAATGGTAATATTGTATTTAAAAACTAAAATTAAAAGCGAAACAAAACAAAAACAAAAAAATCAAGAAACACAAAATACCTTTTTTGCATAAACTTCAATGCACGACGATCCATTATTCAAAATAAAAACAATTTGTATAATAAATTAATAGTATGCATGCGGCGACGTCAGCGGCGACGGCGCTGCAGCAGCGACGACAGCGATGTTCTGTTGTTTTTTGCTGTTACTGTGATGGCGACTGCGACTGCGAGTGCTGCTGCTGCGGCTGCTGATGCTGCTGCTATTGTGCTGCTGCTGTTGCGACTGCTGATTGTTTTTATTGTTGTTGGCAGCATATTGCTGCTTCTACTGCGTTTGTGTAATTTTCTTTTATGTTGTTGCTGTTTTTAATTTGCTGTCGGTAACAAATATATGAGATAAACACATACACACACAAACGTATATAAATATATATATATACACATATACGAGGAGTACAGGCAATAAACATATATACATATAAAACAGGCAAAAAAAAACGTAAAACTTTGTTGCAAGGCAAGCGCAACAACAACAACAAGAAAACATACAAAAATGTACACAAAAAAAATGTCTCGCAGAGCGTCAGCCTCAGTCGGTGTATCTGTGTTTATACATATGTGAGTGTGTGTATATATATTGGTAGTCCGTTCGTGGTTGTCTGTGTGTGCGTGTATGTGTGTGTGTATGTACGTTGTCTGAGACTTCGACTTCGACTGCGACTGCGACTGAGGCGTGTAAATGAACGTTTCGTGCACGAGAGCAATAATTAGTACGTACGTCCACTCGCTGCAGCGGCTGCGTCGACGTCAACGTTGACGTTGGCTCAGAATTAATGCAATGCCTGGCTTTATTTCACAGTTTATTCATTTTTGTTTTCTTTTTTATATGTATTATGCTGCATAGTCCAAGCACCTGTACACGTGATGTGCGTGGGCGCCCGTGCAGGGTGTATGGGGTAAGGGGGGTATTAGGCTTTAACTATTGTTGTGTGTCTCAGCTTACATAAAACGCGGCGGCGGCGACAACTCTAGCAACATATTTTTTGTTAGGCGGCACACAATTTCACTGCTCGCTTTGGCAGCGGCTGCGACTGCGACTGCGACGCCGGCAGCATAACTTTTCACTTTGCAGCATGTATCTTGTATCCTTGTGGAATTTGTTTAACTTGAACTTGCAACACTAAAAAAATATTGTAAAAAATCCAGTTGTTAATTTGCGGATTTAGTTAGTCTTGATGCATACATGAGCGTTTGCATATACGGCATGCATGTATGAGTGAGTATCTGTGTGTACGAAGCGCGACGCGTTGTATCTTTTAGCTCGACTAGCGGTTTGGACAGATCGGCGCGAGCGAGCAAACAAAACACAGACCGTGCGCTTCCAAGTTGTATTTTAGACTGAAACGCGCGCAGACGGCGGCAACTCTGCCGAAACAAAATGAAGCAGCAGCGCGCATGTGTATTGGTGACTGTGTGTGTTAGCCTTAGCAGGGTTGGCAGGCAGCTGGGTGAGGAAAACGAGTTTAACCACACATACACACGCACAGATAACACGTACAGCGAAATATTTCTCTATAACAAATGCGGGTGTGTGAGTGCGATGCCAATAGCGAAGCATATGCCTCAGCCATTGGGTGCGAGTGCGACTGCAATAGCGCCACGACTCGCTGTTTGCAGCGTTTTGTTGTGTGCGCTTTGGGGGTGTGTGCGAACGAAAGAAAAAATGTACGTGAACAAAAAAGAAGAAAAAAAAAAAACGAGGCTACACAGCTGGCGGGCATGTGTATTGTATTTGCTTTTGCTTTCGCGCCCGTTGTGGCGCATTCATCAATCCACATGTATGTATGTATGTATGCATGTGTGTATCTAAGAGTGTGCGCCTCTGCATGTGTGTGTGCGTCGCGCTGTCATCCACCCTGCCCGCTACTTTTGGCACTGCCGCCCTTGTCGACGAGCGAGAGACCAGTTTTCTGTGTCTCTATACTCGAATGTCGTTTCTCGCTGTGGTTGTTGTTGCTGTCGCTGTTGTTGTTGCTGATACTGCTGCTGGCTTGCTTGCTATACTTCATCTTCTTTTTTCGATTTCGCGTTTGCCACCACCACACCTTCGCATACGCCTATACAGACACACAAACATACATACGCATACATATTGATATACATACATACATATAAATATACATACACACATACCTGAGCGGACTAGCAAACGACAGAGGCTTTATTTTATTATTAGTTTTGCTTGTCGACCTCACCCGGGACCGTGGGTCGCATCGGGCAATGGTGGGGGGTGCCCCGGCTGTAGCGCAAAGAGGCAATCGTTCGCTTTTGCTTGCTCTCTCTCGTTCGTACAGTGGCCCGAGCTTCATTATTTTGATTTGAATTGCATTTTCTTTCCGTTTCATTTCATGTTGTTGTTGTTGTTGCTGGTGGTGGTGCTGCTGCTTTTGTTACTAATATTGCCGAATCGACATTTTCATTTGTAATGCTATGCGCTTCGCGTGGATATGGCTGTGACTGATGACACCCGGTGATTTAGCACACACGTTTGCTGATTTTTTGTTGTGGCACTTACTATTGCTGCTATGACATACATATGGCGTTGGCACAGTGTACAACTGCTATTAAAGTATTGACGAATATTCTGGGTTATATATAAAATGTATACATATATTATTTTAAAGAGTTGTAACTTTAATATATTACGTCATGTAAATAAATAGCATATCTTATATTATATTTATTTATTATTTATTTTATTTTTTTGCAATTGAGCATACTTTTGCAAAGGTAAATTAAAATAATATATATGTAATATAGCTACTTCGACTTGCTTATACAAACGATAAAAATATTTTATTTTACGCAGTATTATTTATATTATGTTTGTATATTATATGTTTTTATTATAACAAAGCAATTTAAGCAGTTTATAAAATCATTTAATATAAAAAACATCCATTATTAATTTTGATATCGAACGTACAAATATATTCCACTCTTGCACCACTGTGCCTTGACAGAAGCTCTAGCATTCCATTTTTCATTTTGTTGTTGGACTGTGAGAGCTGCCCCCGTATACATATGTATGTAGCTGTTCGTAACTGTGTGCGCCGCTTTGGGCTGTTCTTGTAGTCGACGTTCACAAATGTTCATCGTTATATGTATGCCAGTATGCTTGTCTCTCGTTAATGTTGTTCTTGTTGTTTTTGGGCCACTGCTGGCAATGACAGCCGACGTTGATGTGAGGCTCTTTGCTGTGGAACCGAACGATGGATGGTACGAAACATTTTTATGTTCCGTTCGTTTTTGTTGTTGTTGCTGTGTTTGCTGCAGCCGCCATATTATTTCTACGCTTGTTAAGTGTTTTTGCCTGCTGTTTCTCTCTTCTCTATTATGCCTTTTATTTGGTTTTTGATTGTGGCCCGTTCATGTGTATGTGTGTGTGAGTGTGTCCGCTGATCCGGCTTCATCTTTGGCTGGACTGTGTGTGTATTGGATTTTTTTTTTAATGATTGGACTTTCGTATTTTTTTGTTGTTTTTGTATATCTGAACGTAGGTTTTTCTTATTAGTTGGACAGACTCTTCTTCTTACGTCTTATTCAACTGTACAAAAATCCATGCGGAGCATGCGCTCTTTTTTTTTTATATGTACGTTTCGAATTATGAACTCGAGACTTGTTGGGTCTGCCTGCGGTTGTTGTTGTTGTTGGTGGTGGTGTTGCTGTCGCTGTTGGCGCTGGTTGGGGGGTCGTTGGCGTTGGCGCCGCAGTGTGAGCGAGCGCACGAGTGTGTGTCCAACGTTTCAGCATGAGCTGGCCTGTGTGTGAGCAGTTCTGCTTGTGTGCGTGTATGTGTGCTTTTGTATATTTTATACAAAAATGACAAATGTATAATCAGCGTAAATTGCTTTGCGCGTGCTTTTTTTCACTGGCATCAATTTGGCTTGGTGCGTTCTCGCTCGCGCGCTCTCTCTCTCTTCCTTTCTCTGTCACTCTATCTCGCTGCTGGCTCACTTGCGCTCATTAGCGCAGCGCGCTCGCTTGTGGCTGTGTGTGTGGGTATGTGAGTGTGTCGGTGTGTTGTAATTGCCTCACTCTCGCACACATATTAGCTCTGGCATTGTTATCGTTAGAATTTCCTTCACCATTTTTGAAAAAAAAAGAACCTTGGAATTATCAACATCTGCATACACACATACATACATATTTACATATATACACATACATACGGCAGCCCGACTAGGGTGTCATTCGGGGCGTATAAGATTGCTTTGCGCACGTCTGTATGTGTGTGCGAGTGTGTGTGTTGATTCAACTATCAAAATGGGTTGCTGATTGTTGGGTTCGCTTTGTTTCTGCCTTTGCTTTTGTAATGAAGTCTGAGCTCAGCGCCTAGGCGTGGTCAGCTCAGCGTCAATTCAACCGTTAGCTAGCCGAATCGAACGAAGCTCTGATTTAAAAATAAATCTACAGCAAATACACTTCATGCGTGATTGCATGTGCTTGCGCGTTATTTTCTTAGATATGTACATATGTATGTATGCTTGTATGCATGCATGCAGCTATGCTGCTTATTAACCTCTCGTATTACAGTAGCAATCGACTGATCGATTCACCCTCGTTGCTGTCCTTGCCCAGCTCCTCCTGCGTAGCGCACACACGCAGTCGCTATGCTCGCACGCATGCACATGTGAATGCCCAGGCGCAGTGCTGTACGGTTCTTTCTTGTTCAACATTTTCGTTCGGTTTCGGCGACATTCGTATGCGCTCTTTGTTGCCGTCGATAATGGTGTTTGATGAGCTATGCTTATCCTGGGTGTTTGAAGATTGAAACATGGAATGAAGCTAAAAAGTTTTGTTGTTTTATTTTTTAAATGAATATTTCGATTTAAAAATAAAGGAGATGATAGCTATGTCATTTATGTCAGCTAATTGTATTATTAATTATTTTTAGATGAAAAAAGTAAACTAAGTCATATTTAATAATATAGTATCATACGATATATATATATATGCATATCAATTTTATTTAGTCGCTGCTAACTAAACATGTTTGTAGTCAATCCCTCTTAAGAATTAATGAAAACCCCATTGAGGAGGCACGAACTGTACCGCTGGCTGGATGCGCTACTGTCTAGGGCAAGGGTAGTTCCTCTGCAGAAGCCACTTTTCTCGACAAAAGGGTTGAACTTTGGCACTTACCACACATACACACGCACACACACGCACACACACACACACATACACACATAATATCGTCATTGTATCGTCCCTTTTGACCCCGCAACCCTCCTTTCATTTCACCCTTCTCTCTGTTTTCCTGTCTCCATTTTACGCCGCACTGCGAATGCATTGCCAAAAGCAAATATTCAACAATTACCCCCAAAAATATTGCCACTATTAAGTGGAATATGCCAAATGCAACCCCTAACCTAGCTAAGGGCTGTTTCTCATTATTATTCTTGTTGCTGTTGTTGTTGTTGTTGCCATGGTAAAGAAGTTGCGCCTGGACCGGAACTATGCCCGGCCGACACAGATCTTAACTCTTGAAGGACACGGGGCAAGGGTTGGGGTCAGGGGTGCTTGTGAGACCATCACAGGTAAATCAGCTACGAAATCTGAAGAGCGATAAGTTGTTAATCTAATCTTGAAGTTCTTTAAGCTTGTATCGAAATTTTTAAGAGATATTTGAGTAAAACTAAATTTTGATAAAAGAACATGATATTTGTAGAGTTTCAAAACTCTAATCTTTAAACTATATATATAGTTTATATATTTAATATAGTTTTTTACTCATTTTCGAAGTAATTTCGAAGTAATTTTATAAAAAATTTGATTTTTTTTTTACGTTTTTATAGAGCTTTATACGGGATTTAAAAAAAAATAAATCCATGGAATTCTCATAGTATTGAAATTTCGATTGAGTAGATAATACCACTGCTCCTCTTCTGCTTCGACGTATCTTCTGGTCGTCTACCTATCACATTGAAATTCCATATAATCCTTTATTTATAAACCTTCTTTATCCTTCGATTTCACATGTCAAAGCATTTTCAGAACAAGGAAAAAGTGTTCTTAAAGTTTTGAAATTACATATCTAATCAATCTTATCTATATAAATTTCTGATACCTGCGAATAAAGTTCTATTTGTGGACTGTACTTTGATCGATAATATGTTCGTTGGACTGATAGACTATATATATACAAATATATTGTTAAGTGGAATTAAGATAAGATTAGTTTAGGGTCAGATGTGAATATAGTTAGTATATAGGAAACGAGGATTCGAGTATATGGAAGTGTAATATGTGGAACTTCGCTTATGGAAACGCTGTATATGGAATTCCAGAGTAGGGACATAAAATATAATGAAATATGTAACGGTAGAAACCCATTAGTAGTATAAGGAAGCCTAGAAACATGGAATATGAGAATGCTAGCCTAGTATGTGGAAACCTAGTATTATAAATCCTAAAAGCTTCATATTTGGGATACTTATTCTATGTAAGATCAGTGAGTATATAATAGGTATATACCCAGCCTACATGAAAGTTAGTATATGAGAAACGAAGACGAAAGTCTAATATACGAATATACCTAGAAAACCAAGTATATGAAAACCTAGTTGATGCATATAAATTTTAAGTCCTAGAAACCTAGTAAATTAATCCTAGAACATTTAGTAAAGGTCAATTCAATAGTTAGAGGCCTATTAGATAAAGGAATAGATTTATGTAAATAAGTTATAAGAAATCTGGAAGCTTAGTATGAGAGAGAGAGAGAGAGAGAGAGAGAGAGAGAGAGAGCTCTCAGCGACAGAGTTGAACCCGGCTATAAGGACTTCGCGTATAGCTTCCGTATGCTTATTGCGACGAAAGTTCTGGTCCCCTGACAAACTTTCATGGCTATAGCGTCTTCCGGCTATAACGACGGTCCCTTCGTGTCGTTATAACCGGCATCTACTGTAAGAATATTTAGGAACCTGAAAATCTAGTAAATGACAGCCCAGTATATGGTATATTATTAATTATTAATTTATTTATTGTTATCAAGAATTAATTCTAAGTAATAATTTGTTAAGCCAGAGCGACAAATGCCTTCAGGCAATATTTACATTATATAAATTATTTAAAAAAAAAAGTTAATATATGACAAAAAGTGAGTGAAAATCTATGTAGTAGATGAAAACCTAGTATTTGGAAACCCTAAAATGGAAAGTCTGTAGAAAATAAATGTATGAATAGGCAAAAATATGGATATAAAGTGAGTAATATTCGGTTTATTATTATTCAACTTCAAACGCCTTTAAAACATATAATATTAATTAAAATAAAAAAAAAGTAAATGCTAAATTGTAGATTGAAAAATAGCCTTTCCGATGAGGTATATATCAATATAGTATATTTAACATAACTGACAAAGATTATACGTATATAAAATATAAAGTTTGAAAAAAAAAAAACAAAAAAATATACTAATGTTACTCACTGTATATGTATAATTAATCTATACCATTGAGTGGAAGATGAAAGTAGGATAAGTAATACAGTAGAGTCCGGATATAACGACGCTCAAGGGACCGTCGGTATACCCGGAAGATGCATTAACCGTATAAGTTTACTCATATATGTCAGTTTGTCTGGGGACCAAAATTTTCGTCGCAATAACCGTAGGGACGCTATAAGCAGAGTCGCTATAACCGGATTCTACTGTACTTATATGTACAATAATTGGTCAAAAATGTTATAAATTGTATGTTTTGTATGTATGCACATTATGTAGCCTAAATTGATGCATATGGAACAATTTCAATGTTGATCTGGTATAGAACTGTACTTTTAGTTCAAGTTGTAGACCCAAAAGTCTCGGTTAATACAAATATTTTGATACACTGAAGTGTTTTTGTTGATTACAAAAAGTGGGCGTGGCTGGTGCCATATAGAATTCTCAACGTAACTATAAATTGATAAGTATGTAATCTGTATATGTATGTATATATGTATATATGTATATATGTATATATGTATATATGTATGTATATATGTATATATGTATGTATATATGTATATATGTATATATGTTTATCGATCTATATATAGATTTATCGATATAAATTCTAATCATCGATAACATTTTGAACTGCCATCCGTTCGATTTGGTGCTTATTTTCTTCTAAAGTTAAAAAAATAAAAAATATCTAGTTCTACAAATTCCTTCGGTGTTACGGGTATTGCCTAGTCGTACATGCCCGACTATATAATTTCTACTTGTCTGACCGTGAAGCAAGGACGGAAAAGCGTTGGAGGAAAATTTCGACGGCATTTTTAATTTAACTATATTTAAATAAATTTAACTGTAAAAAATTACATAGTTCACAACTAGAACAATTAAAGATTTTTAGCCGGGACTGCTCGACTAGAAGATACCCTGAACGCCAACTGCGCAGTAAGCAGCGACTGCGCTGCAGAGAATTGCATGAGAATTTCTTTGTTAAATAATTTTTTTTTAGTAAGAATATCTTCATGAAACTTTCAGAACGTGATCGTAATGTTCAAATGTATGAATATTCCAATGCACAGTCTCTAGTACCTAAAATTCACCTCCTACGAATTGGGGGTGATGGGGGCGTGGTATCCTAAATCTGTAAATTATAAAATCTTCGTATTCATCAAATACAGTAAATCTGAAGTCTCTGGATCTAATAGTGTTCAAATTACGCTGAAACCCTAAAATCAATTTATCGATTATTCTCGATGAAAAGGAAATCGGATAAGCTGTCGAAAAAATATGATAAACTCGTATGGCGTATGGTATACACGAGTATGCTTGCAAAATTTCGGACAAATAGACAGAGCTATATCGACTCAGTTCGTCACCCTGATCAAGAATATATATACTTTATGGGGACTGCGATGCTTCCTTCTGCCTGTTACATACATTTTCACAAAAACATTATACCCTGATTTCCCATTTTCAATGGGTGCAGGGTATAAATGCAAAGCAGAAGAATGGAAAACTTAGCTGCTTCTTACTTTTAAAGATGTGTTGCCAATATCGATAAATATCAATAGTTGAGAAAGGGCCGAACTAATTTACCAAGAATATGTTTATTATAATGACATATGTATAAAAATGAATATATGCATGCATCATATTGCCAGATTGCTCTCTTAAAGTTACCATCCAGTTTTTTCAAAAATATCAAAAATTTATTAGTTCTGACAGAATCCTCAAAAATTTTTGGGTGTACTTATTATTTTCATCATGAGTGTAGTATGTACACATTATATAATAAAAACTTTTTACTCAAGGTTTTTAATTATACACTTTTATGCGCTTTCATGATAAATAAATTGTGAATTAACATAACTTAAGATACACAATTTTAATAATATATATATTTACAAAAATAGCAAAATCTAATACAAATAATTTCCTACTGTTAATATAAATAAATATTTATTTGTTTAACATATATATACAAACATATGTATTTAGCATATATATACATTCATATAGTCATATAGTATTTATGTATAATTGAAAGATTTCCTTTTTCCTCCTTTTAAATTCTCATTCGTTGACTCCTCTGACATGGTACAACAACAATTAAACAATCGATGGCGTGAACAACAGTTAAAAAATAGAAGCGTGCCGCCATTTTGATTTAACTGTCATTGTCTAATTGCAGTTGGTATCGCGACTGCGTCCAATACAAAATGCCGACGGCGAAAAATGGGCGCGCTGCTAGCTGCTTTTTTTAAATTTTGTTCGGCTTGGGGGTGGGTGTGTGGTGCGAGCCGAGCAACAACTTTTGCGCAAGCGAAACAGCGACAGCAATAGAGCTAGTTGCAAAGGAACGAATGAGATAGCTATAGGTACGTCGCATGTTGCCCGGGGTGGTGGGCTGCCAAGTGAATGGGCGTTGCCGTGGTGAGTTAAGTCTCAACATGGTCAGTCAGCGCGTATAACAGTTTTATTGTAGCAATCTATTAGCTATCGAAATTCTTGTTAAATAAATTTTTGTATTTAACTATTAAAATAATAAATTAAGCTTAGTGTATGTATGTGTATGTCCATAGGTGTGAATGTGAATGTGGATATTTTTGGGAGGCGTAAATATTAGTTTTTGTGTATGCTAAACAAAATGGTGGACATTCCATTTTCAAATAAAAGTAAGGGAAAAATTTTGAAAATTTTGAAAATTTTTCTTTTTTTGAATTATATTTCTTATAACCTAACTTACTTTATACTAAATAAACTCAAATTATTTTTTTTGAGGTTATGTCAAAATTAGAATAGGTAAAATAATAATTTAAAAAAAATCAATAAATAATATAAAAATAGAAATAAAATAAATAAAAACATAATGTTTTAGTATTACAAAAAAAGCACTAAAGACAATAATAATAATAAAAATAATATTATTATTATTATTATAATTTTTATATTATATATTATTATAATAATAATAATATTATTATTATTATTATTATTATTATCTATCTTTCTGTTAAAATTAAAAACCAAAGATTGAAAGGAAAACAAACAAAATATTTTAATTTTAAATTAAATAATTATCATTATTATTAATTATTTTAACATCAATGAAGTTAAAGATCAAATATTTAAGTATGAAAATAATGCAGTTCATGAAATTAGTTTTTTTTTTATTGTATATATTTACATTATTCAATATTTATAACTCCCAAAAAATTTATTATTTTTAATGAAATATAAATTTAATATATTTAACATTTAGTTTTTAATTTAGTATTTATAAATATATTAAAAAATTTTATTACTACATATAAAATATTTTCTCTTTTTAACAAATTTTTTATTTTAAATTCAATGTTTTTTTTTTTTTTTTTTACTTGAAAACTGCTTAATAATAATAAAAATAATATGCAGTAAAAATAATGAAATTTACTAGTTACTTCATTTAGTTTTCATTTCTAAATATAAACTGATTTATTTCATTTTAAGTACACTTTGCCTTGTATTATAAATAAATATAATATAAATTTTAATTGCTAAACAAAATATAATTATAAATTTTAATTGCTAAACAAAATATAATTTAAAGCCTTTTTTCCAAATTTATATATTTGTTGTGTATGCCAACGATTTAGACTTCAGGCACGAAAGAACTTATAAAGCTTTGCAAACAGCTGATCACCGTAAAGGGGAGCTTTTATTGTGGCGCTCGTTAGCTTTTGCACGCTCGCTCACTCTCTGGCTCTACCTCTCTCTTGGTCACGCGCTCTCTCTCACTCTTTCTTCTGCGCCTTATTTTTTATGCGCGGCTCACGCTTATTTTAGCGGTTGTCGTCTGTGATTTTGTTTTAGTTTTGTTTTGGTTGCGCGCCTACCATTGTGCGACTGAACGAGCAAATACGAAAAAAGAAGAGTAAACAAAGTGTAGGTGCATTAACGTAAAGTATAAATATAAGTATCTAATTATGTATAAGCGTTAGTTTGGTGCTGTATCGTGCTGTTCTTGTCTTTTGCGTTGTCCTCTTTGCGGTTTTTTCCACAACGAATTATCAAAAGACTATGCAAATGGTTGGAGCGGTGGCGCTTTGTGTATGTGTATGCGTGCGTGTCTCTCTCTCTCTCGTTCTGCCTTCAAGTACGTGAATGGCGCGTGGACGACAGCTGATGACGAAACATACATACTTAAATGAGTATATTATATATGTTATAAATATGTGTGTATATAAATATTCCACTTATTGAATTCATTAATTACTGCGTTACTGTATATATTTATGCACATATAAACACTTGTACAATTTGACCAAAAATGTTTGCTTATCAGCTGCTATATGTGTATGTGTATGTACGAGATAATAAACAGACACACACGTTCACGCATACATACATATGTTTGGAAAGCCATACAAGCTTTTCGATGTAATCAAACAAGACAGGGCATCTGAAAGACGACGGGAGCAAATGTAAACAAAAACAATCGTGTGAAAAAGCGGTAAGGTCAAGAGCTTTAGAGCTTTTTGAGATCGGCCTGCATGCGCGAGTGACAGGTAGCGACGTCACTTAATTTTGTAATGCCGCGCGAATGCTGTTGAGTGAAAGAGAGAACACCATAGATAAAACTTTATTGGCTGCGCTCATTGCAGCCGCAGCTGATGAACAACTGTCAAACATGTGTGTCATACAATATGGCTGCAATCAGCTCACGATCACATGCTAGAGATGAGCTTATCAAAATTGTGAAATAAGAAAACCATAACAAAATTTTAATACGAAAATTTATTTATGTATATAAATATATATAGTAGAAAATATAAAAGATTATTATTTTGAAATTCATGGTTTCCATGGCAATTGTACGAAATTCACAATGGATTTCGGTGACAGTTCTGCCGGATCTTAGCTAATCGGGTTTTAACTCAACCTTCGACGATGTACTTCAGTCCCAGCAAGACCACAGCCAAGGGTGAGGCCGGCAGGCAGGTAAATTAGACCATCGTAAATGATTTTATGATTATGCAGTTTCCTTTGCCTTTATACCTGGAAGCAGACAGACAGCTCGACCTATGCACATATTGACAAAGTAAACCCGGTCGCGGTCATAAACATATTGACTTTAACAGCGCTCGGCTTTACGGCCCAAAACTGTTTCGCATTTTAGAGCTGGGAACAACCTGCTCAATTGGCCTGGAAATATGCAAATTCTAATCAACTTTTTGTGTGAAATTGTTTTTTTTTTTGTCTTTATCTTTCATAGTGTACGAAAATAAAACTTGTATAGATTAGAGTTTATTGTGTGGGTTTTTCTATTAAACTTTATGAATGAGATTACTAACATATACATACATATATATATATATATATATATATATATATATATATATATATTTATATATTTATATATATATATAATATAATTGAGATTGGTAAGTTTGGCAATATTGGTTTTGCCAAATGCGAGAGCCAACATACCTAATTTGTTATTGTTTTTCTGCTTATTATAACTTATCATATCGATAATAATCGATGCTTTGGCTTGGTTATAGATACATAATTTGAACAGACTTATTGAAGATTTAAACTTAACTTTGGGAGTTTACTGTGATGAAGGCGATAGATAAGTCACATTCATAAATAATAGATATAAAATAATAGATAATATATGTATATATAATATTAGATAATAAAGCTAACCGATATATGTATATGTAGTCGTATAGAAAGAAGGTGAATAGAAAAATAGATAATTTGATATGCATGTATGAATAAAAGATAAAATAATAGATAATATAGTTAATACCATAGACATGCCCCTTTAGATGCATTCATGCAAATGTTTGAAATAAACTATAGATAATAAATTCATTAAGCCCTTGCTAATCCTAAATTAGATAAATAAACATTAATTTTAGATATTCTAAATATAGATTATTTATGTGCGACAGAAAGCTAAGTCTATGAAGAGATTAAGAATAGATATAACATAATTTATATGTATATGACATCAGATATAATAATATATGTGTGTACAGTATTCTCACTTTTTGCCACTTCAACTTTCCACTCTTTATAGAGCCTCAAGTTTCGAGTGAGATCTTGTCATTGATTGCGGAATTTGAACAGCTTAACGAGAATGCGTTTCCCTCAGGGTCTTATGCAAATGCGCAGATATGCGACCGCAGTCACCCTGCGGCAATTTGGGCACACACACACGCAGACACAGACACAGGCCATTACACATGCACGCAGAGGCACAGAGGCGACGGTGGTGCGAACGTTGGCAAGCAGCGCATCGCCGCTGCCGGAACTGACACAGGTAAGAGCAACAAAGCAAGCTAGAGCGAGGGAGTGGGAGAGCGAGCAAGAGAGCAAGCGGTACGAGCAGGGGTGAGAGGGAGCAGGAGTGTGTGCATTGGTTGCGTGGTGGATTTTAGCGTTTGCCTTCTTGGTGGGAGGGAGCAAGAGTGTGAGGATTTTGTGTGTGTATGTGTGTGTGTGGTGAGTTTGCGGCGTCTCAGCGACCAGCATGGCCTAGGGTGGGAGGAACCAAACAATGTCAGCATTCATTCTATGGTAAGTTTTTGTTTATGCAGGCCAACAACGGCCAATCGGCGTCAAGCCAACCGGAGACAGCGTATTGCAAATGGTGGTGGCAAATCATACGATATGTAAAGTTGTACAGTTAGCGCAAGAGTTATGAATGGCGAAAGTGTTATTTATATCTGTATGTATGTGTATAAGTATATTTATATTTGTATGCTATATCTATATCTATATCTATATCTATATCTATATCTATATCTATATCTATATCTATATCTATATCTATATCTATATCTATATCTATATCTATATCTATATCTATATCTATATCTATATCTATATCTATATCTATATCTATATCTATATCTATATCTATATCTATATCTATATCTATATCTATATCTATATCTATATCTATATCTATATCTATATCTATATCTATCTCTTTCTCGCAGATATCGGATAACGTACAGCGGGGAAACTACGCCCAGCTCAATGATAAGGATGTGGCCCACTTCGAGCAGTTGCTGGGCAAGAATCACGTACTCACCGAGGATCTGGAGGGCTATAACATATGCTTTCTGAAGCGCATACGAGGTGAGTTGGCACCCTCTCTCACTACCCCTCTACATCACTCTCTAAATCTTCGGTTTCTCTCCAATCTCAGGCAACAGCAAGCTGGTGTTGAAGCCGGGCAACACGCAGGAGGTGGCCGCCATTTTGCGCTATTGCAACGAGCGGCGGCTGGCGGTGGTGCCGCAGGGCGGCAACACGGGTCTGGTGGGCGGCTCGGTGCCCATTTGTGATGAGATTGTCCTGTCCATGCAGCGCTTGAATAAGGTGCTCTCCGTGGATGAGGTGACGGGCATCGCCATTGTGGAGGCGGGTTGCATTTTGGAGAACTTCGATCAGCGGGCACGGGATGTGGGCCTAACGGTGCCGCTCGATCTGGGCGCCAAGGCCAGCTGCCACATCGGCGGCAATGTCTCGACAAATGCCGGCGGCGTTCGTGTCGTACGCTACGGCAATCTGCACGGCTCCGTGCTGGGCGTCGAGGCGGTGCTGGCCAACGGCCAGGTGCTCGATCTGATGTCCAACTTCAAGAAGGACAACACGGGCTACCACATGAAACACCTGTTCATCGGCTCCGAGGGCACCCTGGGCGTGGTCACCAAGCTGGCGATGCTCTGTCCGCACGTCTCCAAGGCCGTCAATGTCGCCTTCATCGGGCTCAACTCGTTCGACGATGTCCTCAAGACATTCGTCAGCGCCAAGCGCAATCTGGGCGAGATTCTCAGCTCCTGCGAACTTATCGATGAATTGGCGCTCAACACGGCGCTGCAGCAGTTCAAGTTTCTCAAGTGAGTACGACTAGCAAATACTCTGCAAGCTTGCGGTATAAACAAATTCGATTTACATTCTATCTAAACAAATCTCAGCGTTCTTTATAATTTTATAGGGTATACAGAGTAATGTTTGATCTTGTGCAAACGTAGTTATTTTTGGCACTTCTTCTATGATCCTAGTTTTAGTATTTACAGGGTATATGATAGATTCTTATAAGAATTTCTTACCAAGCTTTAGTTGTGAATTCATCCTATCTATACGCATAGCTTCTAGCTGACTCTTTGAGTGTTTACAGGGTATGCAAGATACAGAAGGAAACAATTTAGGAGGTATTCCTTGAACTTTAGGTAAGACATGGACGCGATATTTATACCTAGCTCTTATGCACCTGATTCTTATTTGATATTTATAGTATTTACAGGGTATACATGGTATAAAAATCATCTATCATCATCTATTTTTCTTAATTGTTGTTAGTTTGATGGCTCGCTTTACTTATAGGGAATTTCGATTTATTGAGCTTATTCCTCTGTGCATTTCTTAATATTTACAGGGTATAAATATTATATCAACAAATAAGCTGTGCTTTCTATATTACGAATTTAGAGATGTTTTACATCTATTAGCTAAACTCAATCTACTTAGCTCCTTTCATGTGTGTATGCATTTACAGGGTATCAAGGAGGTTGCACGATCGTGAAATTCATTCTCTGTAAACCTAGTGATTCCTTTAAACAAGGTCTAGCGACTAGTATGCCTGGCCCCTGATCCCCTTCATTTCTCTTACCCCTTTAGTTTGTACAGGGTATACAAAGTAACAATTCCATTTTCTCCTTTTGCCGTTAGCTCACCCATCTCTGGCTATCCGTTCTACATGCTGATCGAGACATCGGGCAGCAACGGCGATCACGACGAGGAGAAGATCAATCAATTCATTAGCCAGGGCATGGAGCGTGGCGAAATTCTGGATGGTACCGTTAGCGGGGAGCCCGGCAAAGTGCAGGAAATCTGGAAGATACGCGAAATGGTGCCGCTGGGCCTGATCGAGAAGAGCTTCTGCTTCAAATACGATATATCGCTGCCGTTGCGCGACTTCTACAACATCGTGGACGTGATGCGCGAACGCTGCGGCCCCCTGGCCACCGTGGTTTGTGGCTATGGGCATCTTGGCGACTCGAATCTGCATCTGAATGTGTCCTGTGAGCAGTTCAACGACGAAATTTACAAGCGCGTCGAGCCGTTCGTCTACGAATACACCTCACAGCTGAAGGGCAGCATCAGTGCGGAGCACGGAATTGGTTTCCTCAAAAAGGACTATTTGCACTATTCCAAGAATCCCGTTGCCATCCAATGGATGCGCGACATGAAGAAGATGTTCGATCCCAATGGCATACTGAATCCCTATAAGATGTTGAATTAAATGCACTTCGAAATCTTTTTTTTTTTTTTTTTTTTGTATTCTAATTATATGTATGTATGTATATGTAAAAAAGCTTTTAATAAATGTGCATTTGTTTGCTTGCCTACTTTAGCTTTGTGCTTTTTCATTTCATTGCATTTTTTGTGCGCCCGTGCCTATCGATAGCGGATATCGATAAGTGACGTACCTGGAGGGCGGCTCAAGGTGGAGTTTGAAAAAGTTTTCGTTTGCTTCGATCGTGCAAAAAGCTGCGCGCAGTTAGAGATGAACGTAGTGGAAAAGTAGGTATTAGGCGATGAGCACGTAGTAGTAAAAAAGTGAGGTGATATATGTGAGGTGTTGAGAATATGAGCTGAACCGGTGTTATACAGGTAATAATAAAAATATGAAAATAATAAGTTAACTTAAAATAAATTGTATATAATAAATCAACGAAAACAAAATTCATACATTTTAATAATATTTGACAAACTTTAAATTTTATATGACGTATATCGTAATTTATAGTTTTTCTATACTTTTACTGAATATTTCTGTTTGTTAACATGTAAATTATTTGTGTTCTATATAATTGAATAAATTATTAATAAATATTTGCTTAACTTGCAATTAAAGTTTTGCCAATTTAATACAATCCGCACATATCGAGCGTCTGCGTGACACGCCGTTGTAACGCTTACATACGCATCACTAGTGTAAAGCTTGTCGGATTTATTTACTTTTTTCGGCATTTATCGTGTACGCTTTGGCAACGTTTCGTCAGTTTCAGTTGGCGAGCGCAAGCGGCCGGACATCAAAAGCGTGGGGAAGGTGACGGAAGCGCGAGGAAATAAACAAGTTTTGCGTAAAATTTACAATACTATATTCATAAATCATTAAGTAAAAATAAAACAAATATGAGCGGGTAAGCAAAATTTTTGTGTAATTTGTCATTAGTTACGTGCTGATTTAATTTTTTTTGCCTCTTCTTGTTGTTCTTGTGATAATACAGGAAAGCTGATATTGCACTCATTGGCCTGGCTGTCATGGGTCAAAATCTCATACTGAATATGGACGAGAAGGGCTTCGTGGTTTGTGCGTACAATCGTACCGTATCGAAGGTGCGTGACTTTCTAAACAACGAGGCCAAAGGCACGAAAGTGATTGGCGCCGAATCACTGAAGGACATGGTCGACAAGCTGAAAACGCCACGCAAAGTCATGTTGCTGGTCAAGGGTAAGTCATTGTTGTAATAGTGTGGAGTGAATGGCGTGAAGTGATCGTTAGGCAAGTGTGTGCGCCTGTGCGTGTCTGTGTGTGTTTGTGTGTGTGGAAGTCAAAGCAAAGTCATGCACACAAAAATTGCATAGCAAGCGTCAAAAACAACAACAGCCAGTCAGAGAGAGAGCGTTTGCTTTAAGCTCCCTCACTGCCGCTCTTTCCCTCTCAGAGAGAGAGAGCGTGAAAGAGAGCGAAAGAGCGCTATCATATATGGTTTGCAATTTGTTTTTGTTTACCATTGCCATATGTACGCTATCGATAATTATCACTTAGAAATATATCGTTTAAGCTCAATACGCATCTTTATGGCTGAATGGTAAACAATGCAATTTATGCATAGCTTACATTGCCTTCTGCATGTACCGTGACATTCATTAGGTTAAAGACATTGACAAACGTTGCTGAACAGGTACTGAACACTTGGGTCAAGATCAATGCCGGCGATAAGAGCTGCCGTCAAGCAATCAAGAAGCAAGTTACCATTATCTCGTTAAAACGCAGAAACTGACGACTTTGGGCTGACCTCAGTTCAAGGTCAATTTTATGCACTGCTATTACAACTAGAGGTGAAAAGCTGACGGCTTAGAAAACTGAAAGAAAATCAAATTAAAGCACGTTTCACATAAGTAAAAAAAAAGAAGAGAATATTGTAAGCTGTAGGATTTATTAAAAATATTTGTAATATTAAAATTTAATAAGCAATATTTGTAATATGTCACCCGATGACGTAGTGCCACTCTAATCAGCGCATTTCCCATCACTAGATTAACCTTAGGAGGTGGCCTTACATGCATTTTGCACGATCAGCCAACTAGTGTGTGGGCACGCGGCCATCTCTGAGATTGCCTTTCTAATGCCAGTTTACATTCTTCTATTTGGCAGCTGGCAGTGCAGTGGACGATTTTATTGGCCAGCTCGTGCCGCTGTTGTCACCGGGCGATGTCATCATTGATGGCGGCAACTCGGAATACCAGGACACGACGCGACGCTGCGAAGAGCTGGAGAAGCTGGGCATACTCTATGTCGGCTCTGGCGTAAGTGGCGGCGAGGAGGGCGCACGAAATGGTCCATCTCTAATGCCAGGCGGTAATGCGGCTGCCTGGCCACTGATCAAGCCCATATTCCAGGCCATTTGCGCCAAGGCCGATGGCGAGCCCTGCTGCGAGTGGGTGGGCGATGCGGGCGCCGGCCACTTTGTGAAGATGGTGCACAACGGCATCGAGTATGGCGACATGCAGCTCATCTGCGAGGCTTACCACATCATGAAGAAGCTGGGGCTCACGTCGCCTCAAATGTCGGAGGTGTTTGGCCAGTGGAACAGCACCGAGCTGGACTCATTCCTCATCGAGATCACACGGGATATATTGAACTTCAAGGACAGCGAGGGATATCTGCTGGATCGCATACGCGACACAGCTGGCCAGAAGGGCACGGGCAAATGGACAGCGATAGCGGCGCTGCAATACGGCGTGCCCGTCACACTGATCGGCGAGGCCGTCTTCTCGCGCTGCCTCTCCGCTCTGAAGGATGAGCGCGTTGCGGCCAGTGGCGTGCTGAAAGGACCCAGCTGCAAGCCCTGCGTGCCGGACATCAAGAAATACCTGAATGGCATCAAGTACGCGCTCTACTGCGCGAAGATCGTCAGCTATGCCCAAGGCTTCATGCTGATGCGCGAGGCAGCCAAGGAGAACAACTGGAGTCTCAACTATGGCGGCATCGCACTGATGTGGCGCGGCGGCTGCATCATACGCAGCGTCTTTCTGGGCAACATCAAGGATGCGTACACCCGCCAGCCGACGCTCTCGAATCTGCTGCTCGACGACTTCTTCAAGCGCGCCATTCAGCAGGGCCAGAGCTCGTGGCGTGAGGTGGTGGCCAATGCCTTCCTCTGGGGCATACCGGTGCCCGCTCTGTCCACGGCCCTGAGCTTCTACGATGGCTATCGCACGGCCACCCTGCCCGCAAATCTGCTGCAGGCGCAGCGGGACTATTTTGGTGCCCACACCTACGAGCTGGTGAACAGGGAGGGGGAGTTCCATCATACCAATTGGACGGGCACCGGTGGCAATGTTTCGGCCAGCACCTATCAGGCATAGAGATACCAACCACATTCCAAGTTTACGGTTTACCGTTTTTTTTTTTTTGTGTATACTCTAATAACAAATAGGCTGGCCTCTTAGTGTATTTCTATTCTATTTCGTTATTTTTTTCTCACTTTTTTCTTGAGTACTTTAAGGCGGTACTTAATTGTACAATATTTAATTAGTTTCATTTTAATTAATATATATTATTAAACTGGTGTGTTTTTCTAAAAATCTCCAGTGCTTTGATTTCTTTTGGCGGCAACTAAATTGCACATTAACAAAAACAACAACAACAAAAACAATCAAATTTTAACGAGTCTTTCGCTGCTATTGTCCCAGCTGCCTTATGCCGTGCTTGTGGTATGTATATATATGTGTGTGTGTATGTATGTATTTCTCTGTTCATGTGATAGCGATGATAAATTCTCAGTCATCTGATGGCCGCAATGTCTTTTTCTGTTCGATAACCAGCTTGTCGGTTGTGTAAAGATGGCCAATAATTACCTGCAAGTAGAAGAGTGCATGCTTAATGAAAATAGTTCTCTATTCGCATTATTATCTTTAGGTGATTTTGACGTCAAATATGACGTGCACAATGCGATAAGGATTGGGCAACCGGGCATATCAAATACGTGCTTGTATGTAGGTACATATGTAGGTATGTGTATGCAGGCATGTATGCACATGGTGTTACAGCTGATTTGCCAATTTAATGACCCGGCACAAGCTCTCACCTGTCGTCGAATCAATTCCAAACTTTCCTTGGCATTAGCTACTTGCCGATCGATTTCTTTAAAATCATTTATCATCTTGTTGGCACGAAATGTGTCACGTATTTTCCGCATAGCATACATTCTGTAAACAAGAAAATTTCGACAGTTGTCATAATTGAGATGTTATGTTATGCTATTTCACAATTCACACTCGCACCTGAAGTTGTAGGAAGGCAGCTTTTCGGATTCACGCAATAAATTCCGATATAATGTAATGGCCTGGCGACGTGTCGACATCTTTGCGTTCGTTGTGTGTGGAATAGCAAACAAAATATGTTCTATTGTATGAACTTTAATTGATAATAACCGTGTTGATTATTTTGGTTAAACCGTATAATTTGGTGATGTTAACAAATAAAGAGTAAAGTAACGATTATATCGATTGTTTTCTGTACGAATTAACTGCACATAAAATCACATGTATCGGTATGAAAATCTTATCGATATATAGTACCCATCGCAAATATGGCGACTGCCAGTAAAATACTGCCCTCTCTCATCACTAATCAGCTAGGAGCAAACGAGCATTTTTGTACGCGTTTATTTTTTCATCACTTATTTTCGTTGCTCTTCATATTAAAACAACAATATGGATGTGCGTCCAAATCAAACCATTTACATAAACAATCTGAATGAAAAGATTAAAAAGGAGGAGCTTAAGAAGTCGCTCTACGCCATCTTCTCACAGTTCGGCCAGATACTCGATATTGTGGCGTTGAAAACATTGAAAATGCGAGGGCAGGCATTTGTCATATTTAAGGAAATTGGCAGTGCCTCCAATGCGCTGCGTACTATGCAGGGCTTTCCATTCTATGACAAACCCATGCGCATTGCCTACTCCAAGTCCGATTCGGATATTGTGGCCAAATTGAAGGGCACCTACAAGGAGCGTCCAAAGAAGGTGAAGCCGCCAAAGCCGGTGCCGGGCGTCGAGGAGAAAAAGTATGTATCAATGATATGAATTACGCTCATATTGGAAATCACTAATGATCATATTGCATTTCGAATTTAAACAGGGACAAGAAGAAGAAGCAGAGCAGTGCAGAAAATGCAAATCCGAATACACAAACAGAGCAGCCACCAAATCAAATCCTTTTCCTCACCAATCTGCCGGAGGAGACCAACGAAATGATGCTCTCCATGCTGTTCAATCAATTCCCTGGCTTCAAGGAGGTGCGCCTGGTGCCCAACCGGCACGACATCGCCTTTGTCGAGTTCACCACCGAGCTGCAGAGCAACGCAGCCAAAGAGGCGCTCCAGGGCTTCAAAATAACTCCCACGCATGCGATGAAAATTACGTTTGCCAAAAAGTAGACGCGCACAGATTTCCTCAATATATACACAAATATATGTATATATACATACATAAGTGTAGGAAAGTCGGGGTCTTTTTTTTTTAATAATTAAATGCTTCTAATTTAAAATAAATATAAATATACTTAGCATAAATAAAACACACAATGATGGATAAATGTGGCAAGCTCTTAAGTTGGCAACAAATCAAGTTTAATGGTGATTGACAATTTAGAGGGAGGCAGAGTGCTACAGTTGCATTAGTTTGTGCTTTGTGGTATAGTGTAGTGTAGAGTAGGTAGTATATGCGTCATTTAACAATTTCGGTGTTTTAGTTTTTGCATAAAATAACGTTTGTGTTGATCAGTGTGCTGCTCGCTTCACTGTACTGGCATTAGTTTCCATTTGCATGGGGTCGCTCGGTCATTAGTATTACATAAATATATACAGTGGTCGGGTGGCAGTGTGTTAGTGTTCTCTACTGATTTTCTGCGACATAGGGTAACTAATTCTCCAGGATGCCGCTCTTGTCCATAGCACCCTGCGTACATGGCGGTATGTCGTGCGGGTCGTCCATATCCTCGCCGAGATCACACACGGTACTGCCGCTGCCAGCGCTCTCCGAGGAGATGCTCAGCTGCTGCTGTAGATGGGAATCCTCGTCGAAGGACTCGTCAGCGTCGCCCACAAACTTCTCCATCGACTTCGTCAACTTATCCGAGTTGCCGCCCACAAATACTTCCAGCACTTCGCCGCTCTTGATGAACACGAATGTGGGCATGCTGGTTATATTGTACTCGATGGTTATCTCCTCGTTGTCATCGACATTCACTTTCAGCACGACCGCTCGCTCGGCATACTGGGCGGCCAGCTCCTCCAGTTTGGGTGCAATGACCTTGCAGGGGCCGCACCAATTGGCGCAGAAGTCGATGACAATCAGCTTGTCGCCGGCATTGGACAATTGCTGCTCGAAGTCCTCTTTGCTTTGTACGACGTGCACCATGGCTGAAAATCCCTTCTTATATTGTTTATTGTTTTTGTGTATGTGTGTGTCTTTTTTGTATGTTTTTACTTAAATTTCGAATAGGAATTGACAACAATTTGTGTGTGCGCACACAAATATATAGAATATTTGTTGTGTCAGCCTCTCCAGCTAGGTAGACTGCTGAAATGAAATATGAAGGAAGGCAGCTAAGTTTTTAATTTTAAAATAGCTGTAAACAGCAACGGTGCCTACTAATCGTTAATCGCCAATCGATAATGGAAGCTTATTTGTGCAAAAGCTGGCAACGCTTAAATGCTGGATAAGTACCGTTTGCTCATTTGAATGTGTGTGGGTGTGAGTGCTGCATAAAAGCGCGGGAAAGATTTGCATGAATATGTACATACATACATATGTATGTAACTTTCCAGGCAAAGCGCAGCCCTTCTAGCAATGGCTGCACTGCATTTAGTGTTCTACTTCTGCTCGCCAGATCAAGTCAAGTTAATTTTGTCCTTTAATCTTTGGGTTGAATCCATTATTTAATATTCAAAATGACCGCCATTCGCAACATGAATGAGTTCTACAAACGCCTGGACGCGTCGGACCGTAAGTTGGTCGTACTTGACTTTTATGCCACTTGGTGCGGCCCGTGCCAGGAAATGGACAGCGTGGTAAAATCGCTGGCCCGCAAATATGGCAGCCGGGTGGACATAATGAAAATAAATGTGGATCGATTTGAGGAGCTGATGGATATGTACAATGTGCGCAGCATGCCAACATTTGTGTTCATCAAGAACAATCGCAAGATGAGCCGCATGACTGGCGCCGACGAGTACAAGCTAAAGCAAATGATTTACAAACTCTGCGACTAATGTGCGAGAAGGAGAGTGAGAGGGACAGAGAGGGCGAGCGGTGAACGACGCAGGCGTCGCCATTTTGTCTAGAAAGCTAGAGCTGCGCAAATCTCTTTTATTATATGTATTATTATGCGTGTATATGTAAGATGTAACTTTGTAATACGTGATTGTAATTGTCAGCCATTTTTGTGTGATTTTGCATGCTCGAACATAACCTCAAATACAGACTTGATATAATTTTAATACACATGTAATAGCTTTTTAAGGTTAAGCACGACTGAATGTTCAATAAACCAAGCTAAATGTGATTTAGTCGTAACCAGATCGCAGTAGGTGTGTGTTTTTTATTCTACAGGCTTGAATCTACTACGGCAGGGAGGCATTCAGTAAAATCATTTTCGTTCCAGCAACATTCAACAAACAATCATTTTTTTTTTTTTAGGTAACGTACAAAATTTTAAAGTGCAACAAAAAGCGGAAAAAAAATATCTATTCGTCCTAATTGTCGCGAAATATATATATATATATATATACACACATACAACCACATACAAATACCCACGCACGCATCTATATACTGCATACATATATAGATACATACAATTCATTACATTCCAATTTGGTGAACCGAAACTTCTGCTTTGTCGATCGCATTAAGTGGCAGAGTGGGCCAATCGATTGCAAAAGAGAAGGAAGAGAGAGAGAGAAGATGTCGTACCAAATCAAGCGCACGCCCTACTTTCGGCGCATGTTCAACAATAGCCGTCGCAATGGGCAGCTGCAGCGGCTGCGGGAGGAATACGAGCGCATCCAGGAGTTCAACGATCGCACCATCGAGCTGAAGATGCGCCAGGTGCGCCTGAAGCGTTTGTTCCGTGAAATCGAGGATATCAATGAGTCACCTAGCACGTCGGCTGCCCAGCAGCGTCGGTTAGCGGCGCTGGTGCCGCTGACGCCGGAGGCGGTGCAGGCGCAGCAGCGTCGCGAGCGCCTCGATGCGCTGGAGCGTGCCCGCGAGCTGGGCCAGGAAATCTCGCGGCACAACGCCCAATTGGTGGAGACCGGCGCTGGCTACTTTTTGCGCAGCGAACTGCGACTGACGGCGAAAATGCGAGCAGCGGACCAGGCGCGGCGCGAGGCACAGGAGCGGCGTCTGCGGGCCGCACGTCGCATTAGCTACGGCAATGCCCAGTCCCGTTCGAACATTGAACGGATCACGCAGCGGCAGCAGCGGCGCCTGGTCACAAACGATACGCCGGCCACAACGCTAATGGTCGATGCCAGGCAGCAGGTGGCACAGCTGCCGATGCAGCCGGCCACCAGCCAAAGTCAATTGCATCCGGATCTGGTGAAGCGGGCCATGCTGCGGCAACGTCTGCAATATGGCAACTCGCGGTCCACCAACAACATGATGCGCAGCCAGTTGGCAGCGGCGCAGCGTGTGATAGGCTGTATCTCGGGGACGGACACGGTCAGCGATGATCTCGAGCAAATGGAAATCCAGCGCCATCACGAAGAGCAGCTACAGCTGGAGCAGCAGCGCAGGCTGCAGCGCATCGATCCGCAGCAGTTGCATCTGCAGGAGGAGCACCAGCGGCAGCTGCGCCAGCATATGTATATGCAAGAGCTGCAGCAGCAGCAGCAACAGCAAGAGCAAGAGCAGCAGCAGCTAGAGCATCAAGAGCAGCCAGAGGAACAACAGCTGACGAACCAGTCATTGAGCATTCTGGAGCTGTCATCCAGTGTGAGTGGCTGCAATCAGAAGGTCAACACCAACAACCTGATCAACAATCACCTGATGAGCATCAAGGACAACGATATCGATGATAGCAACAAGGACAGCACCATTAATCTTACTAACGAGAGCAGCAACAACATCAACGACAGCAGCAACAACAATATACTCAACAGCAGCAGCAACTACAAGGAAATCAACAACATGGACTCTGAGCTGGAGATGCACACGGCCATGCTGCCGCCCACAGAGCGGGAATCTGTGCAGCTATTGGACCAGCACGGCGACAACAGAATCAACTTTGATGATGTGCCAACAACAAGCCAGCATGCGCAAAGATCTGTGGATGCAACCACAACTGTTGCCGCCTATCAGCCGCCATTGGCCGATAATGGAGCGACATCGAATCATGCAGCGCGGCGCTGGCATCGCATCTCATTGATGGTGCCCTGGATCAAGGTGTTGCACGAGCGTCCCAGCCAAGTGGCAACGGTGTTGCCGCCGCACAACCTGACCATTGCCATTAGCACTGACCTGAGCACTCTTCACAATGATGATAACAATAACAATACGAATAATGCTAATGCTATCAGCAATACTATCAACGACAATCACAATAATAACGACATCAATCAAGATCAAGATACTAGTTGTAGCAATATCAGCTCAGCATTGGCAGTGGCCGACAGTGATAACTTCGAGAGTATCTGTGGACCATCGCTAATGCAAGAGGACTTGATACAGATCATGGAACTGGACGATGACGGCCATGTGCCCACAATGCATGTCATGCATCACGCATTTAAGTAATTTCAAATTCTCAGTAAGCTCTGCCCCCAAGAAAAAGATCAAGCCAATTCATCTAAATTCAACAGTCCCATCAAATAATACCATCCGCAAGTTCCAATCATTTCGTGGATTGACTGAGTAAGTGCTAAATTATCAGTCTGCATTGCGTTTACCTTCATTCCACATCTAATTGATGTTTGTGCCATCTCTAATGGAAGCTTATGTACCTTTACCTTTTTAAGCGAAGCTTCCATCTCTAGTTAACTGTTATGCTACTTACTTAATTTCTAATTGAAGCTGCGTACACTCTTGTACCATCTCTAATTTACATTTTTGCATTGCTTATTTCCATCTCTAATGGAAGCTTCTTCCACTTAATCCATTACTAGCTTACATATATGTACATATATACATGTACATGTACATGTATATGTATATCTGGAAAGTAATTTATTTCCTATTTATAATTAAATTCCCTTACTTTCAGGCATTCCATTGAACGGAACCGGATGGATCTTATCCCAATATCCCAATGATCGGCCAATAAACAAGTTATTTTTGTATGGCATACTTCTGGATTACTTAAGATATCAATATATCTATATAATATACAAACATACATAGATATACGTGTATATGCCTGACGTTCATGCCCAACTGCATTTTCCTTGCAGGCACACACAGTTCCTGTTCCGACATAAACAACGAGATGCCTTATTGGCTCCGCGGATACTTTGGTTATCTATAGATGTATACATACATATATGTATATGTACATATATATGTTTGTTTACTGTTTCCCTTTTGGTAATCACATATATATGTATGTATGTATGTGTATGCATCATTTTATTTTGTTGTCGCCCACTGGATAATGTTATAGCGCCCTCCAAGCGCCTCCTACAACGCCTACGCCCTGAAAAAGAAAAGCGAATCAACTAACAATCGACGATAATATGCAGAAAATTGTTTGCAACATTACAAAATACGGAATACGCGCGTATAGCCTATATATATATAGACTTTGAATACGTGCATTTACATACGGTCTCCCTCACTCTATATTTATATATATATATATATACAATTCGATCCATTTGCTTTCAGTTGTATTAGTTAAGAATCAAATATTTATTTGTAAAATAAATTAAAAGTCGAAACGAAATCACGAAACAAAACATAAGTAAATTAAAAAGTCCTTCAGTTGTCTTTTATTGGTTAAGGTTAAGAATGGGGATTAAGTAAATATGTTAAGTCGTAGTTTAGTAACAGGAGTATAGTTACATATATTAATATTAGATTTAAGTTTAGCATCATATATATTCATTATATAATCGCTTCACGAATGTATCAAACATGCAAGTTTGTCAGTTTAAAAACTTATTCCATAAGTTGTAGGGTTGATTTTGTAGTTAAACTGACAGCTCATCTGAATCGTTGGCTACATTGTTATTTGATTGCTCCACGTGATTCTGTTTCTCCTCTTTTATCTTCTCGTTAGAGTCATCGACTACCTTACGCCAGCATAATTCCTCGCACTTGAATTTGGAGAGCCACTCGGTCAAGGCCTTCTGTAGGTCATGACGAAACGGATTAACCATTTTCGGCATCTCGAACTGCTGAAAGAATGTCGGCATATAGATAATATTATCGAACTGCTCCTCAAATTCCTCCGATGGCTGGAACACGTCTGTCTCCAACATGTCAAAGCTGGGAAAGAGAGAGAGAGAGAGAGTGCGAATGAGTTTATTGGCATTTGATCAGTTAGTGCATAAAGATGGGCAACGTACGTGGGAAGGCGCTCGCGTAAATAACGCAAACGACGACCGCAATTCTCGGCACGCATTTCGGCGCTATAGTTCTGACTGCGTCCGGCCAGCTGGGCCTCGATCAATAAGTCGCTAATGGTGGTACTACCAGTGTATATATTGACGAATAAAATGCAATCGCCATGATCGATATCCTTGATGGTTGCATGCAAGGGTTCGTTATTGACAAGCTCTCGGAACTTCAATGTAGCAGCTGCCGGCCAGTGGAGATCCAGCGGATATACATCGGTTAGGGTGCCACGCATCAGGAGCGGCGGATGTTCGGTAAAACGGATATGCATAAAAAACAAATCTTTGGCACGCGCCTCCAAAACCCTGCCATAGTCCACCAAATAGACCTTCACGCCCTCATCATTCGGCTCCGGTTCACGGATAATGCGTGCACGACGCCAGGTGAACTGATTGTATGCGGCGCAAAGGTAGCCGCGCTTAAAGAAATATTTGGGCAGTTGCCAAGTAGCACGACGAAGTGGATTATAAAACTTGCTGCACATAGAAAGAGGGAAATGCAAATTAGTTAAGAGCAGTAGCAGAGAGTGAATGTGAGCCAAGGACTCGATTGATTACGTTAGCTGAAAACTTAGGTGACCCAGCAAATTAATATCGTAGGGGCCCTCAGCAATATGGAACCAGAACTGAAAGGGGCTGTAGGCCTGAAATATACATGTATATATGAGAAGGGATTCAAAAAGATTAACTTTAACATAAGCCTCAGCTTTTGTTGATATCTATTGGCATAGATCAAGATATCCTGATTGTTTCATATATTTTTCATTACCTCGGTCACATGTATCTTGAGCATGTCGCCCAACTTAAAGTTACTCCAAATTTGGGGTCTGGACAACTCAGTGCCAAGGCAAACGGCTTGACTGGGTTTGTCCACGTTGAAGACTTCATCAGACTAGGGATACAGAAAAGAGGAAAGGAACATTAGTTATTATTCACGAGCTACTTAATTATAGCATACCACTGCAAAACGTGGCACTGCCGCACGTGCTTCTACAAGATGCATAAAATTATTCATTTGGTTCTCGGCGTTCGGCTCTTCAGAGTTGTTTACATCTTCTTGTTCTTCTTTCGGTTCTTCGTCCATTTCATCGGCATGAAAGGGATTAGTGTGGGCTGTCGTTGAATCGGGCTCCACTTCTGCATCACTGTCCATCATCACGCCGGTCAAAGGCGACTTTTTCTCATAGTTCTCCGCTTCTTTTTCTTCATTTTCTTCATCCGATTCTTCCTCTGCCTCTTCTTCGGTTTCTTCTTCGGTTTCTTCTTCGGCTTCTTCTTCGGCTTCTTCTTCACCTTCTTCTTCGACTTCTTCAAGCTCTTCCTCTGTTTCCCCCATTTCGTGATCTGTCTCCTCACTTTGCATATCTGATTCAGATGGCATCACTATCGGCATCACGGTATGGCTATCTATAGTGCTCAACCATGCCTGCAGATGATTGTATGTGCTACCTGGCGACGGCAACAATTCTACATCTGCGCTCAGCTTTTCATCTTCGTCTTCGCTACTTTCTTCGGCTGACGATGCACTGCTGCTCATTACGCTCACTTCAATTCTTCCTACATTCGCCGAAGCTCCAGCCATATTCACATCCTGATTTAAGGTTTTGTAGATATGGCCAGCGGCTTTTAGCTGACGAGCTAGCACGGCGGCACTAATAAGGTCATTTTCTGGAATCTGCAATTTATATACATATACATATAGATATATGTATATATATATATATATATATAATAACGTACATATATAAAAATGGTATACATTAAAATGCTATACATTATTTTATCAATATGAAAGCAAGCCCAATATGAGGCTATGTTGCAAGTGCTTCATATTACACATTCAAAAGATAACGGAATTTTACTTATGTATACATATGCAATTTAGCTTACCACAACGTCATATGCTGCCTTTTTAGAAAATTCATTCGCACGAATAATAATTTTCGATTCATTTGAGGCTGCATACTTCATTTCGTCCTCAGTACCATTAGAGTCAGCCATATTTAAATCGGTATCACTATCTGCTTTAGAAGACATAATTAAGTTTTTTATTCCCCAGATTCCTTTGTTAGCAAGGCGCGCACGTTCAGAGAAAGCAAAAAATAACTGTAAATGTCATAGCTTAAAATCAAAAAGGGTGGCAGCACGGCAAGTTTCACTTGCTATTTGCCAGGTGGCAGCGTTGGTTATGAAACTAACCGATTAACTAAAATTATGTCGATTTTTTCGTTTATACAGTTTATTATTAATATTTACCTATTCTAACATATAAAATTACACGGGTATACTTTATAAATTATTGACTTTTGCAATGTAGCTTTTATAAACTGGCTAAAATAGTGACCGGTCGCTATTTATCGATACCTTTATTGTAAAATAGTTGTGACTATCGTGATATTTTAAAACTCACATACGGGTGACCTGTTATTGCTCATCCCTACATCGGCCATTTGTTTACGGCACGTGTTGGTGGCAAAAACAGTTTTCAAAAAAATCACAAAAATGGACAGCGAGGCAGATGACTATGAGGCCACCGGCTCTGAGCAGGAGTACGATGAGGATGAACGTGAAATATTGAATGATCTGCGTAAAGAGCGAAAGAAGAAGGCAGACCAGCTAAAAAATCAAAAACTGGATGTTCTGTCGTTCAGTGATAGCGACGATCATGAAGAGGATGAGGATGTTGTGGGTAACCTAATGCGTGACAGCGACATTGAAGGGGCCGAGGATGACGATGGCGATCTGCCGGATACCATGGACTGGGGCACCAATAAGAAAGCCTACTACAATACAGATTTCGTGGATCCCGACTACAGCAGTTACACGGCCCAAGAGGAGGACATGGCCAAGGCCGAGGAGGAGGAGGCCAAAAAGATACAGCTGCGTCTGGCCAAGCAATTAACGGAGGCCGATTTCAAGCTAGATGATGTGGCGGTGCCGGTCGATGATAAGAATAAAGACGTCACCGTAAAGAGTATCACAGTCACGAGAGATCTGAAAGGCCTAACGGAACGCGAGCGTCTGCAACTGCTGCAAAAAGACTCGCCTGAGTTTGTTGGCCTCACACAAGACTTTCAGCAACATCTGAGCGAAGTGCAACAGCTGACGGCGCCAGTTCTGAACTATGTGCGCAATCATCAGGTGCCCATGGTGCCGGCCCTGCAGTTCGCTCTGCTGTATCAGAATGTTCTGCTCACCCATTGCTCAAACGTCTCGTTCTACCTCCTGCTGAAAGCCAAACGCAGCAGCATCAAATACCATCCGGTGGTCAAGCGGCTGGTGCAGCTCAAGCAGCTACGCGAACAGTTGGCGCCACGCTACGAGGAGTACATACGACCGCAGCTAGAGGCGCTGCTGGAGCGCATACAGGACGGCGATGCGTTCACCGTGCTGGATCCAGCACAGCGCAAACCCAAGCTGCAAACAGTCAGCAAATACAATGGCACAGGGACAACAAATGCCAGAATTGACAAGGAGCCGCATGATGAGGACAATACTGATGCTGAAAGTGATAATGAGGATGCTGATGCTATTGCCGTTGGTGATGATGATGAAGATATGGATGAGGAGGAGCGGATGCTGGAGAAGGCGCTTCAGGAAGAGAACGAGCGGCGTGGCATTACCTATCAAATGGCCAAGAACAAGGGCCTGACGCCGGCTCGCAAAAAGGAGCTGCGCAATCCGCGCGTCAAGCATCGCGGCAAATACCGCAAGGCGCTCATCCGTCGCAAGGGAGCAGTGCGCAGCGTACGCAAGGAGACCAAAAGATACGGCGGCGAAATATCGGGCATCAAGGCCACCGTCACCAAGAGTATCAAATTCAAAACGTAATCCACAGTTCATCCTTAGGCTATGTAAGACAAAAATATATTCAATTCTTGTTCCACCATTCAAATGCTCAAATGCTTTTGTTGTTATGTTCATCAAATTTATTCAATTAGTTCACACAAGGTCGCCAGTTGCATTACATAACACGGGTGTACAGTGTACATATATATAGACATGTATATATATCCTTTCAATTATATATAGACATCTATATACATTTTTGTATTTAAGTCTAGTTGCCAAATTGCAAATTTGTTTTTCCTTTCTCCATTGATAACAAAAAATATGTAAAGGGGAACAGCATGCACCGCAGCTGCTTCATGTGTTTTCTTCAGGTTTATCGTTTTCATCTTTGTTTTGGGGGATTCTCAGGAATCGAGTTATAGCTAACTTATCATACTATAAAAAACATCAATTGCTTATGTTAAGCTTAAATATTAAAGAGCTTGCGAAAGTCATCGTTGCTCTTTGGGGCAATTGGCACAGCCGTCAATGGCTGCTCTGCCGTCTCCTTGCCACTGTCATTCCCATTCCCATTATCATTGCCATTGGCGTTGGCATTGGCATTGTTGCCATTGGCCGTATCGTTTGTACTGCTAACAGCTGCATCGTCGTCTAGTTCGAGCTTCTTGCGACGCTTCACCTCATTGAGGACGAGGCGTGTGGGTATCAGCGACGTTTGAATGCGACGTTTCTCTGGCTTCCTTTTATCACCGGCAGCACCGGCTGCCGCCACGCCCGAGGATGTAGACGGCCCTGTGGGTAGCTTCGGTGGCGGATTGGAAATGGCAACCTCAATCTAAATCCAAATTCAAATTAGCATATGTTCTCTAAGCTGAATAAATGTTAGGTCTTACGTTTTGGCCGCCAATCTCTATGCCATTGCCGCCGATGACCGCGTTTTGCGCATCCTGCTCCTTCTCAAACTCAACGTAGGCAATGCCCTTGAATTTTTGATTGCTACTAGAATAGAACATATTTAACATAATTGAGTTTGTAAATCTTGACTGCACTTACGGTCTGTAGACCAAGCGCACATCCTTGATCACGCCAAAGCTTTCGAATGCATTGATTAAATCCTCTTTGGTACATTGGGGATATAGATTTTTTACAAATATCTTATTCGTTTCCATATTTGCTGCAAGAGAACGAGGGAGAGAGAGACAGGGTATGATAGATAGAAAGAGAGGGAGAGAGAGAGAGAGAGAGAGGGAGCATTTTGTGGATTTATAAAACTTACGTGAATACTTAAAATTAGATTCTTTTGCCTCTTTTGCTGGGGAGCTTGATGGCATTGTCTTCTTGGCAGCCGGCAACGGCTTCTTGGACGATTTGATGGCCGGCTTCCTTTCCGGCTTTTGGTATGCTGGCATTCGCCTAGTATTTGGCTGTTGCCAGGCTGGTTGACGCTTGTAGCTCTCCGCTTGCTCCATGTACGCCTCGCAGTATTTCTGGCACTCGGCTATCGACTCATAGTTGCCAAAGCAGCGCTCGTGGCGACGATAGAATTCCACTATGACCTGCACTTCTGGTGTCATAGAGAGCGCCTCCAAGGCCTGCCTGAACACAATGGACACTTTCTCCCTCTTATTGTATTCGATCTCCATTTGGGCATAGGCGACCCACAGATGGGCCTTGACGCTGTTGCCCGGATAGCCTATGATCACATCGATTGTAATGTTAATTTGATATCAATAGATATTTCATGCAACTCACTGAAAATCTCACACCAGATGGAGGCTCCATTATCGGGCGATTTTAGCTTCGCGTACTCCACCTGAGCCCAAAGCTGCAGCACCTCGAAGCAGGTGTCTGCCAGGTCGCCGTAGATTTCAGATAAACGATCCCACACCTCGCGGAAGGTGTTGCGCAACTGCTTGACCTGTGGAGCATTAGATTTAATACACATTTCACAAAAATATATGCTGTTCTATCGATAGCCACCTCTAGCTCGTTGTTGACGTCGGTGTGACGCACGCGGTAGGCCAAGTAGTCTAGCTGCAGCTCCACATTCATTTCCATATGCGGCTCGAGCCGTTGCAGCTGGCGCTTAATCTCCGACTCCACTTGCTCCGTATTGAGTATGCTTTGCTCTAGTAGCTCCAAATACTTGTGATTGATCGCAATTGTTGGGTTTATCTGCAGCACACGGTTGATCAGCTCCATGGGCTTGCACTTCAAATAGCCATCGCATATGGCTGTGTGGTACATGTCTTCCGATTCCGGCTCTTTGGGCTTCTCCATATAGGCTATATAGTCCAGCCACAAGCGACTGTCATTGGGATATTTGGCGACGCAACGCTCGTATATCAATTTGGTCAGGGTGCATTTCATATTTGTGCTGAGCGACAAAGTTTCGGCCCTCAGCAGGTAGTTCTCCTGCAGCCAGGACGAGTTCTCTGCATTGCTTTTCAACTTCTGTTTGAACTCGTCAATTAGCTCTGCAATCGGCTCCATTTGATCCTGGTCGTAGTGCCAGGCCACGCAATTGGCGCTCAATGTTTGCTCAATCATTTCAATACCGTCTTTTTCTTCCAAAGATGCGACAAATCGGCGTGCTTCCTCAACGAAATCAATGCGTTCTAAGCCATAATCGGCCAGAATCTTTGCCCACATCTGCAGATGATCTGCGAGTGACTGTTCCATCAAGCTTTTGACAACAAATTCAGCCAGTTGGTCATCTGATTCATATGGAGTAGAGTAGGAGGTTGTTTATTTAACCTACTACCGCACATTTTCGACTTACCATAGAAGCTGGCCAAGGCCAGGCTGCATTTTGTCTTAAAGACCTCCCACTCTGCCGGCGTCTGAGTGACCACCTTTAGAGCCTTGAGATAACGAAGCCATATATGCGACGGCACAGTTGAAAATTTCTGGAACTCATTGATGGCCACTTCAATCTTTTCAAAGATATTTAATTTGCTGCAGGCGAGAGTACAGTTTAGCTGGAATCTAACAATGATATGATGCAAATGCGAACTTACAAGGCCGTGGTACATAATTCCACATAATGCCTATATTTTTTTTTGGTTATGCTCAATATGGCAGAAAACTCTTCGTCCAGCATTTGGTCATCGTGCGAATCGCTGGTGCCGACCAGTGAACTCAGGACACTCACTTCGCTCTCAGAATCGGAGGGCGCTTCACAGTCGCTATTATCTCCGACGCTCGAATCTGAGCTTATTTCGATTGGCTGCTCGTTTACGATATTGTCGCCAGCTGAAGCTTTCGGCTGAAAATGAATCAAACAATTAATTTCAATATTGGCACTTACAATATTCCGTAGCAT